GATCATCCACCCGCGAGGCTTGCTCTTCGATTTTTGCCTTCAAGTCTTCAATCGCCTGATAACCTTCGTGTTTCTCACGACTCCCGCCTTTGATTCCAAATGTTTTCAGACGAGAAAAGCACCTCTCTACGGTCTCTCGTTTGTCTGTAGCGAACTCTACAAGCGTGGTTGCTAGGTCATGCTGATCCGCCTTGGCAGAGACAATGTTGCGCAGATTGGGGTACCACAACCGCTGGTCCTCGGGCATGTTCGACTGTGCTTTCCCCTTTGCAACGTGAGTGAAACTCGCTACTATCCACGTTTCAGGGCTACTAACTGTACACAGTGACTCAAGCAGAGCCAAGAGTTTGGGGATTCGTTTCGATATGATTCGTTCCTCATCCGGTGTTGGACTTTTCAGGGTGTTGTGAATTATGTAGAGCATCGCGGCAAGCTTCCCTAGCCGCGTCGATATTTCCACAAAACTGCTGCCTTTCCTCTTTGAAACGATCGCAAGGGGCGTGGATGCCGCCGTGGACGCCGCAGTGGTGGAAAAAATGAGAGTAGCATCTTCAGCAAGCTTCCAGAAGTCTTCGACTTCCATTCTACTGAAGCTGTTGGCACAGAGATCGTTTAGAAGAGAGGAACGTCTTGGTCTCACAGATTTCTTCAGCCTCACGTATTCTGGCCCCCGCTCTACCCCGCACTTTGTGCAACAATGCACCGCTTTTCTTGTCGCCTTCTCTCTTTACCTACAATCCTCAGCTGTAACCACAAACTACCATCACCGCACAGACCTTTTTATTTCTCAAGGGGGGTGTTCTTGCACGCCATAATGTTCCAAAGTCAAGCCACGAGTATCACAACGGTTTCTCGACTCATTTCCGATGCCACAATTGCATCACGCCATACTCTAGAGTCATGTTGCGAGATTGGAGCCTTGATGAGAGAAGCATGGGCGGAAAATCGACTTCTCGATTTCAATCTTTGGGCGGCAGGAGTTGGCGCATCTGCAAAACTCACTGCATCACTTGACTATCGACTGGCATCACAGCCCGAAGGGAGAACTGTCGTTATGGGCCTCTTATCAGCGTTGCTGGCGGCGTTGGAGGAATGCAAAGAACTTGGTATTTACCGATAGCCTTCATCTCTAATGACATTGCCTAATGCTTCATTCAGGGACAAAACAAGACCTTGGCCAAGATTTGCCTTGCGTTTCGATAAGCGAGAGCGTGGAACCATCAGTTTCAGATGCAGACCAAAATTCAGACCTGTTCCCCTCTTGGTCTGACAGCTCTGGTTCCGATTCTAGCGGTGACGATTTGGAGACTAAGCCAGCTCAAGACACACTATCGTTGTCCATGAAGAGTGTAGAAGATCTTATAGACCAGCTCATCCAGCTGGGCAAAATAATAAGATCGTCCGGGGCTACGTCCAGGTTTCGCAAAGCAGACAAAGCGTTCGACCCTGCAGCCCATAAGGATCTACAGCATTATCTAACGGTTTCACTGCTTTCAAATCCGCGTGCGATCGAGAATCGGAGGCCTTCCGCGGAGCACATTGATTGGAAAACTCCATTCTTGACACTTGATTTTGCCGCTATCAACCAACTTAATCTGGACCATCAAAGGGTTGTCGATCATCTTATCTCAGCCAATCTCAGGCGGCGCAGCCGATTTGATTACGCTCGTAAACATGCCCAAAAGCTCGCAGCTCACTACGATCCTCAAGAGCCTGTCCAAAACGCATCGCCTGGTCCTCATCAGGATGACTTGGTCAAACACAGCGATGCTCTTGCTTCACCCGGGATGTCCGAGAAAGCGCCAAAGAAGCAAGGCCCTGCATTCAATGAACCCCCACAAGTGTGTCACACTGCATTAACGGATACAACCGCCGCTTCCCTCATAGATCCAAGCTTCACGATCACGCAGCCAATCCCACCTTCAAAATCCACAATGAGCAGGGCATCGATTTCGCTTTCAAGATTGAATTATCCCAACCCACCTCCAATTTCAATCTACGCCAAGTCATTCAGATGTCCTTGCTGCTTTCAAACGTTGTCATCATGGGACCACGAGACGAAACGCTGGCGGTACGAAACCATTCAATGAATGCTAAGAAATAATAGACTAAAGCGCATTAGGAAGCATTTATCTCAGGACATTCTTCCGTACACATGCATATTCCCTGATTGTTCAGCCGAAAAATGCTTCTACGCTACAAGGGAATCTTGGAAACAGCACATGCGCCAGGATCACTCTGAATCAACTTACTGGGAATGTCTGGCGTGCAGCAACTTTGATACGACGGAGATTTTCCCCGACGTTGAGCAGTTCAGAGAACACACGAGATCTGTCCACGGGGATGCAATAACAGAGGAACAGCTGCTCATTCTGGAGAGTGTGTGCAGTAAATCAAGCCCTGCATCTATCGAGTCCTGTCCTTTGTGTATCTATAAGGATCAGGATGAAATTCCAACGGACCCGGAGACATTGCTTAACCATATCGGTGACCATATACACGACTTCTCTCTCTTGTCCCTACCATGGGCTGACTTCAGTGAAGAAGAAGACGCAGCAACCATCGCAGCTGCCACTGAAAAGACCATGAAGTGGGATATTACTTTCCCCCCGGACATGGAGACAATTGACCTTTCACCGTTGAAGCCTGAACAATCGAGAACCCCCAATCCGGAGCCTCTTTTTGCAGCGGCCGAGTATTTTGCAGAAAGCTCTGACGGATCTTCACGAGTCCTGTTTGGTTCCGAACAATACCTATCCCTATCAGAAGACTCCTCATCCGCAGACACCTCGCCAGCAGAGGACGAAGATGCAATATAGTACTTAAGATCCTCCCCTCCTTACATTTTATGACACATTCTTACAGTTCGCAGTTTCTCCGAACCCCTAGGAACAAACTTATCTTTGTTCATCAAAATGTTTCGACGCTATTACCGAAAGTTTCCGGGGACCAGGAAGACAAGAGTGGCATTAATCCGTCGCGTGTTCGATTTGTCCGAAGGAGAGCAGCACGAACACTCATCCCATATGTCGGCGGATAACTTCAAGGTTAAAAGACAAATCGTTGAGGAAATCATATTCAGCTCTCGTCAGGAAAACTATCGGGATTCTTTTGAGCCACACGGGACACGGACGGCAAATCTAATCCGCTACATTGACCCATGTTGCGATTTGTACATCGCGAACATTGCCGATTCCGGAGAGTTATACGCTAAATCCGGACACATAGCCAAGGTAGGTTTTCAGTATGGCAAAAGCTTGGCATGTCTTTGGCTGATCGGTCTTCTCTGCAGGCAATCCGATGGGCACAATCTCGTGACGTCGACGTCATTCTCCTTGCTTCCGTTATTCCCGAGGGCTCGGGCCACGAAATTACGAGCGCTATCGAGCTCGCCAAAAACAAAGACATTGTCGTCATATACAGCACTGTCAATGTCAGTCCCAGAACTCTCGAATTGATAAGGGCGAATGTTATACCTATCGCCGTGTGCAACCAACAGGGCAGGATTTTCTTACGTGGCCAGCAAGATGGATTTCATTACGGTTTTGTCGGAGGAGTCCGCGGCGAGGATTGGTTGAATCTGGAATCCTACCTCTCTGTGCCCGCCGCCATAGCCGCTGGAATAGCCTCGCTTATTGTGGCGTGCTGCCGGATTTCGGACAGCTGCAGTACGTCTGACAGGCGGCCAATCTGGAGATGCGATATGGTGAAGCAGATATTCAGGACCATGAGCGAGGGGGACTGGGTTAATCCTGAGAATCTGGTTGGCAATTTGCCGCATGTGATGCGTTCGAGGGATTTCGCGACTCTCGTTAATGAGAGGTTCAAGGTTGATGGCGCTCAATAGAGTAGAAATATAGATTCAATTGACGATACACACTGAGCCAGTGAGAGAGTATCGTCGCGGAATAGGAAATGATAACGTAAACAGAATGAAAGAAACAGTACCAACCCAACAAATTAAGTAGTCATTTCCTTTGGCTGTCCGCACCTGTTTAACGTGAGGGTGTTCAAATGTACGACAAAGACATCAGTGACGGAACACGTTATCGATAACCGATCCAGTTGAGCTACAGCACATTGACCAAGTAGAAAGACTTATTGATGTATTTGACTCAAAGATATGTCAAGGCTATGGTTGGCGTGTTGTAGAATTGAGTTAAAGAAACGTTCATAGGAGATGGACATTGTTGTTTTCAGTACAGTAAAGTAAATGAGAGACAAATAAGAGAGGAGAAACTGAAGTACACCCACAGAAAGCGTAAAAAGGCTCCAAATGATGGTATCCGTTGAACAGAAGAGCCACTTCCACACGGTCGGTCGCCATTCTTCTCGGAGTCAATTTGACACATTTGCTTCATTTCATTTTCAAGCAAGAGAGGACCCAAAGCCGGGATGCATCTCATCCGACTCTCTTACCCTTGGACTTCCATCAGACTGTGGTTTAGTATAGAATGGGTATGCGTCTTTGCTATCATACGGATCAGGAGGCGGAGTACAGGCAGCCCCTTGACCCGGTCGGAGAGGGGACATCGAATACGGCTCGGCACGCCTATTCGGGGCTACTACCAGCGGAATCCTACTGGCTGGTGCTCCGTGCGAATGTAGATGTGGCACATGACCCCTAATCCGAAATTCCTTGCGCGTCTCAGAGATCTGTGTCACAACTGGATGTATATTGCTGTTCTTTTCCAGTTGTGTTTCGCTTTTCTTGAGGACTTTTTGAATGGGCGGTGTTGGCTTTTGGTTGGCTTTTGTCAACTTTGACGAGAGTCTTCCGATGGTGACTGCTCCGCTATCGGGGTAGGACGGCACCTCTTTCGGTGAATGGTTCGAGATTTCAAATAGGGTGTGGTGGCATGGTGAATGGTCGGCCTTGCATATTCCTTGCCCGTCGTGATTCTTTGCTCCAGGAACGCAATAGAGGCCATTGTACAGTTTCAATGTGCCACTGCCGCCGCATTGCTCGGAAAGGTGCTCAATGCATTTGACCGATGCCGTCAGAAAGTATTGTCCTCGAGCAGCCTCTGTGAAAGCCGACGAAATCCCAGCATCTTCCGGTCCCTCGGGTCTTATGGGGTCAGTAAGGTTACTGCAGAATAAGATCGGTATATCCGGCCTCGAAGCAACCAATTTCAGCCAGCCAGCGCTGCTTTCAGCGTCGATGTGAGCCCTCCTGGACCAAACATGCTGCTGCAGCTCCGCAATATTCTTGAATTCGTATCCGACGAGATCCTTGTCTTCTTTGAGTTCGGATCCCATTTGCTGGTCAGTGATGTGAGTGATGTAAGCAAAGAACTCGGTCAAGAGCTGTGAGAACTTGGTCGTCTCATTGGTCTTGAATCTTTCTGGCAGTTGCACATTCATCACCGGCTTCATGGCACAGTATGCTGCCTCGCCGCCGTCGTAGTCGGCATCGGCGTACGGCATCATTGCTTGAAGCTCACTCGCGTCTTCCTGATTGAATGCCCAAGCCAGCACAAGATGAAGTATCACGCTGAGCTGTGGAACAAGCCAAGCTCGCTTTGACTCGAAATCATACAGCAGCGTGGGCAGACGCCTGGCGTTGGCGATCCTTTGGAGAATGCGGCTTTGGGCGGCTTGGATTCTTCGATTTGCCGTGTGATGCACAACCATCTTTGCGGAGATCCCTACGCCGAGGAACCCGATACCGGAGGTTCCGATGTTTCCGGTGTATTCGTTTCCGAATCTGAGCTTTCGTTCGTCATTGAACTCCGCGCCGGACAGTTGGATGTTGCGGAATCCCGAGTCTCGTGTGCCGAGGTGTATCTTCGCGTTGGAAAAGTAACCGACGAAGGCTTGTTGAGTTGCCAAGTCTTCAACGTCCGATATATCGACCATCCGCTCTGCATAATCCTTGATGGCATCCCAGGATATCGGAGATTCCTCATCCTCGCTTTGAAGAAAGTGCCATTGGATAGAATGTGCGGGCCCACGTGATACCGGAATAAGCGCCGTTGTGTCTCCTTTCAGAAACAGTTTGCCACGGCACTTGCATGGATACCAAATGAGTCCCAAGAGAATCATTGCATCGAATGAGATATCAACTCCAAACTCTCCTTCTCTCTCTGGGACCCAGAAGCCCTCAGCCAACACGAATCCCTCAAACATACCGAACCAGCACGCCCCCGTCTTTCCAGAAAGAAGAGAAGTCGGGTCTGTGCTGATATCCAAGACACCTGGTGTGGGTGATGGCAACATCTTTACACTCGAGGAGAGAAGTTTCCCTTCCTCTGGAAGTCTGAAAACAGCACTGAGCCACCGAAGCTGTTGAGCCAATTGAATAAGCTCTTCTCTTGGGCCTTGAGCGTTGCACGTCGTATAAACATCCCCCACTATGAATGAGAAAGTGCAACCCGGATAATTGTCGGGGCTGCCGGGACCGTGTAACTGCTTGCTGCTTGATGCTCCCTCAAGGGCGAGTATCAGAGTTCGAATGACCCGCATACCATTCTTTGGCCAGAATTGTTCGACGTAGTCACCGCATGTGGCTGCAAACGCTTTTTCTGCTGTACCACTCACGGTCAGGACCAACTCCAGATCTTGGGCCGAGGGTAGCTGTGTCTCCACGAACTTCACGAGGTCCCAGACAATTCTGAAAGTGATAGAATCTGAAGTGAACCACGATTCGACATCAAAATCCAATTTTTCCGTGGATGGAAGCTCTCTCTGCTTTTGCTTTTCCTTTGTAGACTGTCGTTTATTGCTTGCTGGTGACAAAATGCCAGCTAGAGAGGCTTTGGCCGTAGCGCGAACTTGATCGGCCTCGGATTGAGGTACAGGCATTGCTCCATTTCTTGGTAGCATAAGGCCCGTTTCTCCAATAAAGCTGGATTCAGCTTCAAAATGAGGAAAGGGGTATTCAGTCTCGCCGCGAGGTGTTTCCATGGGCGTGAATGGTGACTGAGGGTTATTTGGAAACCCAAAGGCGGGAAGGTAGGGTGGTGTTGGGGGCACTTGGCTTGATTGAGATGGACCGACATGACCCGGAAAACAATTTGGTCGCCCTGCGTGTTTCCTGGCCTGCCGGAAGTTTGACGGCGTTGCCAAATCCCGCTCGCCGACCGCAGCCCACGCGAACAATGTCTTCTCCAACGATTCAAACTCCAGAGGTTTGGACAGAAAGTCATCCATTCCGGATGCTAAGCACTTCTCCCTGTCACATTCCGTTTCGAATTCCGACACACCGATGATCGGGATATTGCGGATTTGAGGCCAATCCCTGAATGATGCTTGGGTCCGAATCGTTTGTGTAGCCTGGTAGCCGTCCATCACAGGCATCTGAACGTCCATGAGGATGATGTTTGGCACAGCATGTTCGCCGTTCGCGGCCGCCATCAGGTATTCCAGTGCCTCTTTCCCGTTGCACACCGCACTCGCGGAGAACCCTTGCTGTTTCAGCATCTTGAGCGCGATCCTCTGATTGATGATGCTTTATCAATAATTAGCCATGAGTAGCTGATAAAGGTGTGAGAATGCTAACTTGTCTTCGGCGACCAAAATGCTAACATCTTTCCTCCCCTCCTCGGACAGGTCCACATCATGCTCAGTGCTGGAACAGTTTTGAAAGAGTTCTGTTCCGACACCAGATGATGTAGGCTTGGGCGCATCTTGTGGGTTAGACATCGTGACAGATAGAGGAAGTTTGCGTCGTCCGTCAAGGCTCAGGAAGGTGGGGGAGCTGAGCTTTTCCCAAGAGCCTCAGCCTTGTCAACCCAGCTGTCCTAATCAAGCGGAAGCTGAGTCACTCATGTCAGCCAGTGATATCATAGCTACATCTGCCCAGCGTTGCACAAAACTTCAGAACAGCGCGACTTACCAATCACATAAATGCCTCATCTCTCAATATGGTAGCTACCACATTCTAGCGCCCACTCTCGTGAAACGTGAAAACAGCGTCTTTCTCTTGTTTTGTGCACTGCGAAATCGCCGCGGCCATTTGAAACTCTTTGAAACCCTATATACCTGGATAGCGAGGAGATTTGGCTATGTGTACGAAGGTAGTCAATCTCGTGTTCCGTAAAACCCCTCTGACAGCCACCCAGTGTCATGCTTGGCACCGTCCTAATGGCGGATGCCTCTCCTGATCCTCCTCAAGAACCATGTTACGCGTGGAATTATCCTAAAAAATGTTGTATTTCTCCCGTTGCTGCCCTGTTCGAATACCTTCCTCCTGAAATCAACAGCCTGTCCCGCTGAATTGATGGACGCCTTCGGCTTGTCAGTGCTCTTTGGCTCGAGCCCATTGCTCGTGATTCCTTTTCCTGCGTCGCCTCCATCACCCGTGACGCTGATAGAACGGTTCCGGGTGTAATCTGGGTCACATGGCCTTTTTCTACTCTGAACATTCCAGGGAGAACCAACAGCGGAAGCTCTTGCTCTCCTTCGCCAGGATCGTGGTCTTCGTAGGCTCCTATATTGTCCGTAAACTCCAGTTTTGCCTCAAGACTCTGGATCTCGAAGTTGTCGGAATAAAAGTCAAACTTTGGCTCCACCATACTCTTGAGTCCTTTGACATCGTCCCATACTTTCTGTATATCAGCAACAATATGCGTGAGCTTCTCGACAAACTCGCCGCGCTGGTAGACGGGGACCAGATCTCGCACGTAGCCCATCACATCGTCGACAACGTTTGTGACTCGATTAACAGCAAACATCTGCTGCTTGTCTCTAGACATGGCCAGGAGCACTCCCCGAACCAGCGCTTCTCGGTCGGGATCAGTGATCGCATGGTCGAAGAGTAACTCCCTGATCCCGCTTCCCTCAGGCAGAAGATATGTGGGTTGGAATATCTGCGCATAGATTGATGTTCCAAGAACGGAAATGGCGGCTGATGTTCGCATGACCTTTGCTGTGTACGAATTTGATCGAGGGATGACTATGGGAGACTGTTCACTGTCGATTTTGGTCCAAGCATAGTGGTCCTTGTGGAGCTTTCTTAGCGGTTTACGGTAGGATGCTCCTAGAAGCTACATACCTGAAGCACAATGTCATCGAGATCCTGCCCGATGTAATCTTTCATCAAGTTGAGAGCGGGTTGCCATAGATCAGATAGTCGAGCAGCACTGCATGCGTGTCAACACCCTGAAGAGAGGTAAAAGCTCTCGAGGGGCATACGTTTGGTCCATTCCTTCTTCTTTGAGGCCATAAGCCAGGCCTTTCAAGGCATTCAGTTCATCTTCTGTCTCCTTCAACATCCGTCTCGATTCGGTACCCATATCTCTCTGTGCCTTGTATGAGCTCTCTGCATTTTTCCGGCTCACTTCGGCGGCCTCGAGCCTTTCTCTGAGATTTTTGACCTGCCCCCGCTGGTTCACTATGGTTATCTCCAGTTCGGAAATGCGTCTTTGCGCCGCTGCATTGTTGCTTCTTTCAGTATTCAACAAATCTGCTGTCTCTCTGTGCTGAGCCAAAAGCTGCTGCTCAATTGAATGTAGTGCTTCCACTTGCTTCTTGTGATCACCGATGGCCGACTCGAGCGCCCTGATCCTACCGTCTCGTTGGGCAATATCTTCGTCGCGGCGTGCGCTGTCTTCCCGGAACACCATCAGGCAGCCCTCATTCGCTGCGCGCCACCGCTGTAGCTGATCATCCTTTTCCCGAAGCTGCTTTCTCAGTTGGTCGTTTTCATCTGCCAAATCAGATGTCGACTGGAAGGAAGGGTTGGCGATGAATGCTTTGACTGCCCCGACAAGGTCTTTGGTTGCCTGAGACGAACGTTGGTTTTTGGAGACCGTGGCCCGGTTTGTACCTTTTGTGCCGACGTTGGTCGTGCTGACGAGGGCTGTCTGGGCTTCTGACATGATCGTTGATCCTTTTATCTCGGTCGGTTATGGACGATGAGAAAGTCTCGGAGTCGGAGTTCTAAAGGTTTCTAAGGCGATGCTCCAGAATTTATGATAAAAGCTTTTCGAACGATGACAGCAGCACCAAGAATCTGCGCCGCCAGACAGAAGATTCAGCCCTGGTATTCAGGCCATTAGTGAGCGATGCCTATGCTGGTGTCCTGCAGTCACGCAAATGCCGCTCCACATGTTCACGCCGGCTAAGCGTAAGCAGTACCAGTGGATCGACGGCATACAGCCAACTTTCAGCGTGGAATCGCCTTATTGAACAAAAGTGCCTCCGCGTAAGCTCCAGTAATGCGCGTCATGCAGTTCGCTCTGACTGCATACTTGCATGTATCATGAACCACTGAGATGTGCAGGCGACCATGCAACGCGATAAGACTCGCTCCAGGCTCCAAAGAAAGCGGTCCCGATCTGTGTCTACTATTCGCGATTAAATGCCGAAGATTAACACAATCAAACCAGTGACTGGTATTGCCAAGCGAGATGATCGGCGCAGTGCAGCAATCAGCAGGGTTTATCTTGGTTTAAAGGTATGTAATACTTCCAGTTTTGGGAAGCTGCTCCACCTCGATGCCAAATCAGCACCAAAGAATGGCTGACATAAGTATACATACGGCAACTACGCACCCGATACATCCTCCTAGATAACCTATGGTTAAACACGAGTTCGACTTGCGCACTAATGGATTATCGTGTAATGCCGAAAATACGAGGTGCATTTCACGAGGCTGTGCAGTATATCAACACTACCCCGCTCTCAAGTCTGCATCTCACATTCACCTCATCATGACTGACATATTTGACTACCTTGGACGCACCAATACGCTATGGAAAGAACATAAATTTGGCAATGTCCATACCATCGATGTTTCCGAGATACCACGGCCAGGTAGTGGCGGCTCTCGCGAGACCCCATCTCACAGAACGCTCCGCACTGACGAGTTGGAACACTGGCTCTCTGCACACACTTCTGTCTTGCAGATGGTGTGGGTTGAGCATGATACAGCAAGCCAGCGGAGCAAAATCTCGTCCCGTGCAGCAAGCAGTATTTTCAGCGCCTTTGGCCTGGAAGTCGCCTACAAATACTCTCGCACTTGCTTTTCCGGGGCTGCACAAGTCTCTTCGAGGGCTTCTCCAGGGGACCGATCTGGCAGCTTCGCCTTCAGCTATTATCCGAAAATGATATTGCTGTGGGCCTACGACGTTGCGAAAAGGAGTACACGCGGCATCTGTTTCGCAGGAAGAGACCAGATCTTGGTGTTCAAAGAGCTACTTAACGAGCACTGGCTACCTCTCAGTCAGCCCATGACTATTGGCTTTTTGGCCAGTCTCGTCTTGGGCGGCGAGGTGGATCGAGCACAGAAAGACATCAAGACGGAGGTCAGCAAGGTCGAAGTCCGCACTGGATGTCATCGGTGGCACAACCGCTCGGAAGATCCAGCGCCGGAAGACTTGGCTGTGTTATTCGCAAGAATGAGTGGCTCAGCAACGAAGACGGCTTCGATATCAAAGAAGATCGGGATACTCCAAGAACTTGGCAACTTCTGCCTCGTTCACATAGCCGAAACGTTCCCGCAGTCTGTAGATGACAATTCCGAAGCGAACGATGACGGAAACCACACCCAAGACAAATATGAGATATACAAACTTCAGATATATATCTCGCTTGTGCAGAAACGGGCAAAAATGCAACAAGTCAATGCGGATCTCATCACTCGTCGGATTGATATCCAGTTGAACGCCGTAAGCAATGATCTCATTCATTACTCTTTCTACCCTTCTCAAGCAGTAACTACGGAGAGCTCTCTAACACTGTGCTATAGCTGCAGAATCTCATAACACAATACGATTCTCTCGTAAATCTCGAAATCGCCCGAGATTCCAAAGTCGTCGCCGCTGCAAGCCAACGAGACTCCTATGCGATGAAATCCCTGGCGGTGGTCACAATGGTCTTTCTTCCAGGCACCTTTGTCGCTACGCTCTTCTCTATGCCGCTCTTTGATTGGTATGGCTCGGAGAACTTAAGTGCTTCAGGACTTGGGATCTACTGGGCTACTGCGATACCGTTAACTGTGGTCACACTTTCAATCTGGATAGTCTGGACGTACCTTCAAAGCGTACAGATCAGACGGCAGAATATGAGGGCAAAGAGAAGCCGTTATGAAGGCACGGATATGTCTGAAATCACGATTCTGACAAGCAGAAGAAAATCCGAATACACAGTATGAGTTGTTTTCCAGGCTGGAAATATTTTTGTTTTCCTTTTCCTTTTGCCCTCTCCTTGTAATACACTTTGACGAAGTCTGAAATTGTTGTAGGCAGCATTTCATCAATATGAATCCATGATTACTATTTCATTCGGTCATTAAACAGTGTCATGTTCACGTTCGGAGACCTTCGCACAGCGAAAATGGACGTCTGGCATCCAGACGTAGTTTCCGGCCGTGTTGAGCAGCTTGAGTACCGATGTGAAGTGGGTCGAAGCGTGCATGGGGATGGCGTACTCTGTGGTTTTCTTTGCTGCATCGGCCTGCCCGCTCTTGGCGGGAGCGCTGGTTGCGAGGGATGGCGGCAAATTCCTATGCATGAAAGTGTAGACAATGCGGCACTTTTGCGTGGGAACGTCATGTCGATGGTGACTTGCCTTGTGCGAGTTCAAGGAATCAGCCAAACAAGGACATTGTTCGAGCTCAGGGCAATGGATAACGTGCACGAATGCCTGGTCAAAGTTCAAGAAAAGGAGATTTGATTGTTTTCGTTAGAAGCTATCTGAGAAAAGGCCTTTGTATTGCCCTGTTTTTGGAAAGGAAACCACCGCTTGTAATCCAGCGCAGTCCTCCTGCGCATTTAATAGTCAACGCAGCTACTGATATGCCTGCTGCGGCCAAACATCGATGAGTTGATATTTGGTTGACCATCTTCAACCACCACACTACCAGACAGTATGGCTCAGTGTCTCTCCGAACCCAAGTCCGCTCCCGTCGAACTATGCGGACGGCTCCTATTCGCACCTCCTCCAGGAACCGGCCTTTCTCTCATGTCCACAGAGTGGGCAAGTAATGTACCTGTAGCCGGCTGGCATGACCATTTCGAAGTGCTGGCAGCAGCGTGAGCACCTGTAGCATTGAACGTCGTTGAGATCGTCTTTGAGCCGCCTGATCTGAGTGTCTCCCCGATTGACCCTGTTGTATAGCAGCTCAAGCTCATCGTTTTTGCCTTCGACCCTGATTTTCAGCTTCTTGATCTCAGCATCTGCCTCTTTGATCTTGTCTTGCAGCTTCTTGATCTCAGGGTCTGCCCCTTTGGCCTTGTTTTGCTCTTTCTTGATCTCAGCGTTTACCTCTTTGGCCTTGTTTTGCAACTTCTCGATCTCAGCGCTTGCCTCTTTGGCCTTGTCTTCCAGCCGCTTGATGTCGACGTCAGCCGCAAGGAGCTGTTCTGTCTTCGTGGAGTTGGAGCTGACCAGATGGCGTATGAGCTTCTCCGTCAGGTCTGGTGCGTTCTGAATCATGGCTTGAAGGTGGTTTCCAGAGATGAGCTCACTTGCGTGCGATAGGGCATAGTAGGAGAGTTCATCGTGAACGGAGCAGGCGGCCTCAGAAACGCTAGCATAGATGGTCTGAACAAGTCGAGGGAAGACTTCAAGAGTCTTCGGCTCTTCTAGGGCTGACTTGATGGCGTTGAAAGCTTCCTCCTCGAGCTTGGCAACTTCATACAACTTCGAGATGATGTAGACGTCCGCATGAGCAAGCAAGGGTTCGGCATCCTCGTCGGGAGGTGATTCGAATTCAGCAGCACGGGGCGTGGGCTCATCGGTATCAGAGTTCTCCGGTCCCTTCACAGTGTAATGTCCCGTGTAGAGGAACTCCACCAGGCGCTTGATCGCTTGAGGCGGATCATGTTTCATGTCGATGACGCTTGAGTTGGCCTAGACATAGGTAGAGTAAGCTACGGCTTTCTTATAGTAACATGAGGGATCATACCAAGAAGCGGCCGGGTTTCATCGCGTTCGCGAAGAACTCGCACTGTGTGCAAAGTACAACACGGTGCACCTTCAGTTCAGTGTCGTCACTCAGGCGGAGACGAAGGTCGCAGTAATCGCCGCTTTCGACGGCCCTGTAGACGACTCAGTTCTTCATCACAGGTGGGGCGAAGAAAGTTCCATCAACAACTTACTTGTAGATAGCATCATTTCCTGGTAAGCCGGCCATGTTGGATGCCACTGTGCAGCAGCACGCGTGGCGAGGGAAGTTTTGCTGTGTCTTCTCTTCTTTTTTGCGATCGTGTAGAGTGTAAGTTCAAGAAGCTGAAACGAAGCCCGGGGTTGGGGTTTTATAGGCGAGCTGGCGACGGTGGAACAGTGAATGCGGAGGGACAGAAAACACTCACAGCTTGCGGCATGCATGCCTTGTGTTAATGCCAAAAGGAAGATCCGTGCCCACGTGTTGAAGCAAAACGAGGTCAGCTTTACATTCACGTTCAATCTGCCATCAGAAAAGGCAGCGAGATGGAAAAAAAAAAAAAAAAAAAGCGCGCAACCAGCCTGACGGCGGCGTATCTGCGCTCAGCAACGCTGGTATATAGTAGTGGTCTTAGTTACGACCAAGCCTTTCAATGATAAAACAGGTAGAACTATTTTCCAGTTCAAGTCACTTAATAGTCTGTACTCCCAAAAGCCAGTCCTGTTTTCAATGAGCCTCAATTCAAGCTTTATTCCAACTACCAACGGAAAGCGGCCTCTGCTGACACATGCCATCATTACAGCAACGATTGATCACCCATCTTTGAATGGAGTTGTCCCATTAACGTGCACTATCCTCTACGATAAGGGATATCTGGTTTCCTCTCTTTCAATGCCTCCCCCGTAACGGAACAGATGATCTTCTCCGCATGCTTACCCTTCAGCGCCTCTATTCAATTCGCCTGGGCCCTCTCTTGGACCAACTACTCTGCATAAACAAAAGCCTGACTCCTCAATGGTTCGAAGAAAGAAAAAAGAACTCTCCCAAGTCTGCGACCTAGCAAGGATTCTATGGTTTAGGGAGAAGACTCGGAGTTCCACCCTTTCCAAAGCTTTGTTGCTGCATATCTGAACCGGAGAAGGACATGAGGCAAGGACTCAGACTCAGACCCTCCAATCACCCAACCAATCTGGTCAGTAATAAAACGAATCATCGCTGCCGCGCCTTTGCCTCTTCCGCGGGCTCGCCATAAGCGCATCAGCTAGTTTCATCGTCTCCGCGAGAAGCAGCATCCGCTCCGTAATATCCCACGGGCCCTTGACGTCTTCGGGCGGGGGTAGGGCATGGCGTTTCTTCCATACAGCATGGGTGGCATGTTCCTTGCAGCAGTAGGCGCAGGATAGCTCTTCGTACATCATGGGAGGGTCGGGATGGAGCAGTGCGGGGAAGGTGACTGCGCACTGAGGACACTGGACCCACGTAGGGGGTGCCTGAGGGATTTTCGCCTGGGCGCGGGCGAGCTCCTTCCAGAAGTCGTTGACGGGGCTCAAGACGTTCTCGAAACGCGGGCTCAGGTACAGGGTGGTGAGGTTCTCGACGCAGAGCTTCAGGATGATGTCGCGGAGCCGCCGGCCGCTGTTGATCGAAGGAGTCGTTTTCTCGTAGATGAATCGGACGACTCTTGGGAAGTCTGGATTTAAATGGTACTTGTACATTTGCATCTTGTCGCGAACCTTCAGGGCTGCGTGGAGCATCATGAGGCTGACCTCGTACTTGTCGGCTAGCAGGAAACAATGAAGATGGAACATGATGTCCTGAGTAATGATATCGTCGTCTTCCTCCTCCGTTTCTGATTGGGAGTCGTAGTCGTAGTCCTCTGGAGCATAGTCGTCGTCCTGATCCGGGTGATATTCGTATTTTTCTTCGTACATGAAGGTAATCATGGCCTTGACAGTTTTCGGATCATCTTCAGCAAGCTCGATGACCCCCGTCTGTGCCTCCTTTGACCGAAACATTTGTTAGCGCGGGCTTTAGTTGTTTGAAGGCACTGGCTGTTCACCTTGAACGGCGAGTCCGGCTTACACGCGTTGTGGAAGAATCTCGACTGCGAGCACACAACGACTTTGTGGACTTTGTGCTCTGAGCCGTTGTTGCATCGGATGGTCAGGTCAGCGTAGAGACCCTTTCTCATCATCCTATCGTCGCATTGAGTCACACGTCGATCCTGTACACCAGAGAGATGACTAACGATCTCACTCCATCCTTCAGAGAAACTCCATTGGAGGTCTCCTTGTTCACAGACATGCCGTTCTGGGACATGACTGGCCTTGGTTCTGGTTGTGTTGTCTTGTTGAAGCGATGGGAAGATGTGCAAACGCGTCCGCCAGGGTCCGCGCTATTTAATACACGTTGTGGGTCCGTGCTCAACCGTGTCAAGGGTTTTGTTATCGGACGTCCTCATACCTAAGATTATAGTGCAGTCTTTCCTTGGCCATGCGCTTTCATAGCGATTGAAATGCGTTGATAAAGCCACAATAGCAGGCGGATATACGTGGCTGTCAACATCTTTGTGAACCTGAACGAGAGAGAAGATGGGAAGCTCGACTTTCCCCCGGCGGAAGACACTTCCTCCACAAGCCATCACCAAGCAAGCCAGCTCGTTATGTAGTACATGTAATCAGATTAAATAGTCGGAGTTTCCTCGCAACCACCCAGTTCGCTGTCACAAATGGCAGAAGATTGCAGATCTGATAAGATATCACGTGTTTTTATTCCCAATTGAGGCAGGGAGCGGCCAACCCAACTAAATAACTCCTCCTCCAAGGTGCATCAATATATATAGATCACTTTTCGCGCAAAGCGTTGCACAGGTCATTCCATTCCGAGCCCAGAAAACGACATAAAGAAAGAAAAGAGGAATCGTAACTCAATTTCCGTGGATGATAAAAAGGAAACCCCGGCCCCCACCCCCGCACCCCCTTTCCCAGAAGACATGCCATAAAAAAAGGGAAAAAAGTCATGATCAGATTCAATCCATCCTCTGCCTCTTGGCGGCCCTCTCGGCCTCTTCCTTTTCTTCTTCCTCGTTAGGATCGTACTTTACCATATTAGCGCGCCACGTCTTGTGGTCATCCACCGCGTGGCAGCCCCAGCACGACGGGCTGCGCTCGTCCTCCTCCCACGGCAGGTTCATCATGACCTCTCCGCACGTCTGGCAGCGATACAGCTCCATCCAAGGCCAGGTGGCCGAGTACTGCGCGAACGCCGCCCAAAAGCCCTCGATGCCGTCCATTTCCTCCACGAACGCGGGGTTGCGCGTGAAGTACTTGAGGCGCGTCTTGACGATGGCGAGGGCGACGCAGCGCAGGCGCTTGTCGCTTTCGGGGGTGCTCTCGAAGATGAGCGAGACGACCTGCGGGAAGTCCGGGTGGCGCCAACCCTGTTGGCGGACGGCGTCGTCCATGAAGGCGCGCCAGGCTTGTTCCTTCAGCTCCGACACTTGGTACTTCTCGGCGATGCCGTACAGGCCGACGGCGTACGCCATGCTGCGGCCCGGGTCGCTGCAGATCAGGTCGCCGTCGATCACCGAGGACTTTTGCACCCGCGACGTGTAGAAGTAGCCGAGGAGGCCGTCGACGAGGATCGGCTCGTCGTCGTCCAGCGAGATGACGCCGGTGCCCTAGAAAAAAGTGGGGCGTTAGTTGATGTGTTGTGCTAGAAGCTGTCGGTGGTATATTTTTCCTGCTCCTTTGGCTCTTCCACTCTCACTCTTTCCCCACACCCCAACAAATGCAGAAACGACAACAAGGGAAAAAAAGGGAGCGGGCAAGCATACCCCGATGGGCGAGTCCGGGTGTAATAAGTTTGCGAAGAAGTCGGATTGCGGGCCCAGGACGACGCGGTGCAGGTAAAAGGTGTATTCGCGGCAGCGGAGGATCAGGTCGCTCCAGTTGTGGTTCTCGAAACGGCCCTCGTAAAGCCTGGCGAAAAAAACGAACATAAGCCAGAGTGTTCCCAACAACGGCAACCACTTTTGTTTCTGGTGGATTGCTTTTTCTGATGATAGCGCGATTCATGTGGATCGCACTAGTAGGAGGGACCCCACTTCTCCAAGCCGCGTTTAAAGTCGCTGTTCACCCGGTCACTCTCGGACTCGGTGTAGGTGCCGTCCTGCTGCGGTTTGACGTTGTAGCCCAGCGGCGGGAAGCGGTAGAAGCCGGGGGTCGAGATCTTGGTGCTGCTGGGGCGGGTCGGGATGCTGAATTCCCCTGAGCTGCGGGCCGTCATGGGCGGCGACGGCGGCCGGCTGCCGGTCGACGACGCGGCGAAGGCCTTGAGGCGGGCGAAGGAGGCGTCCATTTTTCGGTTCGTGATGGGAGCACACGGGGTACGCGGAGAGGAGGGGATGACAACGCAGAACACACACAACAAAGGTTTGCAGCCGTGCCAGGTCTTATGTAGTCTCTCGCGGTGAGCTCATCCCACAAATTCCCTGAAGCGGTATGGCGCCGACGGACGTGGACAGTCGTGCACAGGCCGCCAACATGCTTCTTCACCGGTGAAGCAAAGTAGTTGCCGAGCGAACCTCACGCCAGGAGCGCATCGAGCAGCTGGCTTGAGAGTCCAAGTGCGGTGCTGCCTGCGCCTGTTCACAGCACCGCCGCCGTCGCCGCCGCCGATGCTGCTGCGGCGTCCTGCTGCTGCACCACTCTCCGCCGCCAGACGGACCCCATCTCGGCGGGCACGTCCATCAGCGCCAATTCCCTCCACTGAGCAGCCGAATGTTCCAGACCGCACGCCGGACACTTGTTCGACCCCGCGTCACGGATCTCCAGCGCGACCTGCGAGATGCACGACGGGCAGCAGCGGCGGTCGAGGTCGGGGAACCGCTCTCCATACCGCCTGAGCTCGTCCCAGAACGTCTCGAGCGCGTCCATGTCGTCCTCGAAGTGCGGAAACGTCGCCGCGAACCAGGCTAGAGCCGGTTTGACGGCGCTCAGCGTCGCGTGACGCAGCGGCTTGTCGCTGTCGGGCGTCGACTCCCACACCAGCGCGATCGTCTTGACAAAATGCGCCGACTGCCACTCGCCCGCGTTCACAAAGTCGAGGAACGCCGCCCACGCCCGCAGCTTCAGGCCTGCGACGCGGTACTTCTCGGCGATGGCGTACACGGAGGCGAAGAAGCGCGTCTTGCGGCCCTCCTTCAGCCGCACGTTCTCGTGCAGCGGGATGTCCTGGATGTAGAAGTACGCGAGCAGAACTTCTACCAACTCAGGGGGATCCTCGCTGAGGTCGATGACGCCCGTTCGTGCCTCCTGCTCGCACAATAGTTTTAGCTGACCTGGGTGGCGCCACGAGGAAATCCCAAAGGGCAAATGGCATGTCGCACCACGAAGGGGGAGTCGGGCTTGCAGGCATTGTCGAAGAACTCGCACTGTCCGCAGACGACGACTTTGTGGACATGGTACTCCCGCCCTCTGCACTTGACCACGAGATCCGTGTACTTTTTGTCGGAAAATCGGTGGTCCCAGTAGCTGCCAAAGGGCGACGATCAGTAGTGTGCACGGTGGAGTAGAGAAAAAAAGTCGGCTCACCCTTTCAGCGCATTAGACAGGCTCTGGTCACCTCGCGGCAGCCCGAGCGTGTAGCTGCCCGTCTTGGGCTTCAGGTCGTACCCCAGGGGGGACGGCATCGTCGGAACTCTCGGTCAGAGATCGCTCAATGACGCTCTGGATGCGGTTATCGCCCTGCAGATGCGAGCAGGACGTGAGGTTAAGGAGCCTGGGTCCCGCCCAAGCCTGAAACTATAGCGCGCCCGCGAAATCCAGAACGCGCCCTGACGCCTGGGCACGTGGCATGATGTGCACACCCGAGTCTTTATCGATAAGCAATCCACCTTGCTGTGACGTTCGTGTCATGGGTAGTTGAAGCTATTGTCTGGACAAAAATGTCGAATCAATAGTTATACATTCTCGTCCGGGCGATAGCTTCATCTACCCATAACATGAGCAATAAAAGAAACGTCTCTGTTCCAAGACCCTGCTACTCTTCGCGCCAACCATCGGCTGTAATATCCTTCTTTCACATTGCAACAAGAACGGAAACTTGAATCTCTTGCCCGGATATAAATGTAGAATTTTTGTATCTAAAACTACGTCCGGGTGAGAACTTTGACTGCCCACGTAAGCCGAGTGCCTTTGGTCTCGAGAATGAATGCCAAGTACTTTTTTTTTTCTTTTTTAGAGCCACTTAGTCCTGGCCATGACTTTATCTGACCAAAATGCCCCATCCTTGCGGTCACGATCCTCCTCAATCAAGGTCGCACCCTAGCCTCTATGGCCATGTCCACTGCCACGAGCATATAATGTACGCGCCGAAGAGTCCTCCCACTTAGCGCCAATTAATCTCCCCAAGAAGCCTGTGCCGTGGTGCAGTGAATAAGAGTAAACCTTTGCATTTGGATTGTCCGTGGAGAAATACTTCCTTAAAAGGGTAGGCTATCCTTTCCGAAGTATGAGAGCTGGAGGTACGACAGCTATGGGCAGCCAGCAAGATACCAGGCAAACTCTTTCCAGAATTCCTCCGGAATCCTTCGATCGCAGTAGAAGGATTGATTGCCCATGAGTTCCTCCGCATGGAGCGAGCAGAATGCCAGAATCGCGTCTTTCAAGCCGCGGTCCGGATCGACGCACGTATGGTAGACGCCTGCAAGGCAGAGGCCCGGTGCCAACAGAAATCCCTCCGGCGAAAGATGGTGGTGAACTTGGAATGTGAACTTGGCGTCCGAAAGCTGCTTCAGCTCTTGGAAGTTAATGGCTGATGCGAAGCCGTAGACAACGATGTGGAAGCCGGCAGTGAAGACTCCACCGATATCCCCCATGAGAGCCCAGTGGCAATTGTAGCTTCCCGTGTAGATGAATTGCAGCATGGGGAGGACGTAAATATGGTCCCAACTATCAATTGTGATGATGTCGCAACCTAGCTGTAGTCGTAAATTATTAGAGACTGTCGCAATAGACCTTGAAAGTCTATACTTACATTCTCATCAAGGTGAATGCCGTAAGTATCACTAAGGCTGGGAACCTGACGCAAGACGATGGATTTGTGGCAGTGGAAATCTCGACTCTCGCGCATCGAGCAACGGATGACAAGATCAGTGTCGGCCGTAGAACGAAATCCAACTCGCACAGCTCTTCCTGAAAGTCAGTTTCACCCAGGCTCAGCGGGGAAGACTATACTTACTCATGGAGTAGCCTAGTGATAGGCGTGTCGATGCCAGAGGCACGGCCTGCACGGTTCTCGTTCATTGCGCGCCCGGTTGACGAGGAAGTGCTGTGGTTGTGGAGGAAGAGTTTAAGAGTGAAGCAGCCAGAAGCATTAAAAGCCCGGCTGCCAGATATCCAGGGTCTTTACTTGACTAAACCTCTTTCGGAAACTTGGAGAACACTCTTACGGCAAGAGCTGGCTTTTGCGCCAGGCACAGGGAAGAGCATCGAGTCCGTTGAGGTTGGAGTTTTTTGAATTTGCTTTCGTTGTATCCCGTTCTTCGTGGCAAACATCTTGTCCGATTCCGCCACGTATCCGACGTCAATGAAAAGCAATCGGAGTACCATTTATATCGTTCGGTGGGGATACGAGGTCCGGTTCCTTTAGTATTACAACAAAATCGAGGAGATGAAGCTCTTTTCCGGATGAATTTGTTCACATCTATATCGTGCATACATGTCCGGATCAACGCTTCAAATGCCCCTCTGTTGTCATATAAATGGAACTGGCCTCGCACCTTGCTTTGTTACAACAACTGAACAGCCAAATAAACGTGAAGAGTGGAATTAAACCGTAAAGCACTAGTCGGCCGCAGAATCGCCCAGCAAATACTCGCCCGCTTTCACAAAGAAAAGGAATCCATCAAACCAAAACGGCCGTAAAAAACACTGAAGGCACGAAAAAGTCCTCCTCCTTCTCCCATCAACCAACATACGAACAGCCCCCCCAAACCAATCCCGCCTACTCCCACCCCTCCCTTACCACCCCGCCGGACCCCCATCCTCCCCCGCCACGCTCGAAGGCCGCTCAATCACATCCTCCGGCTCAGGCGGGTCATCAGGCTTGATTAACCTCTTCTTCCACGTCGCCGGCGAGAACCCAGCCGCGCAATACATACAATTCAGCAGCTCCGTCGGGCACGGTTTCGGGATATTCCACGCCACGGCACGCCGACACACCCCACAGCGATACCTACGACAATCCACCACCACCGTCTTCGTCGGCGCTTGCTTCACCGCCCCCGCCCCCGCCGCCCCCGCCGCAGAACCGTTAGCGACCAACTGGCGCGCAAACTCCTTGCCAAAGACGCCGAGCTGGTCCATGACGTCCTCGAAGGCGGGGTTAGCGAGCAGCTCGGCGGCGTGGGCGGCGCAGACGCGGAGCGCGCGGTCGCGCAGGCCGCGGTCGGAGTCCGGGGTGGTTTCGTAGATGGCGCGGACGGCGGCGGGGAAGCGCGGGAAGGCGTGGTCGACGTCGCGGTCGAAGTTGCGGGCGGCGAGGGCCTTGAGGGAGGGGATGTCGTAGATCTCGCCGACGGCGTACATGTGCACGTGGAAGATCATGGCGTCTTCGTTGCGGGAGGGGGAGGAGGAGGAGGGGTGGGACGACGAGGACGAGGACGATGAGGTTGGGCAGGTGTAGGTGAAGGTGTAGCAGAACTCGAGCATCGCGCGCACCGTGGCCGGGTCGTCGTGCCGCAGCTCGATCACGCCGGAGAGGGCTTCCTGCGCAAGAGACGAGTGATGCGTCGGTGAGCTGGTCTGGGTACTGGTGGTGCTGGTGACGGCGGTGGTGGCGGTGCTACTGGTACTGTTGCTACGGCCTCTGCTGCTACCACCGCCTCGCCGTCGCCTCCCGCGCTTGGGTTGATGTACCTTGAAGCCGGTCTTTGGGTTGCACGCGCGCCGAAAGAACTCGGATTGGCTGCACAGGATCACGCGGTGGACTCGGTGCTCGTCGCCATTGTTGCAGCGAATCAGCAGGTCCGAGTACTCGCTCGTCTTCCAGATGCTTTACACATTGATCAGCAACGTTGGGCGAAGGAGGGTTGGTGAAACATCTATCGCACTTGACGAGGTTGTTCTTGAGTCGCAGTACGGGATCGTCATTATTACTGACGGACGCCATCACCCGTGGGGCGGACGACCGGCTGCTGTAGAAAATATTCTTGAAGATCGACTTTTACAAGCGGAGTGTGGCGCACAGGAAAAGCAAATATAGACTGCGGTGATGGGAAAGAATGTGGTGTTGGTGACGTTGGCTGGCGGCGGGGGGAGGTTGGTGTCGCGAGCTGGAACATCAAGCCCCGCTTTGCCACACCAGGGAAAGCGCCCGTGTCACAATCTCGTCACATTATTTGACCCGGCCTGAGGCTGCGCGTTCAGTGTCAGTCAAGCATCACGTCTAGAGGGATGAGGATCGAGGTCTGGAGTAGTCTCAGCTCGAGCGCCGGTCCAGCTGGCGCAGACGCACGTGTGCAGCGGCGGCGGAAAGGTGGGCGGCGCTTCGGAAAGTGGGATGGCAGTGGAGCGTAAGTGTTTTTCCGAGCACAGAGCGCGGAAGAGTGGCGGCTGCGGGAAGCGGCACATCCTTCGCAACGCTCGACCACGCGGGTCGAGCGACCGGCTCTCATCAGACGGGCGGGAAGAGATCCAACGGTCGCTGGCGGGGATGTCTCACGATGGGGTAGGAACATCCCCCGCATTACAAAGTATGGGGTAAGCAGCGCGCGGAATTGGGTTGTCACGGGGAAGCGTCGGGCTCGCGAGAGAATTCCGAAGAAGCCCATTTGCTGACCCATGCTGAGTAGAGATCTCGGAAACCGGCGTGCGATCACTAATGTTATGTCGCTGTGACGCACTCCAGCAGTTGGTGATGTCTGACGTACGCTGACGGAAGCCCTGGTAAAGCGGCGAGGATCCACCGCTGCGATCAACCCCAGAAATGCTGCGACAGGCAGTGAGGTCGGTAGATCCTGCCGACCGCCCCAGACTCCTGACGCTGGCAGACGTCGTGATGGCAGGGTGTGGTGCGAAAGACGGACGCCACCGACACCGGCGGACCCTGTCGCAGTTATTCATCGGAAACCCACGCCTGAAACGGAAACGGAGCGCGACATCGGCGCAGTCCGCTGAATGCTGCCCAGATGCGGCATGGCGACGCGGACAGCCCGCTAGCCTCCGCCTGCTGCTGCTACTGCTGCTGTCGAAGCTTCCACCGATCCCACCCCTGCCGGCTGCATGCTGGCATGCATGCTTTTGGCAACGTCGCACCACACAACAATCCATTGGGTAAGCTTAAGATCGTGGTCAGCTTTCACAAGCTCGGGGCCTACTGTTGGGACGCCCACCGCCTCTTCACGGTGGGCTCAGCTTCTGACAGCAGCGGCACCGTGGTGGACTGAGTTATTGCGTGATCGGCGACCAGATGGGAAATATCGGCACGACACGAGTTATTGAGCTGGCCTTGGGCAGAAAGAATCAGCCAGGGAGACACGGAGCGCATTGGAGTTCCGGAGAGCCTAGTGTGCTAGTCCGCTCGTCCGGGGGCGCATCGCTTAGAGTGGACATAGCCAAAGGCGGTGACGGTTTGATGAGTTATCAGATGCCACGGGTGCGGCTAGATCCTGCGATAACACGCTGGTGAGGGCGGCGGAGGGGCCGGCACAGCTCATCATTACCCAAGCCTGTGCGTTGGGATTATCAGGAGGCGAGAAGCAAGGAATTTTCTGGATCAACCGTGCCAACGGGGCGGCCAGCGAGCATTCCGACGTGGCGGAGTGTCAGGCATAGGCTCGGCGGGCCACTCTACCGCTGGAGTCCTGGTGGAGTCCGACACCGGAAATTATCAGATCGATTTCCCTAAACGGCTAAGACGGCAGGGAGGGAGATTAGATTGAGCCAGACGGAAGTATGTATAGGGCTGACAGGTTCGATGGCCATGCCAGGACCCAGCGCCAGAAAGCCACCAAGTCGATCACGCCAGGGAGTCCGATCTGGCCCCCCGTCGTTCAGTCTGAGAGTCATGAACATCATGCCGTCGCAATCACCAAAACCAGCAGCGGCCAAGGCATAGCAGAGCACTGCAATTAGGAGTCGCGTGCGATTGCGTGGCCTAGGGCTGCAGGACACGGCGCGGGGGTTTAAAACAGGCCAATGCGAGCCGTCTGGTATAGGGTGCGTAAGCGTCTGCAAGCATCTGGTGCGCGGCGCAGCCTAAGCCGGCCGGATCGCGAAACATTGCGACGCGTCGCGCCGCCGGCCCAAAGACCGTGCCAACCCGTACCTGCGTCAGTCGCAGCCATCACGACTACGCGGACGGACTCGGCTGAGCACATGAGAAACACGGCGCGTTGGGGCCGTTGGGGGCGTGTCGGCGTTTTGAGCGGGTTGGGAGCTGGCAGAGCCGCGGAATTGTGGGCGCTGCATCATGGCGTGCTTGCTGGGGCGCAGAGAGCAACAAGTGCCGGGCGCGCTCCCGTTGGCGGAAGACGGAACGCGAGTGTGGACGGTCGCGTGAGGACGAGGGCAGTCTGGCGGGTGTTCGCGGGCAGTGCAGCCCGAGGCAAAAGTCTCCTGGGGCCTGGGGGCAAAAGCGGCGACGCCAAGACGCCCAGTTCCAGCCGCAGATCCTGCCGCTTCAGGGCTTTTCGTCGGTCCGGCAAAAGATTAGGTAGATCCGGGCATCGCTTGTCCCCCAGAACCACCGTATCCTCAACACGCCCACGCCGATTCAAATGCGCTAGATGCCCCCGCCGTGCCCATTCCTGTCCTTTCTCCCCGTAACCGCTTCCACTCTCCACCGTGTCGTCCCTAGTCCCGCGTCTCGTGGCGCGGCGCTTGTTAAACGGCAGTCGCGCCTGCAGAGCCTGCCCGTCCTCTCTGACGAAATTTGATCAGATAACTGGTATGCCCCTCCACAGCCCACCACCCCCAGGCGCCGCCATGTCGCCATGCACGCCCGTGCTCTCCCACGTCCACCCATATATTCGACGTGTCCCGTGTCCACGCTGACCACCGTGTGCCCGCCCAGCTGAACCCTCCCACTCTCAGCGCCGCTCTCTGCTTGCCACACCTGCCGTCGCCATGGACGTCACCTCAAGTCCGCGGCAGCACGCCGTGCCCACCACCGAGACCTCTCACCCCAACGACCCCATTCCTCATGAGCCTGCTTCCATCACCAAGTTCAATGCCCCCCGGAATGTCCCCTCGAACAGCTCCTTCCGCTCCTCGCACGATAGCCTTTCCTGGTCCGACTCGAGTGACTCAGAGGCGCCCTCGACGCCGAACACAGAGCCCATGAACGACCAGCAGGCTGAGGAGCTTGTGGACAAGCTGGAGAACCTGCCGGCGCCCTCCGTCGAGATCACTCCCAAGCCGGACAAGGCGCGCCGGGCCTCGACGACCCTTATCTCCGAGGATGCTGAAGGCATGCGCAAGCTCCTCGGCGATGGCGAGACCGGCACCAAGCTCATTGAGAAGTACTGCTGTGGTGGTGGTTGCTGCTTCGTGAAGACGCTGCCGCCGGACACGGCCGGCCCCAACTTCACCCCCGTCGTCCTTCCCGACAACGAGGCGTTCCGCAGCCTGAACCTTAAGCTGGGTCCGCTCAGCCTCGACACCAAACTCGAACAGACTCCCGAATTGCCCCAGGAGACCGTGTCCTTCGACGTAGCCCCTGCCACGGAGCACAAGCATGTAGCCGAGGTCCTCAAGAAGCCGCCTCCTTTTGTCCAGCCCCACCCGCCGTACAATGTCTTCTCTGCTCCCGTCCACCACGCACGCGAGCTCACCAAGCCTGGAGCCCAGAAGCGTACCTTCCACTTCGACATCGATGTGACTGACTACCCCGACGAGGGCGGCGTTGACTTCAAGGTTGGAGGTGCCATTGGTATCTGCCCTCCCAACCCTCCGGAGATGGTCGATGACGTCTTCGATCAATTGGGTGTGCCCAAGTTCGTGCGGGATAAGCCGACCCTGCTCAAGACTAAGCTGATGAGATGGCCCACCATCTGGGGAGATGAGATGGAGAGGGAGCTTGTGACTACGCGTCGTGAGCTTCTTACCTGGTGTGCGGACCTGCAGAGCACCCCTCCCACGAAGCAACTGTTGCGCCTGATGGCCGAGTATGCCGAGGCCCCCAACGAGAAGCAGATTCTTCTTTACCTCACATCAGCACAGGGTCAAGCTGCCTTCTGCGAGTAAGTAAAGCCGTGTATTGCCGTAAGGGTTCGAGTATTGACATGGATTGAATAGCCTCCGCACTGGATCCCACATCACCGTCCCGCAGCTCCTCCATGCTTTCCCATCCTCCAGGCCGCCGCTCCATGCCCTGCTCTCGGTGCTTCCCCAGCTCATGCCCCGTTTCTACTCTCTTTCCAATGACCCTCACATTTCGTCTGCCCGCCCTGGTATTCCCGGCGGTCGCCGCCTGATCGAAATGGCCGTGACGATCCACGAGGACCCCGACTGGCGTGAGGGCAAGACGCGCACCGGCCTCGGTTCCGGCTTCCTGGAGCGCATCGCGCAGCAGTTCATCGAAGCCGAGCAGTCGGGCATCCGCGACCCGGCCCACGTGCTCGACCTGACGGTCCCCATGTTCCGCGGCCTGATGGCCAACCCGCTGTCGCGCCAGTTCGGCGGCGACGGACCCATGATGCTCGTCGGTGCGGGCGTCGGCATGGCCCCTTTCCGTGGCTTCATCCTCAACCGCCTCAAGAACGCCAACTGCGCCAACAAGATCTGGCTGGTGCAGGGTGTGCGCGACGCGATGCTGGACGAGATCTACCAGGGCGAGCTGGGCGCGCACGAGCGCGAGATCAAGAAGGTGGTCCAGAGTCGCAAGGTCGGGTCGGCGCGGTACGTGCAGGATGAGGTGCGCATGCAGGCCGACGTCGTCTGGTTCGTCATCAACGCCCTCGACGGCCGCATCTTCGTGTGCGGCAGCAGCAAGGGTATGGGCGAGGGTGTCCACAGGGCTCTCGTCGACGTCGCCATGGAGAAGGGTAACCTCAACCACGACGAGGCCGAGGAGTTTTGGGAGAAGAAGAAGGAGGGGGGCCAGTATGTTGCTGTAAGTTTTTTTTCTGACCTCCTGTTCGGTGAATGGGATGCTGACGTGATTAAAGGAAACCTGGTAAATGTCTTGGTCCGGCTCTTTCTCTCTCTTCGGTACATACGCGCGGTTCGATGTGCACATCCGGTCGTGCACGCTGTACAAACACGCCTTTTTTCCGCATACATCCATGATCATTTTTGGCGTTTTTATTGTTTTCGAGGGTATGGTATGACTGAGGAGAGGGGTGGGTACTGCATCGTTTGCATCTTTTTTCTTGTTTTGTCGTCGTCGTCCAAGCTCCGGATACTCCTGAACTTTTTTTTTTTATTTGGGCATATTGTTATTTCTTTTCTTTCAGTTGTGGGATTCCTTAGCATGGCGTTTAATCCGGATGGGACGGAGAAGGGAAGAGAAAAAATGGTCTCCCGACGACGAGGATGCATGGGTTTTGTTGTGGTGGTGGGTTGAGGGCGACGACGACGACGACGATGGGGTCTCCGACGGTACTTCTTCGTTCGCTGCCTCTTTCGGAAGGATACTGCAGCCGTGGTTGTTGTTCGATAATGACGACGATCTCACTCCGGCGACGGCGAGGGAAGTCGACGCAGGGAGTTGGGAGGTCGGTATGCTGCAGATGGGGATCATGATGATTGATAGATGTGAAGAGTGTGTAAAGAATGGGAACAGAAATGATTCAAAATAAGTGTGTCGCTTGGATATGTGATAAGTGTCCGAAGTGTATGTGGGAGGGGATGTGTGGTGAGGGAGATGGGGGGAGGAGGAGGTGTCAGGTAGGCAGCAGGATTTAATATGAGAGATGAGAGAGACTACTGACCCGGGGGGACCGAAGGAACAGACGACGTCGCGACACGGCCCGACCCTCTGGGTGAGCTACTGGCACGCGACGGCATCATCCATCCCGTATCATACTTACCCACCACGCCGGACAATTTTCATGCGCCACGCGCGACAACCCATCATCTTACGGCGGGAGCGATCGGCCTCGGGGATACTTCCGCGCGTAACAGACCCCCCCATCCACCCCATCTATCGAATCACGTCCGCCTTAATCGTAAGCAGAGGTGGCCGAGCTCGCTGGGTCGCAGCCAATCGCCGATCATGTTTTGGGTGTTGCGACTGGGGGCCCTGGTGGGATGTGGTGGATGTTGCTCACGCTTTGCCGTTGTCGGGATGTGGTCGAGGTGTGGTTAGGCCGAGGCCGAACATGTAGTTATGTCCGAGCCCACCCACGCGGGGGACGGACGGGACTGATTATCAGGGTCCTTTTTCGAAGGATTCTTAGTGGCTGAAAGCGGTGGCGCTGGGCTGGGCCCCCCCCGACGACAGAGCGCCTTTTTGCTTATGGGGCGTTATTGTGCGCGATTGGGCAGCATGAGGGGCGAAAAGGTATTGTATGGTACGGGCTGGTGGTGGTTGTTGTGGCGACTCAGGTATTTTACTCGAACGACGACAACGCCTCACGATGAGGGGGGGACATTGCGCAGAGCTCATCAGCAACCCGACATCGTCCGTGTCGAGCTGAGGAAAAAGAAACGAAATGTATGTGCTCCCTCGGGGAAGGATCTCGAAAGAGCATAGGAAGACGAGGAAGAGATTTTATTTCTTATTTATCTCCTTCCTGGTTGGCTTGCGGCTGCGGAAGAGCGATTTTCGAAAGAGAGAGGTCTTATTATGCGGTTACCCGCTGCTGCCGCTATGACCTGGGGCGGGGCCGCGGACCGCGGCCGGTGTGGGACGGGTGTTGTGCAGGATGATTATTTTGGGAGGCGTCTGGTTGGTCGGCTGGGGCATGCGGGTCCCCCTAGCTTGGGTAACGTTCGGTCTCAGCATGGGGCATCAATCTTTCGATTTTTCGAGGAAAGGATGGAAAGGATGATGATCGTGTGATTGGGGGCGTGGTCCACCAAAAGGCAATCTCCGGTGAACGAGGTTGCTTGCGATGCCAGGTTTTGGGGTGGATTCGGGGACGCCAGATTGGGGAGGCGAGAGCGGCGCCGATGGCGGAGGTGCGGTGGTGACGATGGTGAATTGGGAGAAGGGTGATTGGCTGGAGGTTGGTTTCCTTTGGCGAGGCTGTGGATCGAAGGTGGTTCGCTGGTTCATATCAGAAATCCCTTGGTCATTTCATCTTTTCCTCTGTTGACCATGCACCTGCACATCGAACTCCCCCCAGCCGCCGAGACGGTTTGCTTGGTATTGCAACAGAGAACAGGGAGCCGGAGCGCCCATCTCGACATGGATGCGCAACTTGTATGTAAGTGCACCGGGACAAAGGCTTCAACTGCCCTGAACTTGTCCATTACGCATTGATATTCAGATGGACGCGTCAATTACCCCTCTTCCATTGCAATACTGAGTGGACCGGAATCGTATCAACCCAAGCGAGCTCCGTATTCGGAGAGGTCATCGTCCAAAATTTGTGAAGGGTCAGCGGAACATACATCGCGCAGAGTGAGTGTTCATTCATCACCTAGCCGCACACTCTTTGGCTTTTCTTTCCACTACACACAGCATGGCGAGAGTTTTTCTACGAGATACCACCTAGGCTTTTGTCTCATAAGTGTACAGATCCTCTGCAGTGGGTACAAGGAAGGGGATATTGCAGCCGACGGGTAGTGAAATTTATTTTTCTCACATGCCATGGGTACTTGAAGCTATCGTCCGGACGTGAGTGTATAATTATTTATTACACAGTCACATCCCTATGATAGCTTCAACGACCCACACATGTTTTTTTTTTTCGTTTTTAAAAAGAAAATAGTTGGGGCATATTACGCTATATTCCAAGGCCCTGCCATCTTTCGAGTTAGCTATCGGCTATAGCAACCTTCTGTATTAGATCCGAAGGCTGGTGCTGATTTTTTTTCTCGCTCATGTCATAGTCGAAGTTATCACCAGGATACACACGTCGAACTCATAGTTATACGCTCACGTCTAGACAATAAATTCAATTGCCTGTGGGTTTTGTAATTAAAACATCCAATATCATCCACCAAAATAGAAATGGTCATCCTCATCATCCATATCCTCATCCTCATCCGAATCATCTTCATCCGAATCATCCTCATCCGAATCATCCTCATCCGAATCATCAGAATCCCAATCATCAGAATCCCAATCATCAGAATCCGAATCCTCCTCATCTGAATCCTCCTCATACATTTGCTCATACGACTCCTGCAATCCCATGGCTTGTGACTTATTCTCCTTCTGATTTTCCTTGGCCATTTTAAGCGCTCTGCTCATAGCATCTGCCACGAAATTTGGAGAACTCTGGAATATGCTTCTGAATCTCTCTGCAGAAAGAAGTGCCTCCATGTGCTTCGCAGCATACTCGAGTAGAGCGTGTTTCAAACCTGGATCCAGTTTCTGTGCGCCCCCATAGAGGGTTTCAATGAGTTGAGGGAATTCTTTGAGCTCCTGGTCGTCTGCTAGAGCTATTTGAATGTACCTGGACGCACAAGCCTCAAGTTCAGGGATTCCATAAATGATCGAAACGACATAGACCTCGGCATGGGCAACCACTTCTTCTGCGTACCGTATCGAAGCACCTCCGGTCTTGAGATAGTTGAGCCGGTCACTGACGGAGTATTCATCGGTATATAGAAAGTCGACCATGCATCTGATCGCGTTTGGTGGGTCGTGTTTTAGTTCGATAATTCCGGTTTCACCCTCTCGGAAACTGTCGGGCTTTAATGCTTTGTTGAAAAATTCATTTTGTAGACACAACATGGCGCGGTGGCATGTAAACTTGCTACCATCACCAAGATGAAGCTCCATGTCACAGAGTTCGCCATTGTCCGCGGCCCTGTCAACGCCAGTCAATTTTCCTTGATTCCCTGTGGGTAGTTAAAGGGGTGTGTGATGGAGTTATCGAAAACTTACTGGAGCATCGCCCTCCTCCTTACGGATCCCATCTTTGTCAAGAGTGTTTGCTGCACCGTGCTGGTAACGTAGGGTTTCTGCTTGAGTTACCGTTTGGCTTCGGGAGTACGGACTGATAAGCTTGTTCGAGACCTCCACAGGTCAGGTCTATAGGTTGTCTTTATATCCTGCGAATTAATATCTACGAAGAGATTTTCGACTAGATACTTCTTGACTAGACACTCCAGCAAGCCACGGTCCCCTAGCAGCGCTGGCCTCGGTTCCACTATGATATCATCTTCCATGGCTCTCGTTGTCAACCACCGCGGTTCGTGTCTGGTCCCTGGAGCCAAAAGTTGGCCATGCGCTCCTTGAGACGCAGTATATGTATACAGGTCCAAGCCCACTTCGGTCTTGCCTTCAGCGTCCTCAACTTGTTCCCATCGACCTACCCGAGAACAAAGTCGCACTCCACAAACATGATTATTCCCATATTCCTTCCGTCGGGAGGGACTTCTGACACGTCGACACACGACAAAAAAACATACGTCATTGTTATTGGCGTTGTCCTTGGCCTTGTAGTGGGCCTTCCAGCCCTCGCCATCACCATCGGCTATGTGTGGGATCTACTTCGTCGAAAAAAGAGAACTCCTAGCGACACTGAAGCAACCAGCTCACAGCGCCGGTGGATACCGATGACTTTAGTTACAATAACAGCAAGAACAACAACAGCTCCAAGACCATCACCAGCTCCAAGGGTTTCAACAGATCCAAGAACATCAACGACTCCAAGCACTTCGACGGCCCCAGAGACGCCAGGCCTTTCAAGAACTCCGAGAGATTTGACACAGAGAGTGTGAGTGGCTATAAAGAGGGCATAGAGATGATTGCTACTGAATGTTTCCTAACACAAAATCATGAATAGACCCCCATACAATACGCTCCGCTCCCAGAGCAGTCCTTCGTTACCCACCTTCCCGCCCCCAGCCTACGCCGTTTCCACAGACAGACCCACCACGAAGGATGGTTGGACATACAGTAGCTAGGCGTTGAGATGGCCCACGAGGTTGGAGAAGGATGCAGCGCAAGAAGGGGCTAGTACCACCTTGTGTTTCGAAAATTTTCTATTGGCGTCCAAGACTTTGTATATGTAGTGTGTTCGGCGCAGTGACGTAGCGTTGCACTTGACAACGCCCAGTTTTTTTCTTTCTCCCCACGCGCGTGACTCATCTAGTGCGCGGGGGGACTCATTTCAACCAGGGAGATGCCTTTGTTAGTAGATCAGGGTGTGGTGGGACCCTTGGTTCAGATCGAAAGAACCCCACCGCCGAGTGCGAATTCTGTCCAGTCAAAACTCGGCCCAGGCACATCCAATTTTATTGAAAAACGTCCGCCCTGTTGCGCCATCCTCAACACGCTATCGGTCCCACGTGCGCCACCCCTGCTTTGGCGGACGACTTCGTCTTTCTAGCCCCCGTCGGCGTCTTCAACGAGTTCAACAACACACTGCCCAGAGCCTCTCTCCCAGCCAATTAGCCCCGCCACCGTCGAATACAACTAACGCCATGGATTGGAACGACGGAAAAAAGAAGGACGCGATACTGGCAGGCAGCATCGTCGGAGGCATCCTCGGATTCGTTTTGATCCTGTTCCTCGGAATATCGCTGTGGAACAACGTCGTTGGGCCGTGGCGCGAAAGGAGGAATGGCGCGAACGACGCCGCCAGCTTGGAGGAAGGGACCAATGCGGGGGCGATTGACAGGCAACACAGAGCGTGAGTTGACGACAGTGTTACTGGTCCCTCGGATATGTTTGACCTGACATGAGTGTAGACGCATGGTGTCTGAGTTGTTCACAGCGGTGAATACTGTGGAGTTGCCGAACTACTTACCACCTTCTATGCCTTCCTCCAGGACCCGTTATAGATAGTGAGAGCTTGTGGACTTTCTTTTCTTCTCACTATCCGGATATAAGGGGATGGGAGTTCAAAGTGATGTTAGTGTCAACGCGAGGAGAAGAGAAATAATTCAGGTAATTCTAAGTCCCATAAGCATATTTGGGAAATACGTAATTGCAAGAAGTAAATGATGTGGTGTTACAAATAATTAACGGTCATTCGCGCGTACTATATCTGATCTTGCTACCACGTTCTACTTTCAAAGCGCTATAATCGAGGCTTTCACCGTCGATCAGTTTCACTGCGCGCAGAACCATCACTGCCGGGCTCGCTCTTCCCTTATTTGGTAGCCTGCTGGTTTTTACTGATAGGACCTTCCTGTTGCGCTACGAGTACGCGCTCCTTCTTCTGGCATCATCACATGCCATGCTCCATGCATGCCTTGTAAAAGCCCAACATCAGACTTCGTTCCAGCTTCCTGGACATCAGCTTAACATCACCGAAGCCAAACAGTCAAGGCGAGTATACAAGCAAGCAAGGCCGCACCCACAAGGCGCGTTGGTGCGCAGCGGCACTCAAAATGTCGTTGTTGCCGAACATTCTCTACAAGTAAGTGAATGACCTCAATTTCTTTGCCTCACCTGTACTGAGCAGAGTTAGCTAACTAAGTCTTCCACAGGGATGCGGAGAATGGCAAGTATACGGACCTGACGCTTTGCCTCAGTGACGGCACGGAAATCAAGTGCCACCGCTCGGTGATCTGCACGCAATGCGAGTTCTTCGCGAACGCACTGAAGCCAGGATTCAAGGTATAATTCTTCCTATTGTATAGAAGTTTGTTCTCACTCAGTTCTCGCATAGGAGAGCTCCGGAGTTATCCACTTGAAGGACGATCCACCCCAGGCGATTCGGCACATGGTGAAATTCTTCTACACGGGACAATACACTACCACAGAACAACCAGAGAACCCTGGTCCTGATCAGACAATGTCTCACGATACTCCTTCTGATAACGAGCCTGGCCCTACTGGATTACCTCCCGACGAGTATGCTAAAGCTATACTTGCTCACGCGGAAGTCTACATCGTCTCGATCATCTACCGGGTTCCAAAGCTCGAGGATGAAACTTCCAAGCTTATCAAGCTCGCTCTGGAAAAAGATAACATCATTGACGTCTTCCCTCAGCTCGCCCAGGCCATCTACTCAGGCGTTCCTGATTTCGTCTGTCACCTTCGCGGAGATCTCATCAAGTACGCCGAACAGCACCTGGTGGAGCTTACCTCTAAAAGCCTGTTCCAGCGCATGACGTCCGAGGCGCCGGAGCTTATGGAGAAAATCATGCATGACCTGGTCGAGGAGAATAAGCGAAAAGAGTTGAAGCTGAAGAGCAAGGAACGTTGCATTGATGAGCTGGAACAAACGGTCTCTCGCCTCCGCAAGGTCGATTACAAGTGCCCTTCGTGCCCCAAAAAGTTTCAAATGCTTATGCCAGACGGCCGCGTCAAGGTTGGCTGCCCAGGCTGCGGACGCGTCAGGCTAGCCATCTCTTGGGAGGCGCATAAGGTTCGAGAACCATTCATAGCTCAGCCGATAGCTTGAGGGAAAAGACTGGAATTTTCAGTCCGGTAGCTTGAATAGCATTGAACAATATATCATCTCCGGGTCCGGGTCTCTTACTGAAAGTGTGAGCATAGACGTTGAGAAATGGATGTTACGGTTGAATCGTGAGAGTCCCGAGACTGTGCTATCGGCCAAATCGTTCAGATGATGAGCTATGCTGGAGCCGCCGAAGAAGTCAGTCCGCAGCCGCCGTATGCATACTTCTGGAGCAGTCAACCAAGTGTTTGAAAATGAAAGAGGGTGACTTTGGCTGTGTTTTGGACTTTGTCATAGCCTGTGGAAGTAGAGGTGGGTGGCTCGTGCTCAGAGAGGCATGTAGCTTGGGTGGACGTCACAGGACTGGGGCAAGCTTTGGTGAATGGACTGGCGCTTGCTGCAGTGGTTGCCCGGCTGGCAAGTGGAAGCTTTGGCCATCTGCAGGTCGTGTGCCTGCGCGCGCCATGAGGCTATAAAAACGTCTCCTCTGCGCCACTGCACTTCGACTCTCCACCATCCATATAGGCTCAAACGGCACTCCAAGTCCAACATGCATTCCAAACTGACCTTCACCGACGGGGTCAACGGTATATACATTGCCCCCCTCCAAGAGGCGGTCTACAAAAAATTCCCCGCGTTCTTCAAGGAAGTTCTCGAAGAGGCCGAATATACCGTACGTACAAACACCCGCCCATACTCTCCTCTTTCTCTCTCTCTCTCGACCGTCGTCGCAAGCACTAACCTACTGCCATCCCGGGCCAGTCTAACGGCGACACGGTCATCAAGCTTCCCGCAGTCCCGCAAGCCGCCATCCTGGCCCTCATCCACGTCCTGCAGCACGACGCCCTGACCGTCCCGCCGAACGCGGCGCACAAGAAGCTCACCTTCCTCGCCGACGCGCTGATCCTCGCCGACACCTACCGCCTCGACCGCATGACTCTCCAGGCGCTCCAGCTCTTCCGCGAGCATCTCAAGCAGTTCCCTTCTTCTCCTTCCGGCAACGCGGCGTTCGCGGCCGACTTCGTCGCCGCCGTGCAGGCCGCCTACGCGCCCGACCCGCATCCCCACAAGCAGTTCAACCACCAGGCCATGCGCGTCGTGCGCCGCGTGAACGTCCCGGAGCTGAAGCGCCTCGTTGTCGAGTATGCGGCTGAGCGGTGCGAGAAGATGATGGAGGATGAGGCGTATGTCATGCTGTTTATCGACAAGGAGTATGCGTTCTGCAGCGATGTGCTGAGGGCGGCGAAGATGATGCGTGGTGATGGTGATGATGCTGGCAGCGACGGCGGCGGCGGCGGCGGCGGCGATGTTGACGGCGTGCTTGAGAAGAAGGAGGAGGTTGCGGGCGGCGTCGTGGACTGGGACGACTTCTTTGGTGAGGAGCGCTTCATCACCATCATCGACCGCGAGGGAAAGCAGTGGGTCACGACTCTCGAGAAGGCCTCCCAGAACAGCAAGTTCCTCTGGGTCGCTCCGGGTCCTGAATTCGGTTTTATGGTAAGTTGAAAAAATTCCCACCCAAACTCCCTCACTTAGCTTTAGGAAGAGGGAAGACTGACCACCACAAACCCACACACAGTTCGGCCACGCCATCTACAAGCTTCCCGACGACCACCCGTGCGGCATCGAGGCCATGATCCACGTGCTCGAAGACGGCGCCGACAACTTCCACGTCCCCAACCGCTTTGAGCACGACGCCGGCCTCGCGGTCGAGTGGCTCACCAACGCCATGGTCGTTGGCTACAAGTACGAGATTACCCCCATGTTCGAGGGCATCTCCCGCGCCCTCGCCCGTGAGAAGTATCTGGACCGCTGCAACGAGCCGCACGTCATCGCCGAGGCTGTCAGGGCCATCTTCAAGCTTAACTACGAAGTTGTGAGGGATGAGGACCTGAACGAACTGTTGAACTGCATTGTTGGATACTTTGCCGAGCGGTATGAAGGCATCCTGCAGATCGACGTGTACAAGGACCTCTTCGAGGATTTTCCTGAGTTCGACGAAGGCGTGCGCGAGGAACGGTTGAAGAGGGGCCTTGGCGAAGCGGGCGCGGACAATGGTGATGATGATGGTTCTGATGTGGGTGTGGAGCATGGCGAGACCTAGTTCTTCTGCGTACGCTGAGAGTGCCAAAGAGCATCATCAATTGCGGGATTCGGTAGTTCAAAGAAAGGCTTAGTGTATTGGGCTCTTAGAAAGACTTGGGGCTTTCCCCGAAACTGTAGATACAGGGGGTCCCTAAGGCCCCAGGCATAACTATGCTCCAGCTCTTCTCAAAAAAAAAAAAACACATGCGGGTAGCTGAAGCTATCATCCGGACGTGTATGTAGAATTTTAAATTCGACATTCTCATCCGGACGATAGCTTCAACTACCCACGACATGAGCAAAAAAAGAACCTCATAGAACTGGGACAAGCTTTCTTCTCTTTCCTAGGTTTTCACAAGTGAACGTGCTGGAGTTTTCCCGGGTGGTTGCCCGGCAAACGAAATCTTCCGTCATGCGCGGCGGGTAGGTGCGCCGCCGTCTATAAAAAACCTCCGCCTTGTCACTACACTTCTACTCTCCACCAACCTCGGCGCACTCAACATGGAGATTCCAAAGCGCATCACCCTCATCGACGTGCGGGACAAAAAGTATGTCTTGCCCGTCAAGCTCATCGCCAAAAACAAACTGGAATCGTTCCTTGAGCACGCCCCCCCTCGTGAGAAGGACTCCACCTCGGACGATGCGATCGTCAAGTTTCCAGACCCGCCCGACACCGTAGAGGTCATGGTCCAAGTCCTTCAGCACGGCAAGTTCAACAACTTCCCACATTGGGAGGACCGTAGAGCCATACTCGGAAACTTGCTGGACGTCGTTCGCGTCGGCGAGAAGTATCATGTCTACGAAATGGTGATTCGCGCCGTAGACATGTTCGACGACACCGTGAAGCTTTACAAAGACCTCTTTCCCAAGATGAGGTACAAGTACGCCGACCTTGCAGACACCGTTGGCGCTCTCTACAGGCCTGACCTGCCCGAGGGCTGGGACGAGATGACTTCCGGTGAACTATCCTTCTCCAGGCGCGCGCCCCGCCCGGACAGCTTCATGCCCAGCTACATCCCCTTGCTCAAGCGTTATGCCGTCCGATTTGCGGCCGATAATTACCTCGATATCGCGTACGATTGCCCGGACCTTTTCGGCAAAAATGTCATCATGTACCCAGATGGGTTGCATCCGTTCCACAAGGATGTCAAGAAGGCGATGAAGAGGCAGAAGGATATCCGAATCAAGTGGAAGAACAAGAAGGTCAAGATGGACGAGAAGAGCTGGAGCGACTTCTTCGCCGACGAGCGCTACGTCACCCTCGTCGACCCCGAGAACGACAAGAGATACCTCCTCACCCGCAAGGACGTCCTGGAGCAGAGCAAGTTTCTTTACGAGTGTGCTCCCACCAAAGCCTGGTCCAAAGATTGTTTTGGCGAAGAATACCACGTAAGTAAAAAAAAGCAAACCCCCTCCTCCTCCTCCTCCTCCACCTCCACACGCCAAAAGAAAAAGTTCTAACCAAACACTCCACCAGTTCCTCCACGAGATCTACGAGCTCCCCGACCACCTCCACGGCATCCGCGCCATCGCCGCCATGATCGCCGACGGCCCCCGCTCCTTCGACGTCCCCGACGACATCCAGGCCAAAGACCTCTCCATCCAGTACCTCGCCCACGCGCTCGCCGCAGGCGACAAGTACGGCGTCTTCGGCATGCGCGACGCCGTCAACGGGCTTCTTCTCGGTAGCACCGATTACCTCGCCCGCTGCAGGAAGCCGTCCACCATCGTCCACGCGGTCAAGACCGTGTACGCGCTCGAGCAGTACGGAGAGAACGACAGGTTGCTGCTGAGGGAGCTGAAGGACAGGTTTGTCGAGTGGGCTGTTGCGCGCGGGGAGGGATCATGGAACGAGGGTGCGTTTAGGTGCGCTTGTAAGAAGGTGCCGGCGTTTGAGGAGGATGTGCTGAAGGCGGAGGAGAAGAAGAAGGAGAAGTACCGTACTGCTAGGGAAGGCGGTACGGAAGACAAGGACGTGGACGGCGGTGCTGGGGAGGCCGGTGGTTCTGAGGAGGACTCGGACAGTAGTGCTGGGGAGGACTCGGATAACAGTGCTGGGGAGGGTGTGGATGATGAGGAGACTTAGGCTTCTGCTTCTGGGGACACACAGGGAGAGCGTCAGTTCTGTGGGACATGGGACGATGGGCTCATTCAGAAGCGCGGAGTGCTAGGTCAGATAATTTGTGAAGGTTCCTCGGGTGTGCACAGGCTTCTCTAATATTTGTGTAGCTGTAGTGGGTTCCAAATGATTTGCTCTTTTTAGTGGTACTTAAAGCTACTGTCCGGACGGTAATAACCACAGTCTGGATAGGCGGTGATTCTCTGAGGCTGACTGGTTAATAGCCATCTCAGAGGTGTGCGTGGTGCTACCGTTGTTGAGACAGAGCGCACATAGGCCGAGGCAATCAATTGTCTATCCTTAAATGCCGCATCACGCGTCTCATATCGACGGACGGCTGACCACTCTGCACATAGGGCCTACGCTCAGCTTTGGCTCTCGCCAAAGCGCGTAGAATTTCCTTCCCAAGTACACTGAAGTCATCCAAGACGGCCTCGAACTCGGGCTTCGCGAGCAAAACGTCGTAGTGCTCTGCGATAACGCTGGTCATGATGTCTCGGATCTCATGTTTGTCAGTGATTGGAACTGAATCGTAGATGACCCTGACAGCGGCGGTGAAATCGGCCGTGTTCCATCCCTTAGATGAAAGCTTCTTGAACTCAGCAGCGGCGTAACTTTTCAGTTCCGGTATGAAGTAGATATCGCCGATGGCATAAGCGCGGGCGTGCTGCAGCATGGCATGGTTGGTTGAGGCCAGATAACGATGGTGGTACATGAACTCCAGCATGTCCCTCACGGCATCAGGATCGTCGTGTCCGAGGTCAATGACGCTAGTCTGGGCTTCCTGTAAAACAAAGAAGGTGAGCAATTCTGCGCTACAGAAAACTGACTCAGTGTTTGACGTACCCTGAAACCATGCTCAAGCTTGCAGGCATTGGTGAGAACGGCGCTCTGTCCGCAGACGATGATGCGGTGGACAGCGTACTCATGGCCGTTGCTGTCCTTGACGCGGAGGTCGCTGTACAGTCCAGTCTCGAAATAACTAAGCACCGTTGTCAGCTTTTGATAAGTCGCATGTGTAAGGTACAAGGTCGGCCCACTTAGTATTGCAATAGAGAAGCCGTTGAAGCATCTATCCGGACATGAATGTACGATATGAACGTGAACATTTGCATCCGGACAAGAGCTTCAGATCCTCCATTTTGTTGCAATACTAATGGAACCGACCTTGTAGGAGTTATGAAAAACCTACTCGCTTATGCTCGCGCCTAGCGCTGAGCTAGGATCGATGGGAGGCATGTTGTGCTGTAGGTGAGCCCTTCCGACGGTGGGTGCGGAGGTGTTAGGTGACAGTTCCAAGGCCGAAAAAATCCGTACAAAAGTAGGGTCCTGCGGATGATTTGGGAAGGCACGTGCGGCCGGTGGGCTAAGAGGGTCCGATGAATGAACGAAATATGCTACGCACCCGCTGAGTCTGGGGCAATCTCGAAGTTTCTACGAGCTCACTCCACTTGCGCAACAAGTCGGAGCACTTGAAGCTCTTGGTCGGAGGATCTGAAGCGCGTTGCTGTCAGCTATTCAAAAGCATCCAGCACACCGAAGTGAGCAGCAGCAGCGAGTAGCAACACTGGCGGGCCAGCTCTCTACCAAACCAGCAGCCACGGAAAATGCTATGAAGATGAACTGAAAGAAGAACCTGCCTCCAGCGGGAGCGTGCCCTGTCCAGCAGCAGCCTCGCGTATCAGATCTTGTGCGATGTGCGTTAACTACGGAGGACGCTACCAAAAGTCCTGTCATCCCCCAACTGACAGGGGTGTACACCGCCTTATCTTACCGCCTACAGGCATTGATACCTGCTCTATGAGTACTCCTCTTTCATCCACAAATTGCATTAAAAGTATACTTAGCATATTCTAGAGCCTTCACCAAGTATACAAGCTAATTTTTCCGGTATTTAAACATTGCGTTGCGCTTTAAAAAGGCTCTCAAGTGGCCAGCTGGTCTAATTCTGCCGGCACTAATTTCGTGTTCCAATGGGACCATCGGGGGGGGGGGGGGGGGGGGGGGGGGGGGTGACAGGACTTTTGGTAGCGTCCTCCGTACAGAATGCTTTGTTCTTACACCCAGCTTCACACGTCTATTAGCCTGAAAACTATATACGCCGAGGACTTTGCCGTTGAGCCTACGGGAAGGCCGGCCAGAACGGCAGACAACAGAAGACGGCGCCTCTACCACTGCCGCACCAAACATTCGCACATCCCCCTCCTTCACCCGTACCATCGCCGACCACATGAAGCAACAGAGACAAGAGAAAGCCCAACCTAAGCGGAAAAAAGGAGGGAGAAGGAAGTATTTCTTCTCAACAAAAGAGGTCTTTCATTTAAACTACAAAACAATAAGAAAAGAAAAAAAAGTGGTAAGAAAAGAACTACCACTAACTGACTGAGTCTACTTCTTCTCCGCGCCAACCAACTCCCTCCCCCCTTCTTCCCTCCTCCTCCATCACAACCACCACCGTCTTCGCTGCTGGCATGGATGGGAAAGAGGGAGGGGGGGAAAGGGGCGGCAGGCGCAGAAACCAACCACACCACACTCTCTTAAGTGATACAAACCAAAAGGAAATGTCCAAGAAAAAAAAAGAGGAATACAGAGAGACACACGGCCGACAAGGCACGAAAAAAGGGAAACAAACAAAGAAATGAACGCCATTGTCCCCTTCTTCCACCAGGGCATGCCCACACACACGAATGCTTACTGCTTCCAGCCTCCAACGACAGTCACATATCAAACGAATAATCTGCCCCCAGCAAAACAAAAAAAGAATAGCCCATAACCCCCCACCACCATCTACCCTACCCTACCCCACCAAGCCCGAACCCTCCCTCAGTCCATCAAATCGTCGACCCCCTATCAAACTCAATAACATTCTGACTCCCACTCGCCCCGCTCTCGGCCCTGTCCCTCGACGGCGTCAACAAGCCCTCACCGCTCTTGTCACCGCCCTCTCCCGGCTCCGCATCCATCAGATTCGGCACACCAGCTGAGGACTCGCCCTGCACCTTGGCCTTTTCCTCGACGTCCGCCGTCTCAGCGCCGTCGAGCAGGTCACGATCCCTCTCGTGCAAGCTGCGCGTCTCCGCGAAAGCACCCGAGTGCCTGCCGTCGTCGTCATCGTCATCATCGTCGGCAGCGTTGGCGCTGCTGCCGCCCTGGCCGTTGGCCCCGCCGTTGGCGCGCTCCATCTCGCGCTGCGCCTCGTCCATGCGGCGCTTGACCTCGGCCGCCACGCGCATGCCGTCCGACACGATGTTGTCGAGCATGCCGCGCAGGCCCTTGCCGGGCGGTACGATGCCGCCGGTGCTGGGGACGGACGGGAGCGACGGCGAGGCCGATGCCGACGTCGGGGTGCGGCCGGCGTTGGCGAAGGTGGTGAGAGTGTTGGCGCCCGTCGCGGCGGGGATGTCCGAGAGGCGGAACGAGTTGGCGAAGGCGCGGTCGAAGAAGTGCTCGAGGTTCTCGTCGGCGAGGATGACCATGCGGAAGGTGGGCAGCGTGATGTGGAGCGGGTGAGCCGGGTCCAAGGCGAGGTTGGCGGATTTGACGTCGGGCTTGGGCGATTGTAGAGGCTCGTCTGGGACTGGGGCCTCTTCTTCCTTTTTCGGAGCGGGTTCGGCCTTGGGCTTGTCGTCAACGTCGAGCAGATTCTCTTCGTCGTCCTCGTCACCGATGCTGAAGTCGTTGACTGCATCTGCCGAATCCTTGACGTCCTGGTTCTTGTTCATTTCATGATCGGGATCGGCGTATTCGAAGCAGCGTCGAATGAACGCCGAGATGCTGTTGAGGATCGACTCGTCGGCCCTTCCTTCAGCATCAGCGGCCAAGGCCAACTCGCTCGTAGAGGCCTTAGGGGAAGCGCCGTCGTCCAATCCCCTCCTCGTCAAGAACAGTAAAGCTTCAGAAATCCTCAGTATACCCTCGCGATCCACCCTGCCATCATTATCGTCATCGTAAAGCTCGAAGAAGTACTGGATGTTCGCCATAATGTCCTTGTTGCCTTTCACTGCGGCAAATCCGGAAACGACATCTTGCAGATTCAGTGTGTCGTCGTCTTCTTCGCTCCTGTTCCATTTGCGGAATATCCGTTGCATGAATTCATGGTCTGCAGGCTCGGGACCAGATCCCCACGGAGAGTTTGTCTTGGTCCGGTTGTTTCCGAAATATGAATGTGTTTGCTTCTCTTGTTCATTCGGCGGTGTTGGAGAATCCGTGACAGCCCATTTGGCAATGCCTGATTACGTCAGCAAATATCGAACAAGATCAACGAGACAGCTCTGAACATACCTGCAAGGAACTCTCTGAACGCATCGTAGTCCATCTGCGTAGGGCTCGGGCCAAGAGCGACTCTACCCTTCTCGACATCACCTCCGAATGAAAAGCCAGTAATGAGCTGAGAGGCTCTCATCTTACTCGCGCGTTCTTTCCGCTCCTCTTCCTGCTTGGCTTGCTGGGCTCTTTGCTGGCGCTCATACAGGACGCCGTAGAAGCGGTCGTACAAGAATCCGAGATCGTTCACGCTCAGCTTCTTGCTTTCCGACCCCAAATTCCGTAATGAGGTCCGCTTTGCGAAATTCTCAATATTGTCCAGGACGGCATCCTTGTGTTTCGCCCGTTGCTCGGAAATAGTGTTCTGCGTAATCCCAGCGAACTCCTTGAACGCGATAACCATAAGCTCCTGGAACCTCGTAACCGCTCTCAGCTTGGGGTTGTCCGACTTGGGATGAGCCGACTCGTCCAGGCGAGCGAAGTAAGTTTTCAGAACCGAGATAAAAGTTCCATCGTCGGTGGCATCCAGCAGCTCTTCTCCGTTGATGCGCAGGATTGCGAGTCCGATCTGGAACAGAACCTTGGGACCCTCTAAGAAGAAGACATCCAAAACGCGGAAGGCGAAAATCAAAGGCATCGAGTTGATGTACAGAGAAAGGAACCAAGGAAGAGATACGACCGATAGCTGAATATCATACTTCTGAAGGTGCTCCCAGAGGATAGGCATGGTCTTCTCGACGAGGGATTCGAAGACTCGTTGGTCAAGTAATGTTCCGTACATGGTGGTGGAATAGTATCCTGGTAGTAGGCGGTCGCAAAGGATGGAAAGGAGAAAGAAGGCTTGGGGTTCGGACATGTAGCTGCAAAAATCAGTTCCATCAACAGATTCGAGATCAGACGAACCACATACATAAGGAGCGCAGCCACGACTATGTTCATAGCTTGACAATATCCGACCTCGGGGTTTATCCAACTGTATGCGGTCAAGACGCGCCTGAGGCGATCGATACCCTCGTCACTTTGGAAGCCAGGATATTCCGGTAAACTTCTGTTAAGGTCTTTCTCAATCTCATCTATAGCCAGCGATTCCCGTCCGGTGTTCTTCGAGAGCGTCTCTTCGTACAGTTTGGGGTTTTGGAGGCGGAGAACGAATGATCCCGAGGTAAGCTCCCAGATTTCGCCTCTCAGGCGGTTTGGTAGACCGACGCGGATGAGCTTGTGGAATGTAGGTTGGCGAATGAGTGTTGCGTTTCGGCCGTTCTCTGCTGGGTATTAGCTCGCCGTCGATCATGGATCATGAAAACGACATACCTCGCAGATACTCCCGCCATAGTCTTATCTTGGTCGGCTCGCGCAGCTTCCGTGGGTTTCCAGGGTACTTGAACTGCATGCCCAAACCCGTATCGGGCGGTTGGCGTTTAGGGGTATCGCCATCCTTTGCGCTCGCATCGTCGGAGAGCAGGTACTCAGAGTAGCAAGTCTGCACGACGGTTTTGAGGTTCTCGACGTCCTTCACTCCTTCGCGCAGTCCGCGCTTGAGCGCGTCGCAGAAGCGCTCGCACTGCTGTCTGCTTCCCGCCAGCTGTATGGTCAGCTTCTGCGGTACGATGCCCTCCTTCTTCGCGCGGTTCGCGTCGACCATGCCATTTATGGTTGTGATGGCCAGTGCGAACATATAGCTCTGGCTGTGCAGGCGCTCGACGCGGCGGACGGCGCAAAGGGGGATGGTGAAGCCATTGCCTGCGGGGCCGGCGCCGTGGGTCTGGCCGGTGAAGACGGAGCTAGCGCTGAGGCTGGCGGTGGACAGGAAGCTGGAGCCCTGGGTGGAGAAGCAGAGGAACTGCTCGCTTAGGTGAAGCTTGCCGACATAGTGGTTGCCCTGGTGGCGGTCTGCGTGCTGGCTGTCGGTGCTTGTGCGGGTGGTGTGGTGGCCGGGGAGTGTCAGCTCGGCGGCGATCTCCTGGAGGGGGTTCTGCGACTCGGGCAGGCGGAATTGGTGACGGAAGAGGGCCGCTTTGGAGGGACGGCGGTCGGAGCCAGGGCTGGCGAGGGAGAGCGACGGCTCAATGAACGACTGAGCTTTCTGCACCAAGTTCGAGAGGTTGAACATGGTCGCGGATGGAGGGGCTCATTTAGCTGGATCGGGGGTCAGCGGCGCATGGAGAGGTCAGGGCCGAGAGCGCGCGGACTGACGCTTCATACTACGTGGCAGGCAAGACGGAATACTCGGCGGGAGCTGTGAGGGGAGCTTGGTATGTAGGGCTGAGAAGCGGTTGTGACACCGAGAAGGCCGCCGTGGAGCATTCCCGTGCTGCGATCGGCGAAACCGCGGAAAGGGAAGGATGACTTCAGCGCCCCCGAGTTCGAGCCTGCGTCACTACTCAAGCACCCTGGTCGTGCCCGCGCCCACGCCGCAGCCTCAACACCGCCGCCAAGAGACACGCGAAGCAGCTATGAATACCACATGCATTTTATCCCGATGTTTTTGATACAGTCACCAATCCATATCCTATGCAGAAACCCATTCTGACCACCAACGCCCTTTGCATGCCAATGTGCCGTTTACTCCGGGTCTGCCGCCAGCTGCGCCTCGTCCACCTCGCCCGGCATGCGGCCCGTCTTCTCAATCTCCTTGACCTTGGCCTGGCCCTCCTCCGTAGTTGCGTCAATCACGCCCTCCTCCAGGCTGAGCATGCCGCCATTGCCGAGCTGTTCCACCACCTGCTCCGCCTCGTCCACGCTCATCTTCGCCAGAACCTTGTTCACTTCATCAAGCTTGCCGCTTTCCAGAGCCCGCTGCAGGCCTGGCGGGAACGTCTCGAAGATTGTCCGTGCGATCTTGTTGTCATCGCTCAGCGAGTCCGGATTCGACTCATCGATGGGCAGGGGGACGCGGATGTTAATTGTCGTGTTGGGATCAACGGCGTGCAACTGAATTTGCTCAACACCTTCGGGTTCGGGGTTGTTCTTGCGCTCTTCGAGGATCTCAGCCGCACGCGTATTGATGCGCCTATACGTGTTGTCCACATCGTCCCTGAAGAGCTTCCGCGCTTGGTGGTCTTTGGTCGTGATACTGCACTCCTGTTAGTGAACATTGCAATGTTGAGTAGCTCGTGTAATGCTTACCGCTTGAAGAAAAGCTGCACGCCGTCCTTGCCAAGCTGGCGGCAGTACTGGATAAGCAGCGCTGCATGCACGCACTGGTGGGCATACGCATGCTTTCCCTCGAGCTCCGCATCGAAGGCCTCAACCAACAAGCCATCCGTCTCCCTTTCCTTGAGAATATTCGGGTGCGTCGAAATGAATTGCAGACTGGTGCGGTAATCATCCATCTTGATCTTGGCGAAGGCCTTCGCATCGGGGCTGGCCTTGATGTTGTCAGGGTCATCGTCCTCCACATCCGCATCAGCGCCAGAAGATTGGCCAGTGTCGGTGCGAGACATGTCCGGACGGCCAGGATTGAGGAGCTCAACCGATTCCTGCTGCGCAGGCTTTGACGAGGACGAGGCCTGCTCGCCCTTCTTGACGTTCGAGTAATCGAAGCCCGTGTGGATATCATCGCTGGTGATGTGCTTCTTGTCCTCCTTCTCCAGCTCGGCAAGCTTGGCCAGGAGCTCCTTTTGCAGACCAGCCACCCTGTCCCTGTGCGATTGCACCTGAGTGATGAAGCCCTCGTACCGGCTCTCTGGCTTCTTCTCGTCGACTTCCTTCTTGACCTCATCGATCAAGGCTGCCAACATTTGTGACCACGTGGGCTTGTGCTTGATCTGTGTGTGTACACCCTCGGGAGGTGGCGGGGGCTGGTCTTGTGACGGGTCGACGGCAGACTCCATCATAGACTGGAAGACGAGCTGGTCGGCATTCTCAGGAGATGCGCTGTCTCTGTGAGACTTCAGGGCAGTGAGGAGGTTGTCGATACGCTCCATAAGGCCATCGTTGATGATACGTTCGTACTTCAGGGTGGTGATCTGGTGGCGGCGCTGGGCGCGCTCCATGTGGATCTGCTCCTGCTTTGCACGGATGAAGGAGCGCTTGTCGACATTGGGGTGGACTTCGATGTCGGAGTCATCGCTGAGCTCCAGCGCGTCCTAGAGTTTCTTGTTAGACATCGTCGCACTCGCCACTTGGAAATTCCGGGCCCACGTTTCGAATCTGGGCGGCTACAGTGGGACTGCAGCTTCCCGAACGATGCTGCACTTACCCATTTGCTGTAGTCAATAGGCATGTTGGGCTGTGGTAGAGAATTGCTGATGGCGGGGTGCTTGGCTATGACGAAATGCTGTCGCAGAGCTTCCAGTCGGCGCTGTCTAGCGCTGGCGCAGGATCAAAGGATATGTCGGGAGAGGTGCACAGGAAGAAAGTGGGCAGAGTGCAGCAAAGAGGGAGAAAGTTGTTGTGACCAGGCGCGGGGAGAGAGGCTCTGAGCTTCTGCGCGATTCTGTTAGACCCCACGACGCAGTCGGCAGCCCGGGCCTTGTCGCGGACCCGACGCCGGCCGGACATCTTCGTGCGGCTGGTGCTGTCATCACTTCGCACCTCATCCAAGATTGCGGCCGCCGCAAGTCTCGAGCCTGCAACCCTCTCGTCTACGTGTACCATCATGTTCACGCGCGTCGCAACCTCTGGCTCCGTTTCCGACTTCCACACCATCCGTCCGTGCCGCTGGTAAAGCGCCTGCCTCATCCAGCGCCAGCCGCGAAATGCGCCGAACAATGCGCACCTCGCGCTTCGCTCTCTCCGGAGCCTTGAGCGCTCCAACAGCTCCCGTGAGGCCTGTCAAGGCGTTCGCCGACCTGCCAATTGCACAATGGTCCGCCACGCCGTTTGTCGCTCGCCGAAATCTCTCGTCCACGCCTTCTCCCTTCTTTCGCCAGGCATCCCTTGTTCCGACATCGTCGCCCGTATGCCAACGAGCTGCTGCCCTCGTCAAACCGGTCAATAATGGATTTTCGACGCCTGTGCGGGTCTTCGCTACCTCGCGAATCCTTGCCGAGGCTCGCCAATCATACCAAGATGAGATGAAGAGCAAAGGCGTCGTGAACAAGGAAGAAGTGGACGAGGATGAACGGGAGTTTACAAAGTCCGAAAAAGCTTCTCAAGCGGCTCAGGTCAATCTCAGCGCCAAGCTGAGCAAGGATGGTTCCGGCAAAGGCAGGGCCGGTGGCATGAAAGAAATCGTCAGGCTCATCAGAATTGCCAAGCCGGAAGCAAAGTCGCTGGGCCTCGCTTTCATGTTTCTTCTAGTCTCGTCCACGGTTTCCATGTCCATTCCGTTCTCTATTGGCAAGATCATCGATATTGCTACCAACGAGAATAGCAAAGCTCTTCCCTTTGACCTTGACATCACGACCTTTTACACAGCGCTCGCTGGTGTCCTCGTGCTCGGAGCCGGTGCCAACTACGGACGTATCATAATTCTCCGTATCGTTGGTGAGAGAATCGTCGCGCGGTTGAGGTCTCAGCTGTATCGCAAAATTTTCATCCAGAATGCCGAATTCTTCGACGCAAACCGTGTGGGAGATCTCATTTCTCGTCTAGGCTCTGACAGCATCATCGTCGGCAAGAGTATCACGCAGAACCTCTCAGATGGTCTCAGGTCTCTTGTAAGCGGAGCTGCCGGTCTTGGCATGATGGGATGGGTTTCGCTGAAACTTACCGCTGTTCTCGGTGTCATGTTCCCTCCGGTTGCTGTCGCTGCATTCCTCTTTGGTAGGTATATGCGCAACATCAGCAGAAAGATTCAACGGAACCTTGGAACCCTCACCAAGATCGCTGAGGAAAGGCTGGGAAATGTCCGTACTTCTCAAGCTTTTGCTGGTGAGATCCAGGAAGTGGGACGCTACAACCGCCAGGTCAAGAGAATATTTGAACTCGGCAAGAGAGAAGCATTGGTCGCAGCTACGTTCTTCGGAAGCACCGGATTGATGGGCAATGTCACGATTCTGGCTGTGCTCTATGTTGGTGGTGGCATGGTCAAATCCGGCTCCATCAGTATTGGAGAGCTTTCTTCTTTCCTCATGTACACGGCATATGCTGGTTCCAGCATGTTTGGTCTCTCTGGCTTCTACTCCGAGTTGATGAAGGGTGTCGGCGCTGCCAGTCGACTTTTCGAACTGCAGGATCGCGATCCGGCCATCCCACCAACCGTTGGCCAGCCGGTTAAGTCGGCACGTGGGCCGATCAGGTTCGAGAATGTGTCCTTCAGCTACCCTACAAGACCCGCTGTTACTATTTTCCAAGACCTCAACTTTGAGATTCCAGAGGGTACCAACGTTGCCATCGTCGCTCCAAGCGGTGCTGGAAAGTCTACTGTCGCCAGTCTCCTGCTTCGATTCTACACGCCTAACACCGGCAGAATCACGATTAATGGTAAGGATATCATCGATATGAATGCCAAGCAGCTTCGCCGCAAGATTGGTTTCGTTGGGCAAGAGCCCGTCCTGTTCTCCGGGACCATTGCGGAGAACATTGCATACGGCAAGCCTCATGCGACGCGCGCCGAGATCGTTGCGGCGGCGAGAAAGGCCAACTGTCAATTCATTAGCGATTTCGTAAGTGGACTGCATTGCCTAAGTTGGGTTCTGAAGACTAATGTGTTTGACAGCCCGACGGTCTTGAAACCCACGTTGGCGCACGGGGTACGCAGCTCTCCGGCGGTCAGAAACAGCGCATCGCCATCGCACGCGCCCTTCTCAAGCAGCCCGACATTCTGATTCTGGACGAAGCCACCAGTGCCCTGGATGCCGAGTCGGAAACGCTCGTCAACCAAGCTCTCGGCGCTTTGCTCAGAGGTAACAACACTACCATCAGCATCGCTCATCGTCTGTCTACGATCAAGCGATCGGACCGCATCATCTGTCTCAGCACGGATGGCCGTGTCGCGGAAGAGGGCACATATGCCGAGCTCTCGACCCGTCCCGACGGGGCCTTCTCCAAGCTCATGGAGTGGCAAATGAGTGGCGGTGAATCAATGTCAGCGACAAGACGCGACAACCACGTCACGGAGACGGAGGAAATCGAGGCAGAGCTCGAATCAGACAGCGAAGGCGAAGAGGTTATCGACGATGAGGTCGCCAAGACGCGAAAGGAAAATGTCACGTCAGGCGAGGTGGTGATGGAACGGACCAAGACGCACGATCGGTGAAAGGGAAGTTGCCTAATCGGGCAGGATTCAGCCTGCCTTGTACGGGCCGAGCCGGGACAGCGACAGCCGCAAACCGGCGCGAACAAATTTTCATCGCCCGCGACAACCACGGAAGGTTAGCCGCGCGCTGCAAGCTGTAGAGGAGTTTGATTTAGAGGTAATGTGCTTTTGGGAGCATTGGGCGAGGATTTGTTTTGGTTTTGTGGGCAATTACGGAGAAAAGGGTGGTAAGAAAGCTCCCCTCTTTGCATCAGGAGAGCACGAGCTGTGGATGAGGTGATGTCTGCACCCCCCAGCTGGCCGCCCTGATTGCGGCTGACGACGCGGATCGGGAATAATCTCTCTTGGCTACAGATCACTAAGCTCTCCTCTTACCTTGTACCTTGACCATTAGCGCTTGGCCGTGCGAAGAAGTCCCGGAATGTTGGCCGAGACTTGAAGCAAGTGGATGTATATTATTACCCTGCGCCAGTCCTCTCAACGTGCTGCTTACCTCTCATGTGCCCCTGTCAACATCCAGCCTCGCTACCATCCCTAAGCAACCTTACCAAAGCAGCAGCTCCACCAGCCCCAGATCCCTGGCCCAGATCGCGTCTGGATTCCAGAAACTTTTTTTACCCCACACCATCGAAGCTCCTCGCCCAAACAACGGCCCTGCCGTTGACGTCATACATCTCACCCGCATCGAGCAATCCCAAATTGAATTTATAAACTTCCGCCCAGAACCAACCGAAGATGTCATCAACATACGAGCCAACCGCAACCGCGCAGCACTTCCAATCGCCTTCCCCGCGCATAAATACGCCCACCGACGACGACACCCCCAACCCATTCAACCACCACCACTACAACCCGGACGACTGCATCCCGGGCAACCCGCACATGCTCAAGATCGCCTCGCACACGGCGTACCGCAGCGCCGCGCGTTCACCTGCCTCGATCCTGTCCAAGAAGGCATCCTGGGTCGACACCAGCCGCAACATCTCGCTCTCGCCCAAGAACCTGTCGCGCCCAACGTCCGCGTCCAACAGCCCCGTCGGCACACCCATCGGTACGCCCAGGAATAGGTCCCCGGTGCGCGGTTTCGCGACGAGCGCGGGCAGGATGGGCAAGCAGGATGGCGTGAAGAACGAGCCGCCGAAGCACGAGATGACGGTGTTTGAGGGCCTGTTGAGTGAGCGGAGGCGGTTTGGCGATTTTAGGAGGGTCTTGCATACGGGGTTGTATAGGTACGTATGCGCGCGTGTGTGCAATTGCTTCCCTCTCTTCTACAATGGGTGCCGAAAGATCTGAGCCATCATGATGATCTCACGAGGAATTTATTCGACATACGTGGGTAGTTGAAGCTATCGTCCGGATGTAGATGTGTATTTGATAATTCAACATCCACGTCTGGACAGTAGCTTCAACTACCCACGTATGTCGAATAAATCCCTCGTGGAGGAAAAAAAATCGCGAGCAATCATTTCATCTAGCACCGACTTATCCCCCTCCGATCTCTATCGGCATTTAAACGTCACTTACGTGGGTAGTTGAAGCTACTATCCGGACGTAGATGTCGAATTATTAAATACACATCTACGTCCAGACGGTAGCTTCATCTACCCACGCATGTCGAATAAATCACTCGTGGAGGCAAAAAAAAAATTGCGAGCGATCATTTCTTCTTCGCACCAACTTGTCCCCCTCCCCTCCCATCAGAGCAAACCAGCCCCCCACTAACACACTCCTCTCCTCCCAGCCAACTCGTCGCCATGGAAATCCCGCCCAAAGGCGACATCGGCGAAGAAGTGCACAGCGTCGACCAAACGCTCCTCTTCACGCACGGCCGCGGCCTCGCGCAGGTCGCCGGCGTCGACCGCCCCGTCAAGGCAGGCGACGTCGTCGTCGTGCCCGCCGGCACGAAACACCAGTTCCTGAACTCCTCGGCCGACGAGCCGCTCGAACTCGTCACCGTCTACGCGCCCGCCGAGCACGACCCCCGCTCCGTCCACAAGACGAAGCAGGAGGGCGACCAGGAGGAGGAGGATGGGGTCGATGTCGCGCCGAAGTGGGCGCGGAGGAGTCAGAAGGAGAATGCGGAGGCCGGGTTGGTGAAGATGGAGGGGGGGCCGTATGAGGAGTGAGTGAGTGAAAGGGGGTGGTGGTGGTGGTGTGATGAGGCGTTTGATGGGATTGCGAGGGAAGGGACGGAAGGGAAGGAAGGGAACGGTGTCTGTTGCATTTCTGAGGTGTTTTTGGGTGTTTTGGGGGCTTGTTCCTGCTGTACTAATATCAATACGACCACGCCACGCTCTCGATTGAAATTTCCGATGCATTGAAGATCACTCCTCGAAGAACTGCACCCCGCCTTACATGGGTAGCTGAAGCTATTTTCCAAACGCAAATTGGACTTTTAAAATTGCATTGTTGTGTCCGGACAGTAGCTCACGCTGCTCACGCGATTCATACTTTGTAGTCAGCTTTGTGGCTTGGCCCAAATCTTAAAACTGTCACTTGATTAAAAATCAAAACAGAAGCGCATCTCAACATGCAGTCCCCTCTCGCAGCCGTAGCCGATGGCTAGCGTGGGCTTTTTTTTTTTTTGTTTATGTCATGGGTAGTTGGAGCTATCGTCCGGACGTGTATGCTGACTTTTTAATTCCACATTGTCGTCCAGACGATAGCTTCAACTACCTACATATGTTATTTTTCTAAGAAATAGCTGAGACATAGTTACGCCTGGGGTCTTACTATTCTTCATACATACAGGGGGGTATCGCAGCCGACGGCTGGCAGGAATTTATTTTCGTTTGTACCATAGGTAGTTAAAGCTATCGTTCGGATGTAAATGTCGAACTAATTGCGAGAGGGAACTGTATGTTCTTTTTTTTTTTTTGAAGCTCTCAATCCCTCCATCCAACATCATCAGTGCTCATTGGCGTGGGCTCAACCAAAGGAAAAACACAAGGCTGGGAAGCCATGACTTCGCCGATGGTCGGCTAGAACCGAGCTGAACGCCTGATCGGATGACTTCATCCTTAAACGGCAAATCCGAAGAAAACTGGACCCTATTTCTCTTAACAGAGATTTTTGGCGCTAGAATCGCGGCACGTCATTCGGCCAGACTTTTGATCTGACCTACTTCTGCCCCTTATGCCATCGGCCATGGCGGTATCGGCGGAGGGTTGCGCGATTGGATCGTCGCGGTACTGTGTAGCTGTTACACCAATTTTTGAACCGACCAGTGAACAATTGATTTCACGGAAAAGTGGTCTTAGAACAAAATGGTTGAGAACCAGGAATGCCAGTTCAATTCAGACCTGTGGTCTTGAACTCTTTTGATTTAATAAAAAAAACTAGTCGTAATCGTACCCGGAACACTGACTCCCGATCATATCTCCGAAAAGGAAACTCCCACTACCATACCCGCGATGGCTATATAGTTACAAGTGTAGGGGGCCGGACGCGACTCGAATGGTCCCAGTGCATGCTCCCCACCGGAACTTGATCTAAGCCTGTCAACTCTACAGGAATATCACTCGCTACCACAATTATAGGTATATGTGCGATTCGTTCGATAACTTAGGTGACGGTGTAACCGCCGTCAACGCGGAGCTCAGCACCGGTGACGTAGCTGGACGCATCCGACGACAGGAAAGTGACAGCGCCCATGAGATCCTCAGGCTGACCCATCTTGCCCTGCGGGATAAGCGACGTCCACTTGTTCTTCAGGTCGGGGTTCTCATCGAGGATCTTCTTCGTGCTGTGGTATCTGTTAGTGTCATGGCGCAACTCCAACAGGATGCGGAAGACTTACAGAGCCGTCAGCATGTAGCCGGGGCTGATGGAGTTCACACGAATGCCAGCGTGCGCCCACTCGACAGCCAAACTGGCAGCTAGGTGACGGACAGCAGCCTTCGCAGCGTTGTAGGGAGCCTGCGGCTGGGGAACGTTGACGATGGCGCCGGACATGGAGCCAATCATGACAATGCTGCCAGGAGCCTTCCTCTCCATCAGGTGCTTCGCAACGCCGACTGCAAAGAGGTAGGTGCCGTCAACGTTGACACCCCAGAGCTTCTGCATGCGATCGTAAGGGTAGTGGATCGCGTCGAAGTTCTCCGTAAAGCCTGCGCTGGTGACCAGGTTGTCGATCTTGCCGTGCTCAGCCTGTACCACATTGTTATTATATCGTTCGTGCAGTTGAGGGACGGTCGGATCGGAAAGGTCATATAGCAGCTGCCCATCGCCATCCGACAGCATACTGCTAGCATTGAGCTCTGGCATCAGCTCGCGAACCCGCGCGCTGAGTGCCATTGCCGTAGCCGAGCTCGTATACATAATCAGAGGCTCAGCCAGAATGTAGTGTTACGTCATGAACAGAATGTGAAGCAATGATTTGCATGGGATGAGATCTAGTGATACTCCACATGCACACCATTGCCATGTCTCTGCATGCGACACTACAGTTCCGGGGCAGCTGCAAACATACGAGTGTGGGGCGGGGGTGACGGCTTGTCGGGAGAGATGCGTACCAGGATCTCGGCGATCGACTCGTTGACGGATGTGGGGTTGGCAACATCGGCATAGTGAGCCGTGACCTTGGGGACCCTGTATGACAACACGTTGTCAGCAATTGGGCAGTGTTCGGAATATGTCAAACGCCAAAATACGAAGCTGGGGAAATGTCTCGGGCTCGGGGGTGACACGGGTGAGGGGTCTAGGGGATTCGTAGCCGCCCGATGGCCCAGACCGCGACGAAAATTACGCATCGGGACAGTCCCACAACAGATGTAGGTACAGAAACGCGCAGAATTGACGAGAAACACTTACACGTCGGTGTGGTGGTTCTCCTTGCGGAATGTGTCCATGAGGCTCTGCGCAGACTTCTGAGCCTCCTCCACTAGGCAGTTGTCAGCGTTGCCACGGATGCGATTGGGGCCATTGGCTCGACTTACAGTGCATATCGACAATTGCGACGCTGGCGCCGCTGTTGACGAGCGCCTGAGCCATGACGAGACCCAGACCGCGGGCGCCGCCGGTGACGATGGCGTTGCGGCCCTCGAGCGAGAAGCTGGCGAGCGTGCGCTTGAAGTGCCAGCCGGCGCGGCCCTGGGCAGGACGCGACGACGGAAGGTTCTCCTCGCCAGGGTAGGCCCACTGCACGCTCTCGTCGGTACGAGCGAACTTGCCCTCATGCTCGCCGGACTCGCCGGACTCGCCGGGAGCAGCAGCGGTTGTGGCAGACTCGGCGTCGTCCTTGGCCTTGTCGAGGCGCTTCGCGGTCATCGACAGCGGCCGCACGGACTGGCGAGCAGCATGCTGCGCACAGAGAGGCGAAGCCTGGCGGGCTGCGCGAGACAGGAGCTGGGGTCGGAACATCGTGAACAGCGAGCTCGAGTAGCTTGGGTGTTGGGCTACGCAGAGCTCAGGAAGAAGGAGTGCAGGTGCAAAGAGGAGAAAGGATCGCAGTTTGCGTGCAGAACACGAGCTTTTGTAAGCTAGCAGCGGTGAAGAGTGCGGGTGTGTCACCGAGACCGGCGGAGGGTCAGGACGAGGGAGGTTTTTGAGCTGGCACATGTGCAGAGCACGGTGACGTTAATGCTGGGGTAGGGGGAGCTTGGGCCTCCACAAAGTCGCGGCCCCGGACCCTGTGGAAGGCCCACCGCTTTTCCACCGCGTTCTGGCCACGTCTTATCCAGTGCGGGCTAGTGTCGCCCCTTCAGCAGATCCTGACTTTGCGCTCCACCAAATCCCTGGGCCTGCCCTGTTCCCACGCTCCACCCTGACGCCGTCACGACCCTGGTGGCGGAAAGTGAAGAAAAAATGCTGCTCTACCTCGTCACCTTCAACCTCGCGCGGGCCCTCGTTGATCCACACTTGCTCGGCCAGACGCTGCTGGACGGCCTGCCGACCGCCGCGCAGCTGCCCGACGTCATCGTCTGCAGCTTGCAGGAGGTGTCGCCCGTCGCCTACGCATTCCTGGGCGGCTCGTATCTAACGCCCTACTTTGATCGCATCGCGAAGAGCGTCAGCATTGCCGCCAAGAAGCATGCCGACGATGCGCACGCCTACCGCCTCACCGTCGTGCGCAATATCGGCATGACGGCCATCGTGGTGTTTGCCAAGCCTGACGTAGCCGACCGCATCAGATGGATCCAAACCGCAGAGGTTGGCGTCGGCTTCATGGAGACGGGCCACAAGGGCGCCGTTGGCGTGCGCCTGGGTCTCGCGGCGCATGCGGACAGCGACGAAGAGGTGGAGCTGACGTTCGTTAGCGCACACCTTGCTCCCATGGAAGACAGCGTGCAACGGCGCCTCGAAGACTGGGAGCACATTGTCCGCAACCTCGTCTTCGAGCCAGCAACCGACCACGCCGCATCCAAGACCGCAGGCACAAGGGCGATAGAGGCTGCAACATCGGACGTCGCAGCAGGTGCAGAAGGCGAGCACGAACCGCTAATATCCCCTTCGTACGCCTCCGGACCAGCTTCCGCCCTGCGTGGCCTGTACACCCCGACCTCGCACATCTTCTTCGCCGGCGACCTCAACTTCCGCACCCACGACACCGGTCCGGCGCCAGACGACCAGCACAAGCACTTCCCGCAGCCGCACCGCCCAGAGGACTCGCCCCAGCACTACTCCCAGCTCCTGGCCACCGACCAGCTCAACCGCGAGCGCCGCGCCGGCCGCATCCTCCAGGGCTTCGACGAGCTGCCCATCGCCTTCCCGCCCACCTACAAGTACTCGATGCACCACCGCCCTGACCCAACTACCAACCCCACCCCATCCCCCAACCAATCCTGGTCCTGGGCCGGGCACCGCTGGCCCAGCTGGTGCGACCGCATCCTCTTCCTGCCGCCTCCCCCAACCCAGTCTTCCCCCTCATTCTCCTTTTCCCCGCTCAAGTACACGTCGCTCCCCCTGCTGCCGTCGTCCGACCACCAGCCCGTTGCTCTCAGCGTCAACGTCTCCACCGACGCCCCGCTCGCCCCGCCGGCCAAGGACGCGGGCGATGGCGACGTGCGGACGCATCCGCCGTACCCGCTTGATCCGAATTGGAGGGCGCGCAGGGCGGCGGCGCGGAGACGCGAGATCGCGTTCGGCGTGATGGCGTATCTGACGTGGACGTACGAGGGGAATGCGGTGTTGCTGGCGTTGGTTGTGGGTGCGCTGGGCGTGGGTGCTGTGGTGAGGAGCTTTAGTTGAAGGGGTGGGGGTATCGACAGCTTGTTCTGGCTGATCAATTCGGTATGGATTTGGGGGAAGGTTACTTGTGGAGTGAAATGACATGTTTAATGACCAGACGTATTGTAGTATCTTTCAATGACACAGCAGCAAGTAGAGCTGCGGATAGACGTTAGCCGTAGTAATGATCAGTTATGCACCTGGACGACTTCATCATCGTGAGCAGTAATCCTCTCTATCTTTGTACATGGGTAGTGGAGGCTGTCGTCCGGACAAGAGCTTCAATTGAGAACCCGGTATCTCATCATTGTTATCTTAATAACCCATCAATTTCCACTATGATGCATCCAGATCCAGTTGTTGGCCGGTGCGGTCGCCAAGTGTGGTATTCAGCCCTTTCTCTTTGGGTAGCTGAAGCTATCGTCCGAACGTGTATGTAGAATTTTTAATTCGACATTCTCGTCCGGACGATAGCTTCAACTCCGGACCTAAGAGATGCGTAGTCGTGTGAGCGCGCACCTGCCTTCTTAACCACGCTAACCTGTTTAGGTTCCGTGATGTCTCGTCGAACAAGTACCTAGATCTTTTGCGCCTTCAAAACAACACATCTCTCCTTCTTATGGTCATCAGCCACAACAACACAGCGGCGGCTTGCCGCAGCTTGGTCAGATGCCAGTCTCACCCAGCACCGGCCGTACGGCTCTTGTGGAGCTATTCGAAGCTGCCAATCCTCAAAACTCGACATCGCAGCACCACGTCCTCACCTTGGCCGATCAAAGCCTCGTTACTGTCGCAGACGAGTATCAACAGCTTGTCGAGCGCAACCGTGTTGAGGAGCTCGAATTGTTCTCTCGCCACCGCAAAGAGGAAGCTCAATGCTATCAGCGAATCCACCTTCGTCAGAATACCCAGGATGCCTGCGCTCAGCCCAAACCCAACCTCACCGCGCCAGAGACAGTCATCATAGATCTCGGCTCAGACAGTGAAGAGGAGGATGAGCCAGCGGGAAAGGCTATTTCACCACAGCACGCATTGCCTGCCATCGACCGCTCAGAGATCCGTGCTAAGAAGTACTACATTCGCCGTCCGCAGAGTGAGGGAACACCGTGGTCTTGCTCCGAAGAAAAATGGGAAGGCCTGCCTGCAAAGCGCAAGGAGACACTTTCAAACGTTGGATGGGTGATGGAGACGGATGCCGGAAAGAACGTATCGCCGGCTTGCCGTTACTGCGAAAAATTTGGATACGAGTGTCGCGTCCTTGCAAAGCCGTTGATTGGAAAAGACGGCGTCACTCAGCCGCGTTGTTGCACGTATTGCTTCCTCGACTCCATACGCTGTTCTCTCTTGGTAAGTTGACATTTCTTCTTAAATCGCTCGTTCACTAACTTCGATTAAAGGATCGCCCTATTCCGCAAAGGGATGTGCCGGATTTGAAGATGCCTGATGTCGAGATACCCGATGTCGAGATGCCCGATGTCCACACCCCTTTGAAGCCTGGTGGCAGCGGCAGTAGGGGCAACAGTATTTCTGAGCTCACTACTTTACTTTCCACGCCAATTGATAGTGGCAGCGCCGAGTTACAGACTCTAACAGACATGTTCAAGAAGGAGGAGCCCGAGATGGAACCCGTTCAGAAGCGCAGCCCCACGGCTATCACGAACTCCCGCTCATCCAACGCCAAGAAATTGCGGAGGGTCTCTTTCATTGATTTAACGGATGGCTAGTTGTGGTAGAATCCGGAATAGGTAAATGATGAAATATTGGTCTAGTAGCATAGGTAGTTGAAGCTATCGTCCGGACGTGAATGTGCAATTGTTAATTTCGAGGCAAGTACGGGTCGTTTTTACAGCCCCGGCCTCTCGCAGCCGATAGCTAGCGTGGATTTACTTCATGCTCGTATCATAGGTAGCTAAAGCTATCATCCGGACGTGTATGTAGAATTTTTAATTAGACATTCTTGTCCGGACGATAGCTTCAACTACCCATATATGTCAAAGGCAGAGCTAAGGAACAGTTACGCTAGCCTTCTGCGGAGGGATTCAAGTGGCAGTGCTAACTAATTTTCTCGAATTTAATTGAGATGCACGCTGTACAGCGGAGGCACTACGGCCGGCGGCTAGCGTGAATTTATTTTCGCACATACTGTGGGGAGTTGAAGATCTCGTCCGGACGTGAGTGTATGTACTATTTATGTCCAACCTCATCATTGGTCCGGTACCGTTTGTATCTGCCGCATTTTATGCTTTTTCTCAACACCAAGGAATATACCTTATTTATCTCACCGCAATAACGTCGCTCATTTCATTATACTTTACGACATGACTCTAAGCAATTGGTGTATATGATTAGGTAGTTTTACTACTGTACTATGAGAATCAGCAGTGCTCAATTCAATTCATTTACACTGTTTAATAAATTATCAATTCCATAATTGCATCCGGATGATAGCCTCAACTACCTATATATGTTCTTTTTCTTTTTTTACAAAGAAAAAGGAAGAACTAAAGCATACTTCCGCTATGTTCTATTCTTCACGCTAGCAGCGGGAGTAGATGAGCGAAAGTGGAGGATGCGACTTGACGAATCAAACACGAGAGCTAACGATCGCTACCCACTCCACAACTAAGCCACCCCCGCTCCAGCTTTCACATGGCCAGACACAAACTACATGACATTACTCGAGAGAGACGAAGCAGCAAGAATACGGCACAGTGGAAATGAAACAAGCACAGAATCTGGTAACGAGCGTCGGGGAGAGGGCGTCCGCGGGCCGGGACTGCATCCCACCTTAGCGATCGCCCACTGTTGATAGGCCAAGATAAGCATTCGCAACCTAACCAAGCAAGACCAAGCCCTGCTGCCCGCAGGTCCCGTCGCACTGCAAACCGGGTCTCGGAGGTCCTCCAATCAAAGCATGGCGCAAAGTAAAACAACTTTCGGCCTGGACCGCGGCTGGCCCGCCCGTATCTACAACGATCCGCCCTGTCGGTATCGCCGCCTCACCGTTCCACAAATGGCTCTGCGTAAGAGTAAGAGCTGGGGCTGAGTTGTGCTATATTACGGCCCACCTCCCCCGCATTCCCAACGTCGTGCAGAGCTGCTGGTTTGCGTGACTGGCAACAAATAACAAACGCATCATGACTGCATCGGCCGGGGGCAGCAATGGCGCAGACGTCAAGGTCTTCGGGGATGGAATTGGAGATGATGCAGTGCTCGAGACGTTCGGATATGAGCAGGGTTTGTTTCGCTTACCTACTTAGCCGCAAGTTTGAAGTGACATCAACTGACGTTTCACAGAGCTCAAGAGAACTTTCGGCGTTGTCGGCATGGTCGGATTCAGTTTCAGCATTGTGTCCTGCTGGACCGCCCTCTCAGGCGTTCTCATAGTCGGTGTCGAGTCGGGCGGGCCCCCTGTCATGATCTGGTCCTGGGTGGGCGTCTGTGCTGTGTCTCTTGCCGTCACTTACTCCATGGCCGAGATGTGTTCCGCCTATCCTGTTGCCGGAGGGCAGTACTCCTGGGTTGCCATTCTGGCCCCAAAGAAATGGGCCCGTGGCCTATCGTATGTCTGCGGCTGGTTCATGTTGATCGTGAGTCCTTCCCCCGTTTTCTCAAAAAGCAACAACATATCTCACTCACACGCTCATCCACCCAGGGCATCCTAGCCATGGGCGCCGTCAACAACTTCATCTGCGCCAACTTCATCCTCGGCATGGCCAACCTCACCAACCCGACCTACACCATCGAGCGGTGGCACACGGTCCTCGTCGCCTACCTCATCTGCACCGCGGCCACCCTCTCCAACATCCTCCTCCCGCACCTCCTCAACCGCATCTCCAAAGCCGTGCTAATCTGGAACATCTGCGCCTTCATCGTCTGCGTCACCACGCTCCTCGCCATGAACGACCACAAACAACCCCCCTCCTTCGTCTTCTCCTCCTTCCAAAACAGCACCGGCTTCCCGCGCTCCTACGCCGCCATCCTCGGCATCCTCCAGAGCGCCTTCGGCATGTGCTGCTACGACGCCCCCGCCCACATGACGGAAGAAATCCGCGACGCGCGCGTGCAGGCGCCACGGGCCATCGTGTGGTCGGTCTGGCTGGGCGGCGTGACGGGGTTCGTGTTTCTGATCACGCTGTGCTTCTGCATGGGCAGCATCGAGGAGACGGCGGCGTCGGCGACGGGCGTGCCCGTCATCGCGATCTTCTACAACAGCACGGGGTCGGTCGCGGGCGCGTGCGGGCTGACGGTGCTGATCACGGTGATACCGCTGGTGTGCGCGAACTCGCTGATGGCGGAGGGCGGGCGGGCGGTGTACGCGTTTGCGAGGGATAAGGGGCTGCCGTTTTCGGGGGTGGTGGGGAGGGTGCATCCGAGGCTGTGTGTGCCCGTGTGGGCGGTTGTGGTGACGGGCGTGGTGCAGGCGGCGTTTAATTCGATTTATTTTGGGACGGTGACGGGGTTTAACACGATCATTTCGATCGCTACGGAGGGCTTTTGTGAGTTCCTCCCTCCCCCCCGCGTCCTCCCCCCAGCCCCCAGACTAACAATCGTGGAACAACAACAGACGTCTCCTACGCCCTCCCCCTCCTCGTCTGCATCATCGCGCGCCTCTCGCCCGGCGGCGAGCAGCACCGCAAGCTCGAGGGCCCGTACTCGCTCGGCCGCTGGGGCTTGCTTGCTAACGTTGTTGGATTTGTGTACCTGGCTTTCGCTGTCATCACGTTCAACTTCCCGACCGTCAAACCCGTCGACGAGGAGAACATGAACTACACCTCCGCCGCCGTCGGCGTTGTCATGGTTATTGCCCTCATCACTTGGATCACGACGGGGCGAAAGCACTATTCAGGGCCGGAGACGGGGGTGGTTGTGGAGGGGGTGGAGGGGGCGGCGGAGGGGGTGAGGAGGGAGAATGTGGTGGGGGTGGGGGAGAAGGCGGGGTGATTGGGAGGGAGGTTAGTAGAAGGATAGTTGGTAAGAGAATAGAATTGATTTCTTCTCGATTTGATGGTGTACCTGAGCCCGGATACTTGTTCTGATTCTGAAACTGGGACTGGTGCATAGTATCCCTATTCCTGCCTTTTGCCTGGTACCTGCAGATCCTTGCTTCTCAAGTATTTCGCCATGTCTATCTCTGCTCTGTGGTACTCAGTTTTGCTCATCTAATCATGTCCCAGCTTCTGCAGTATCGCCTTGCCTTAGTCAACGGCTCATAACACCAGACCGGGATGATTCCTAGTATGAGCTCAGTTTTCCTCGACAAGTTGGAAGGAATAGCAAGAGTAGTCCGTTCCACAAATTTCGCAGCAGTAGTACCCCGACCTTTTATCCAAGTCATAGCCTGGAGTAACCATGTGATTCTTTTTTTTACGGCTGCCAGGGCAAATGTACTTCTTGGGCTTCTTGGGCACTTCGACTTTGTGGCTCGCCATAACACGTAGAACATCCATCCCCAGCGCGCCGAAATCTTCCAGGATGGTCTGGAACTCAGGCTTGTCGAGCAAGGCAATGTAGTGCTCAACAATGACACTCACAGCCATCTCACGGATAGTGCACACGCCGCTGCCACTCGGAATCGACTCATAGATGATCTTGACGGCGTTGGCGAAGTCGAAATGGCTCCAGCAGGTAGACGAGAGCTCTTTGAACTGGGTCGCGGCAACCTCCTTGAGTTCTGACACGCAGTACATCTCGCCGAGCGCGTAGATGCGGGCGATTTGCGTTATACCAATCTCGTCACCCTCAGTCTTGTAAGAGCCGGTGTACATGAATTCAAGCATGGCCTTTACGGCATCGGGATCGTCGTGTTCGAGGTCAATGACGCCGGTCTGAGCTTCCTGTGAGGCGATAGTAAGTGGAAGTTTCTTATATTATGGGAGCATTGAGTGCCTGCGTCTAACTTACCTTGAAACCATGCTCGGTTTTGCAGGCGTTGGCGAGGACAGGGCTCTGTCCACAGACGATGTTGCGGTGGACGGCGTACTCATGGCCGTTTCTGTCCTTGATGCGAAGGTCGCTGTAGAGTCCGGTATCGAAGTGCCTGGACGCGCCGTCTAATGTCAGTTGCTGCGCTTTGATAAACTGTGATTGCTGGAAATTTTTGAAAGCAACATATGTGGGCATTTGAAGCGATTGCCCGGAGGTTAATGGAGATTAGAAATTAGACATCCACGTGCGAACGATAGCTTTAACTATCCATATATGCTGTTTTTCGCGAGACTTACTCTTTCAGGCTGACACGCAGCGTCGAGCTCACATCTTTGGAAGGCATGCTGGGCGTTGCTGTAGGTGGGCCTTCCGACAGCAGGTGTTGGGTTACGGTGTCCAGAGCCGAATAGACGTACAAAAATAGCGCATTCCGGGTTGTGATTGACCAGGTGGCACTTTCGGCAGGCAAGCAAGGAAGCTCCAGTGAGCGGATAAAGTTTTCTGCGCACTCTGGGATAATCTCGAAGTTTCTACGGGGTCAGCTCACTTGGTACTTGAAGCTCTTGGTTTGATCACCGATATTTCCCCAGTCCCAACTCCTCCAAAAGCGATTGCCGTGCTTGTTCTGCTTGGGCAGAAAAGCATCTGCCCCATGGCGGCGGGACTCCTGAAAACTTGCTGGATCTTGGGCGACGATCCATGAGAAACGCCATTAAGCATGAGATCGAAGCGCTTGAGAGAAGACTTCGAAGGCATTGCCACTGGGGCGCGAGAAGATGAAAACGGTCAAAGGAACCCTGAAATGGGTCCAAACACGCAGAGAATGACACGTCAATCGAGCGCGGAAAACCACAGTACTAAAAGAGTTGAGGTACATGACTGAGGAGGTGTGCGGATGAAATATGAGCCACCCGAAAAGAGAGGGCCAATGCCACCCTTGGCGATCGGACCTGCCAACAACTGGATCTGGATGTCTCATGATGGAAATCGATAGATAGTGATGATGATAAGCATTGGTTCAGTAGCATAGGTATTTGAAGTTCTCGTCCGGACGTACATGTGGAATCAACAATTGCACATTCATGTCCGGACGATAGCTTCAACTACCCCGACTTGATTGCAATAAATTTACGTCTTTAGATGCGAATTTGAATCACCCCTTTTGGCTAGAATTCTCTAGAAAACATTCGGGGAATAGTCTTGCTCCGGCTGCGGCCGCGCAAGTGAGGTGAGGTGAGGTTGATGCACTGCCCGGAGGCTGCACATGCACGTGACGCACGGACCTTTCCTGGAGGGCTCCAAGGCAGCCATCGCCTTTAAATACAGGCCCTCCGTCCAGTTCTTCTTCCAATTGACCACCGACAGCTTTCTTCCGCCAGGTCCATTGACGAAGCGCTGTCCACCAATTCCAGTTCGCTCTCAGAGGCAGCTTCAAGTGCTCGCGCTCAGCAGACTCCTCGCTTCAGCGGACTCCTCGCTCCACCTCAATCGGTTCGTCTTCACCTCGACCCGATTGTTCTTTTGACGGATATTCTATGACAATGGCAAACAGTCAAGACAGCAGACTCTGGTCTATTGTGGAAAGTTCAGCTATTGTACTTTTCGCTGAGCTGCTTTGGATAAAACACCATCGACCTCCCAGCTCCAAAGCCATTGAACCAATCCCTCTCCACCGACTTCCGACGTTTCAGTCATCCAACCTCTTTTGCGACCGAGAACTTGTCCTGGCGACACGTCCTCTCATCGTGACACACAACAGCGACCCAGCTTCGCATCACTCCCGGCTTCCATCACAGCAGCCACCACACCAGTTCACCTCCGCCTCCCGTCACCTCCAATCCAAACCTCAATACCAACCTTCCAACCAACCTCACCTCACCCACCCTCCACAATGGTCGCCCGCGCCCCCAAGTCCGGCCACCGGCCCGGCCTCGAAACCACCTGCCCGCACTGCCCCTCGACCTTCACCTCCGAGCTCCTCTGCATCCAGCACGTCAAGACCGCCCATCCCGGTCTCAAGCCCTTCGCCTGCCCGCACGGCTGCAGCAAGACCTTCACGGGCAAGCAACAGATGCTCAAGCACGCCGCCAACGACGTCTGCGGCCTGAAGGACATGCCTGCCTCCGCCCTGAACACCACGCCGCCCCGCCGCCGCAAGCACCAGCGCAACAACACCTCCTTCGGCAGCAGCCCGACGCGCTACCGCGAGAAGAAGCCGCTCGTCTACTCCGCGCCCGGCACGCAGGGCAACGAGGCGAGCTGCGCGCACTGCCCGGCCGAGGATCCGGACAACGTGTTCCGGTCTGAGATGATGATGGTGCTGCACGTCAAGGCCGTGCATGGGCGCGACGTCAAGCCGTTTCCGTGCTTGGCTGGATGTGGCAGGTTCTTCACGCTCAAGCGGTCGTCGACGAGCCACTCGGTCAAGTGTCCTGGTGCGTGGAAGACGGTGCCCGGCTACGAGAACGGCGGAAACAGCAACGGCAAGATCAAGTTCGAGAGGAGCGGCAGCAGCGCCAGTGTCAGCGCCGGTTCCGACAGCGGCAGCAGCAAGGAGTCCAACGCTGTCATCCCTACCCACAGCCACCGCGGCATGGCCCGCACCGGCATCGACGGCTTCCCCGAAGAGTGCGACCGCTGTGGCATGGAGTTCTCCAGGCGCTCCAACCTTCTCCGCCACCAGAAGCAGGGCGCGTGCAAGGGAGTCTGGAAGGCGAACAAGCCTGTCAAGAACAGGGTCGAGATGGCCCTGATTGACTGGAGCAAGAAGGGCAAGGAGGCTGAGAAGGAGGCCAAGGAGGAGAAGGAGGCCGAGGAGGAGAAGGAGGACGACACGGAGGTCCTCCTCCTGGAGGCCTTCGCGGAGGAGGAGGAGGAGTCTGAGGAGGAGTAGATGGCGGAGAAAAAAAGCAAAAAAAAAAAAAAAAACTAACGCGGAGAAACGAGAATCAAACGAGATATGTAGAGAATGAAAACCCTATCTGAAAACTCTTCTTACGTCGGTATGTGAAGCGATCGTCCGGACGAATATGTCGATTTTAATAATGTTCATACGTGGGTAGCTGAAGCTAACGTCCGGACGCATATGTCGATTTAATAATCTTCATACGTGGGTAGTTGAAGCTACTATCCGGACGCAAATGTCGATTTAAAAAAGCAACACCTGCATCCTGACGTTAGCTTCAACTACCCACGCAGTGTCCAATATCCACTGGTACGAACACCAGTATTGGTACGAAAAGAACTTTTTTATTATTTTGGAATTACCCGCACTATGTAAAACTCCACAAAATCCGCAGTAATCCAAAAAGAACGGTCACTTTTGAACCTATTCAACCACATGACTCTAATATCAACAAGGAATGCATATCAGACAGCAACCGTGAAGAAAATGCTTCACGGCAACTCGACTCCAAACCTAGCCTCCATTCACCAAAGCTCCCAAATCTTATCCGGCAGCACAGTCCGCATGATCCGCCAATGGCTAACAGCACTCTCGCGATGCCCCTTCTCCAACACCTCGACCGTCTCGGGCGTGAGCAGCTGCGCGCCCTCATCCGGCTTAAACTTGACCTCAAGGTCCTTAGCCGGATACAGCGTGCGGCGGCGGACGATGCTGCCGAGGAAATCCGCGTCGGTAGGCTGGCGGAAGACGAGAGGCGACTTCGAGGGCCGGCAGAAGACGATCATGTTGATAAAGTCCATGTCGTCCTCACCGGCATCCGCTTCCTTGGCCTGGTCGCGGAAGATGCGGCACGAAGGGAAAACGGCGTGGATGGTGTTGAGGACGAGGCGGGTCGACGCGAGGCGGAGGTCGCCGGCGTAGTTGATGGCGACGACGCCGTCGGGGCGGAGCAGGGTCTTCAGCCCTGTCAGGAAGTCGAGCGTGAAGAGGGCGGTGGGCTCGGCGCCGCCGGTGAAGACGTCGTGGATGATGTAGTCGAAGCTGGCGGGCGCCACGGCCGCCGTTTCGCCGACGTACGCGACGGCGTCGCGCAGCACGGCCGTGTGGTTGGTCGGCAGCGCAAAGTACTTTGTCGCCATGGCGTGCACGGCCGGGTCGAGCTCGACGATGGTCGTGTTGATGCCGTGCTTGATCAGCGCCGTCGGCGCAGTGCCGATGCCCAGGCCGATGTTGAGGGCGCTCTTGGACGAGTCGGGGCGCTGTTCATTGACGGCGCCGGTTACGGCGAGACGCACGGCTTCCAGCATGGTAAAGACGGTGTAGATGGTTTCCGGCTGCGTCTGTCCGCTGGCCCGGCGCTGCGGGCTCACGAGCCATTCGCCACCCAACAGGCTATGGTCGGCGCGCATCAGGCGGAATTGGTTCTCATGGCTCTCGATGACGGAGATGTAGCCGGTGAGGGACTCCTGGCGCTCCAAGAGCGTGTACTGGTTTGCGTGGAGCGTCTCATTCAAGACGGCGGTGGTGGTTGCGCCAGGGAAATGGGGGTTGAGGCGAACGGTATGGAAAATGGCCGGCAGGGCAAGCAGCAGGAATTTGGAAGGGGCCACAGCGGCAGAGGCAGAGGCAATGAAGAGTTGCAGGCCAGATCTGGTGAAGAAGTCATTGGAGCCCATGTAAGCGGGCAGGGCTCCAGCGACGTAATTCTCAACGACGGAGAAGGTAGTGTAGCACGCCAGCGGCGGGATGCCCTCGGCGAAGCCACGACTGAACAAGCTGAGGTCTAAGACTTCCAATGCAGAAACAGCGGCAAACATGGACAGCAGTAGGATAGGAAAGAAGGTGAGGACCTCAGTAATTACGGGCCCGTAGACGGGGCCAAGGATGGAACTATACTGGAAAAGGACACTCTGGATCGGGAGGCTCCAGAATGCCAGAACGGGAACCCATGCCTGGACGTTTTTCGGAAAGATACGCTGGAAAACGCTCTTGTTGATAAGGACAACCAGAGCGGTGAACATCAAGCTCTTCTGGTGCCAGATCGCCGCCGGGATGCTACCGTAGACCGGGGACAGGCTGAGCTGCGAGACGGACGACGCAAGCCCGGCGACGGCCATCAGCGCCGTGGCTTTGAGAATGCCGACGACGGGAGAGCCGCGATTTCCAGATTGGGTAGGCGACGAGGCGTTCGAGGGGGCGCCGGCCGGGGGTTGGCGGGCGGCCGTAGCTTTGGCGGACATGGCGGGCTCGTAGGATTGGCTCAGGGGTTGCGGCTCTTGAAGTGAAGGGGCGAACCAGCGCCGGCAGTGGATGGTGAGTGGGTTGACAGAGTGAAGGGTGGGTGGTGATTGGCGACGCGCAGAGATGACAAAAGCGAACGGGACACCTGGCGCTCTGCAGGCGCGTGGCAATGCGATGCGAGGGCGCTCACGGGCGCGCTGCTGGCATGGACGTCGGCACGAGGGGGGGTGGGGGGCGACCTCAGAGGCGGCAGCAGAGGATGCGGTAGAAGTAGACGAAAAAGGTGCAGACGGCTGAGGCGGCTCCGGAGATGCGCTGGGTAAAGGCGGACATGGTGTCGTCTCGCTGCGCCGTGCAGGCGCGTGGTGACAGGGCTGTCGCGGATGGTGCTGGGGGGCAGCGTTTCACCCAGGCAGCGGCCCCACGCCATGCAGGGTCTCCTCTGCCACGGCTGCCGCACGCGAGCGCTCTGGCAACCGGCCACGGCCGCCACGGGCAAAAAGGGTAGCTATGACGCCCATCACGCTCCACGCGCCACTTCACTTCGACACGCTTCTGCTCCTCACCGGTCCGCCGTCTCTCGTTTTTCTTGCAAAAGCCCGCCGCTCTCCCGCCGCACCCCGAAACATCCCACCCACCGTCCCGTCACTCGTTCGCCCATTTCCTTTCCTCACCCCCCAATGCCTTTCCTCGGCCCCGCCGGCCAATCCAGCATGCACGTCGAGGAGTCCACCGCACCGCAGATCGATGCCGCAAGCGAGCCTCCGTCGTCGCGCAATTTCGCCGCCCCAACCAGCACCCCTCACCCGCAGGATAGCAAGCAGCTCGACCCTCAGGACGAGGACGCCGCCGCTCGCGCCCACCGCATCCGCGTCAAGAACCGCCGCAAGCGCTATCTCGACACGCACCCGGAGTATTTCTCCTCCGGGCTCGAGCTGGCCGACCCCCTGCTGTACGACCGCCTGGTGCGCCGATTCCAAACCCCGGCCGAGCGAGAGGCCGAAGGCCGCGCAAAGGGCTACTCTGGCGTGCTTGAGGCGGACCTGCTTCGCTCCGAGGCCAAGCTGCAGGCCCTGCACAACCCGGACGCATCGTCCATCGCCGTGCGCCGCGGGCCCAACGGCGAGATACTTGCCGTCGAGGAGGACAGCGACGAGGTCAAGACCAAGGAGGAGGGCCTTGCGCGATGGCGCGACGACATGGGCCAGCGTTTCCTGCGCGGCGACGACCCGGACTTCTGCTACGAGGAGGTCGACGAGAGCGAGGAGTGGGATGATGTCCAGGAGGAGGAGCGCGACGTCCAGGAGAAGTACTTCGACGACGAGGAGCCCAGCTGGATCCACTCGGGCCCTGCTACTCCCAGAATCACCGGCGAGACGGGCGTGCAGGACTTTTGACAATTAAAGCAAGCTGATGATTCCTCGTCTGCCGTTGAAGAAACGTCGTCTCCTCTTACGTCATCACGACCGCGCAGACCGACTTTGCAGTGCCCCAACCAACATGCACACATGCAAACCACCGAGACGGCCAACGGCACGACAACAGTCACCGTTGCTACCCACGTCGGTTGCGAGAGGTGCCGCCGCCCATCCTTCTTGAAGGTTAAGCTGTTCAGCTGAGCGCCGTGTCGCCCTCAGACTCCACGGCCAGTGACACGACATGTAAGCATGCTGCAAGAAGCACTTGGAAAGGCAGAAATGAAAACAGCAAGTGCTTTCAGACGTGCCAACAACATGGGAGCATCCGCACCCCCGGCGCAGGACGTCATTGCCCAGTCCAGAAATCCAAAGCCTCCCATCCGGCCGTGAAAAATGCGCAATGAATACCCCTCCACAAATATCTGGCTGGGAGACACCCGAAAGTCATTGGTCGTGCCTTGAGGGTGAAAAGCTGCCTTTGCAAGGGAACGAGTCACACCGACTTCCCAATGGACCTCATATCACACCCGAGGAAGAAAGGCATATCTTTTTCAACTTGTAACCACTTCACTTCGATGACCACCCCCTTCACTTCTCCAAACTGCTTTCGCAAGCGATCCGAGACCTGCATTCATCTCGAGAAGCAGTTCACTTTATCATTCGACCAAGGATTCGTCCAAGAGAGCAGAGAGGACTTTTGTTTTTTTCAGCGACGAGACTGATTACGGAAGATCGAAAAGGACTGAGAATGATGAGTATATCAACGAGGAGAAAAAGCTGCATCAACAGGACCCGATGACGCAAACGACAATGCGAAGCGTTCAAAAAGCGACTCAGCATCTTGCAACGGCCGACCATCACAATCACACCCATTTCGTGCCTCCTTTCCCCCGCATTGCTTGGCCATCGTACCTTTTCTTTTGATGATTTCGTTTCCCAGCGAAGAAGCCTTTTTTCTTTCTCTTTTCTTTTTCTTTGTACGCATTTTAGCCAGCGAAGATATTCACTATACCATTATCAGTCTTTTTAATACGAGTTATGACTTCTCACGACCGAGGCAAAAGCGAAAGCCATCATTCATTCCTATCGAGATCCGACTTTTACCTTGTACACTTCATGACGCCCCTTTGCGGTATCTACCTCGCATGCAAAATGCAAAACAAGATTTGGATATTTCACTTCCGTTCCCCCAAGGGAACTCGTGTCCTAACTTCGTCAATGCCCTCGGGCTCTTACGTCTATGTGATCATTCATGCCTCTGATACGCCGAACGCGAAAAAGATAAAAAGATCGCGGACACGTTTTTGCGAAGTTCTCCCACCATTCGAGAGCGAGGCTCATGCCGTTAGTGGCAGTTTTATACAAAGTTGGTGCGTGTAGAAACGCTTAGAAGCAGAAGACCTGGTCCTCGAGCTTGCTGACGGGCCTGGCCTTGTCGAAGCCAAGGGACTCGGCGGCCTTCTTCATGGCGCTGACCATGGGGGGAGGACCGCAGATGAGGACCTTGACGTCCTTTGCGGGAGCGGGGAGCTTGGCCTGGCAGCAAGTTAGCGATATTTCGACAAAAAAAAAAAACCAGCGATTATCCAGTAGAGACGCACCTTGATCATGTCGGCAGTCACGAAGCCAACGCCGCCGGTCCAGCCCTCAGGCGGGTTGTTCAGGACGTAGTGGACGCGGATGCCGTCGTCCTTTGCGGCGAGGGCGTCGAGGTCCTCGCGGAGCAGGATGTCGTCCTCGTTGACGTTGGCGAAGATGAGGTCGACCTGGGTGCGGTCGCCGCTGGCGCGGCCGCGGTGGATGGCCTTGATGACCTGCAGCATGGGCGTGATGCCGGTGCCGCCCGCGATCATGCCGAAGTGGCGCACCATGTTGGGCGTGTAGACCATGGCGCCCTTGGGGCCGCGCACCTTGATCTTCTCGCCAATCGCCAGCCCTGCCACATACTTGGAGATGTTGCCCGTCGGGTACGCCTTGATCAGCAGGTCGACGCGGCCCAGGTCGAGGTCGGAGGAGATGGGCGTGTAGGAGCGAACGACTTCCTTAGGCTGGCCGGGGAGGGTTGCAGCGATGCTGATGTGCTGGCCGATGGGGAGGCCGAGGACGTCGGTGGGACGCGGGAGGGCGAAGCGGTAGCTGTTTTTGGCGGTTTTTGGTTAGCGGGGGGGGAGGCGGTGGGCGGTCGAATGATTCGAGTTGCGGCGCGGGCGGAACGGGTGCTTCGGGAGAAGGAAAGGCTTACATGGCGGTGTTGTGCGAGAGGATGGTCTTCTCCTTGAGCTCAAACTCCTGGAAAACGTCGGGCTTGAGCACCTTGCGGGGTTCTGCGATAGCAATTGATTGTCAGCTTGGTGTTTTTGACCGATTTCGGAGCACAAGCTTCTGCGGATGAAGGCGGCGGGGGAGGAGGGTAGGCGTACGGTTGCTGTAGACCTTCCAGCCGCCGAGAAGAGCGGCAATGGCGACGGCGAAGGGAATCCATGCCTTGTTGATAATGGCGGTGCCGACAATCAAGAGGGCGGAGGGAATGTACACGCCGTGCACGTATTGCGGCGCGAGCGCTCCCGACATGGCGAACGGGCGATTGATGGGGATTGGTGAGGTGTAGGAGCTGCTGGGAGCAAAGGTCTGAGGGGAGAGGGGAGCTGGAGAGAGCACGCGCGAGAGGACAGAAGGTGGTGGGGCGTGGTGTTCGTTCTTAAGTTCGGCGGGCTTGGCCGGCGAATGCTGCCGACGTTGAGCTCACGCGAAAAGCTGGTGTGGGGAAAATCCGCCCGAGGACCCCTTCAACGCTTTGGGCAAGGAGATCCGGCGAAGAGCCAGCGCGGGGCATTTCCGCCATCAATTCATCGCTGCTCGCGGGGTACAAGGCTGCCCGTACGCGGTAATCCTCCCGACTGTGTTGGTTTTCACCGACTCACGATGTAGACAGCTTGGAACTCGCGTTCTCACTGCCCCAACAAGACGTGAAGACTCCACTCCCTCCGCAATCATGGCGCCCGGCGACATCAGCGACTGCACGCCCACCGCAGCTCTGGTCACGCCACATCCAGCCCATCCTCAGCAGCGCGCCGCGAAACAACAGCCGGCGGCACCGGTACTCACTTCTACCTCGGGCTCGGCGGCAAGCGACGGCAACATCAATGATGCCAACACCAAAACCGTAGCCGACTACCTGGCGGCCTTCCCGCACCTGACGGACCTCGACAAGCGCATCCTCGCGCTGCCGTCCGACGACCACTTCACCCCGCACTCGTGGACGTCCCTGCGCCAGCTGATCGCCGCCAACGACCTGCACCTGCTGACGCGCAGCCCGTCGCAGACGCGCGCCTACCTCGACTGGACCAGCGACGTGCGCCGCCGCTTCGGCTCCATCACCAACTACCTGCTGCGCGAGCGCCTGCGCTGGACGCCGGCGGTCCAGGACGAGGTGCAGGGCATCGCCTTCGCGTGCGCCGACCCGACGCCCTTTGCGCACCCGGACGACTTCCTCGTCCTGCGCAACGACTGGCCCTACGGCCTCGACCCGGGCATCGTGCACATCTGCGTCTGGCTGAAGACGCCGCTGGACCTGAAGCCCGAGGATGGCGACCTGACGGACCGCGCGAGGGACCAGGTCGAGGACTTCGTGACGGCGACGTTCAGGGTGCCGCTGGGTGAAGGGACCAAGGGGGAGAGGGTGTTGTGGTTCAAGAATTGGGCTCAGCTGCAGAGCGTGAGGGGCGTCGACCACGTCCACGTCTTGATCAAGGACGCGCCTCCGGAGCTGCTCGAAGGCTGGATGAATTGAGGTGGGACACCTGATCGTGTGCCGACTGAGCGCTGGGGAATCCTAGCTCTCCGGCCTGGTGTTTGGGTGTGTTGAAAAAAATGTTCGAAGCCGGAACAACCTATAAGATGAGAAGGTAGAGTGAGTATAGACCTAGACTTCTCTTACCCAGTCCATACACTGGCTCTTCTGGACAGTAAGCAACCAGCAAAAATCGATAAGGAAAATCCGTAGCAGGGCTGGGAACAGTACAGCCTGCCCAGAGGTCGTCACGCTCTTCGCCGTTTCATTCGAAGTGTCAAAACTGTTTCAAGAGTACCTTGATCTCGGGTTAGGGACGATCTTTTGTTCTATCTGGAATCATCCGGGTGACAGCCGGAGATTTCCTCTCTTGGGCAGCTGACTGAGCAAATTAGGAATTTCCATGAGATATCGAATTCAACATCTGGACGCAAATGTGACTTTCACATTTGATTCGACTACTAATGTTGAGAGAGTTTTCGAGCACTAACCTCCTAGCTCTGTTACTGAACGTGTTGTGTCGAGTCTTGACGGGTGTTGCTGTTGACTGACGACTTTAGTCCGAAGACCAAAAACCGGACCAGCGATCATTGACGTCCGCTCACGTTCAACCGATGGAGTCCGGACTTTGGACCCCCAACGAAACGTTCTTACCGCCGAACCAGTAGGAGATATGGTCACGAGCCCATTCACGGATCTGCCCGTCATGCGCATGGGACGAGTTAGCATCCAGCGTCCGGATAAAACATGAGACGGTTGGCCACGCGTCGAGGAACTTGATACCGCGGGGCTGGATGGATCGACTGTTTGGGAAATGCGCGATAACCCGAGGCCGGCGTTAGGTGGGGGGCTATTGATGATCAAACGTTTCGCTTGGCCTCCTCCATCCCGACCGTTAACGGAAATTCAATAAGATCTCCGATATGCATGTAAGACAGCACCCAAGCATTGACCCACAGCATGTGATATTTCGAGTTTTCCATGTTGGATCACGGCAGTGGAGCCAGCGCTGGGCTTGGGAGGTCCCGAATCACCGGTCCTCTGGGTGGCACTTTAATCATCCTTCTTGCCTATTGGCTCGCCGTGTTGGTCAGCGATGGAGTCAGCCTGCCGGGATAAAGGCGTGGACGGCACAATACAGCCGCCAAATACCCCAATCGTTGGTTTTCTCATAGTCACAGTCCAGGGATTGCGCTCCTACTCACGTTGAAACTCCCCCACGAACTGTCTGGTGGGTGACCGCCGGCGGCGCTACCAGCCACTACAACTCAAATAAGAAAGGTTATATATGTTTGCACGGACGACAGCCGCGCAGAGGGGTACCCGCTGGTCGCTGATTCAAAATTGCAGGGAAAGCGTCCACCCCCGCTCCCAGTTGCCGTCTCGCTTCCTGATTCATGGCGAACAGGAGGAGGGAGGGGGGAAAGCAGGATAAGTCCAGTGGTCTCATGCATGTATGATCTGCGCCCAGGACCGCGGATTGGGGAGAAGGGGAGGTCGTCGCGTGAGTTGGTGTAGGTGCCTCCCTCTGGCTTACGCTCGCTCTCTTCCAAGACAACGCACTCCAACAACAGCTCCCCTCCCACCTTCGGCTTGCCACGGTCGCGAAAGCGTGTCGATTAATAATAATGCCGCGGAGAGGGCCGAATATCAATCAACAAACTCCAAAACAGATTAACACCACCCCCGACATGCTATGATACAATCCAATGAAAGTTTCCCGCCGTTCCCACCGCAAGGTTCCCATTGGGCCCAGGATGGAGTAAGCTTTTCGTCCGTACCGGTGAACCGCAATCAATCATTCCTCCACTATGCGGTGCGGAGGACCTGCCTGTGACGGCCCCCATCCGATCGCGCCTTAGGACTCACCGCAGCAGTCACCCGCTCACGCAAGCCCAATATTTCTCTTTCCTAACCAAGCAGCACGGCCCCACATCACCTTTCCCCAATCATTCGGCTGCGAATATCACCGCTTCGTATCCTTGGGGTGAACACGACAGCGCCCCCGAACTAACCGGCGGCTTTAACGCGCGGCCCGCACCCGACCGGTTGCATACACGAGAGTTGGGCATGGGAAGTTCCTGGCGATCTCCCTTCGACGAGGTTTGCGCATATGTAAGCAACACGCGATGAGTTGTCTTTTTGTTCCATTAGGTTGTTCTCGAAGTCTACCTCGCGCCATTTTATCTATTTTGCTCTGTATTATTTTTTTTCGGCACTAGGCCCCATTTTCACAAAAGTCCTTATCGAATTCATGAACGCTTCCGGCGTGCGCCATCCCCGCCCTACAGCTCTTATCCCAAGCCACAATTTTTCTTCCCTTGCCCTTTTCAGCGCCGCTCCTTATCTTCATTATCACATGCAGCCACCAGACCTGCCTACGCCACATGCAAAGTCGCTCCACATTAGTGCATGTGATGGTACCCATACATGAAAATGCTCTCACGTGCTGATTGAGGATTATTCATAATGGCCTGGGCAAATCCATGCGATAACGCCCCCGAGAATTCGGAAAATCGCCCGAATGGTGGTGGATGCAATATACTATAAATAACTGCCGAGTTTTGTACCTGCTGTCCGTATTTTTTTTTTTGGAGTAGTATTATTTAATAGATGTGCGCTTCAATATTTTTATTCATGAGCAGTTAGAAGAAATGTTTGCACACAAATATGATTCAAAATTACATATTTGCATCTGCACATCAGATCCAACTGTCCGTATAAGCATTATGTTCTTTCATAGACCGCTGCATCATTCTTCATTTTTTAGAATAGCTGTGGTACTTCATAACATAAATGCTGTCCTGTAAGCACGAATAATGTTCCTGAACTATTCTCATCCGGCTGGGCAATGCAAGACGAAGCAATAAGATAATACTTCATGGGCAGTTGAAACAAATATCCAGACAAAAATGCATCATCTACAAAAATACATCTCTACAAATACATCCGTATATTGGGACTCAGCTACCCACGTAGGCAAGGATACTCTATTTCAATAAAAGTGTCCAAAGACCAAGCTTCTATAATAGCTAGGACGTACTCAGAGCATCGAAGGGCTCAGAAATGAATCGTTCCTATTATTAGGAACCACTTGCTAAGGTTAAGAAGTCGGGGGTTAAGTGCCTCTGGAAGCTCTTGTCGCCTGGCCACCTACAACAGTTCCTATATTACTTACGCAGTGATGCCACACACGGCCCAGATTGATACCCAAAGCACATCACCAGCCTCATTTCCCCGGAGATGCCGTGCCACCGGTTCGTCGGACGTCAGGCTGCTGCGGCCCTGCCAAGCGGTTGGGCAAAAAAAGAGCGACGATGACAGCCTGAATTATTGTCGAAAAGCCTTATCGTTGCACGAAGCGGGACTCGTGACACGTAGGTGGATGAGATGCAAGGAACTAGCCCGATCCATGTTATAAACGTGGGCGTGTTGTTGGTGTTGTGCATGGGGATACCATCGCGAAGGTGCTAAAAATGAAACAAAAAGAAAAACATAATCGAGGGTAAAACTCCCACACAGCTGCCTAAAAAGTGGCTGCAAGACAAAAACGCCATTCAGCGACTCACCGCCTCAATGCTATGTATAGTCAATGATAGGCAACGATGACGAGAGATACCCTCCAAATGAAGTGTTGATGTCGAACGCCGACGCACACCCGTTCCGGTCTATCCCCAGCAGTCTAGACCGTTGTAGTACGGGAATAAGCAAAGAAGGTCTGAGCGGACGCGGAGAAAATAATGAGGCAAAAAGAAGATTCTCGGGTGATTTTTTTTGATTTATTTCTGAGACAGGTCTCGCAGTGTCTTAGATTCAGTTGGGAAGGAAGGACTTGGCATGGGTGGGGGGGATTAATGTTCCTGGTCACGACCAGTCACAGTGAATGGTCGTATCAATCCTGGCTGCTTGTCAGACAAGAAGGTGCACGGAAATAGTGCCGCTGAATGGTCCAATTCCTCGACTCAAGTACGGTTCGTCTCGGATGGCTCTCGCTTCGGACAAAAGGAGGTGCGAGATGGGAGCTATGCATATGTGATCCTTTGAGAAGCTTTTGAGATCATCCCTGCATGCAGAATAGGGCAGGGCGGATAGCTAAGGAAAGACCCGGCAGAGTGGACGCTTAACCGGCTTTCATCCAAGCTCTCATGTCTCAAAGGCCGACGGTAGTGAAGGTTGCAGTTGCCGAGAGGATGATGGTGATGGTCAAGTGGCATGTGCAGCAGAGCAACATAGACAACAAGCCACCTGTCGCGGGAACGCAATCGAAGCGGGAGCGGTCGTGTATGCACGTAAGTAATGTACAGCCATAGTACTTGTGCCACGCTCCCGCGCTTGATTTAGGGTCCCAACGAACGCACATCGAGTGTGGAACAGGTTGAACCTACATCAAGTGACACTCTGCCATTGGCAACCCACGCACTGCCCCCCCAGCAATAATAAAGGAAGAGAGTAAGTGGTCCATGACTCGGCAGGCACACACGCCTCGGCCCGCCGCTAGAGGAGGAGCATGCTGGTAGCGGGATGGCTGACCCAAAAAAGCCCATTGGTCCGTGTCACGAGTCCCCGGCCGTCTCCAGCGGGCTGCTATTCCCTGCAAAAAGGCTTGTGGGGCGCCCGATGCTAAGGTGAAAGGGGTGTGACGGGTGAACGGGTTCAATGGTTGCGGCCTATTCGCTTGTAAGGCTTTGCCGGTTGCCTGTGTCACCTTCGATTGGCTCGCTCCCCACGGCCATTCGCTATGGAATCCATTTCAGGCACATCGCGGCCTTGCAACCCTGCTGCCACACAAGGCTCGCAAGTGGTGGGCGTGACCCGCATGGCCTGGCGTGCGAGACCTGTCGGTGGTCCCCGAGATGCAGCAAGGTATGCGGAAATCTTGCTTTGCCGTTCATATAGACGGCTGCCCTGTCGGCAGTCTCGCCGACGCCGACTCTCGGCCGGCGCCTCGGAGTGGAAAAGCATATTGTAGACTTCATCGGAGAAAACCTATGGCGAGCAAGGACAGCTTTTGCATGAAAACTAACCGTCAAACGTGGATCCACTGGGGGTTATGCGTTCCTCGATACTGTGCCTAATGTCGTGTGGTGGTGCGGTAGCGGCGACGGCGCAAGTTTCTGTCCGATCAGAATCATTGCATTTTTCAAGCGCGGAGTATGAGACACCCCTTTCGGAGGGCTTGTCGAGCTTGGCTCGAGTGCTGCGATGCGCAGCCAAGCGCGGCTAGACTAGCTGATGGATCGACGGCAGAATCAAGGCCGGACTTAGCGCAGGTATGGACGCGATTGCAGCAGAGGTGCTGCATCCTCATAAGCGTTGGCTTGATAAAGTGGAGCAAGCTGTAGATTTATGTTAACATGACTTGTGACGTGCAGTTGACACAATACGAGAGGTTCGCTGAGGAATCCGCTGCAGAGTCACGGTCCCGAACTACGACCGTTCCAGACACAGGTCCGTCTGCGCGGATACGACAAGGACAGCCTGACCCCGCAATGGCTGCCGATCCGACGAGTGAGGTCTGATTCAAGACGTAAGCCCTTGCGCACGAGGAGGTTGGATCCCAGCAGGGACGAACCTTGAAGGACCGAAATCTAACTGCCGCGCGAGGAGGATACTTTTCTTGGGAAGCTGTTTCCAAAAGCGAGCCAGACCAGTCGTCCACTGCGCCTAGAAAAGACGCGAGATCGCCGGCATATTAGTCGCTGGAGACATCCCTGTTTTGGGACCCTTGAGCGGGAGCGTACATAACCCCATGAAGCTTTTGCATCTGAAAGCCACACCAACGATGAACCGTTGCCATGTGAGAGGGCTCGCGTATGTATGCTTGACGAGGGCTTAGCATAGGTGCTGACATATGGCGTTTTCAAATCAGCTGACCGCGAACGATGGACGTGCGTAACGGTGTATAGGAAAAAAACACATCTCGATCTTGGATGCAGATGGAACGCGCGAGATCGCAGAGAGCTTCCTTGCAGCACGGCTAGAGATTTCTAAAGCTGTAGGGTGTCAGCCTTCTCAAACCGCCAGAAAAGAAATGCTGGAGCACAAAGATAGTGCAGGGCGATCTCATTTGGTCCCGGCGGTTCGGGCAGCGTGCCCTTATCGAAACAAACAAGGACACATTCCAGCGTATGTACTCGGGCCCGCTCCGGGACCGCCAGGCGAGGCTGAGAAGTACCGCGGCTGAACACAAGGACATGCCGTGTACTGGCTTGAACAGGCGGCAGGCGTCAGCTTGTGCTACGGGGGATGAAACGGGTTACACGGGCAGATCGAGTGCCGGCTGGTGTCGGCTCGACGGGATGGGTGTGGTCGCACCGGCGCCGGGCCTGCCACGTTGCAGGGTGTTGTTTTCCTGTGATCTCCGATCAAAAGCAAAGTCGTTAGAGAGCCGGCGGCCAGGGACGAGCAGGCGCCGGCGGGCGGGCTGTGCCTCACTGCCGTTGTGCGCGACGCGGGCCGGCTGGAGCGCCATTGGCGAAGGGCGGGACGGCTGGTCAGCGAGGCGTCGCCGGCGCAGGCTGCGTCTTCACGTGCGGTGGATGCGGCTCTGGGACAACGGTTTGGGATCTCGAAACGTGCCTTGGGCGGTGGTCGTGTCTCCACGCGGGCAGCTAGCTGCTTTTGCGCCGCGATCACCGGCGAGTCGCGAGAGTTTATCATGAGCTTGATGAGTCAAGGCGCGGCGGCTTGTCTGCCGACGGGCCCGGGGCGGTGATTCGCCGCGGGGCCGGGGCCTGCGAACGTTGGTCGCGGCAACCTTGCAGCGTGCAGTTCCTGGGATGAGGCCAGGAAGATGCCGCGCGGGCTGCAAGGATGCGAGATGGCTGTGAGTGCGACGGCGAGCCTTGGAGCGCGAGCGAGCCCGGAGCGCAGCGCGCCCCGCCGCGCCCGTGGATCCGCGGCCGCGACGTCGAGTCTGCGATCGGCGCGCGCGCTGCCCAATCCAGCCCGCTGTGGCTTTGCTGCCCACCCCGGCGCCCGGCGAGTCACGCCTCTTGTGTCAGCTATCTCCAAGCAGCGGCAGCTCTCAGCCTCCGCGCTGGCCTGGCCTGGTGCTGGTGCTGGCGCCGCGCCCTCTCAGCACCGCACGCTGCACTCGCCCGCGTGCTGCTGCCTTTCCCTGCCCGCTGCCCCTTCGCTCCCCCCACACGCTCCCGCCCTTCGTCCTTCCGGATCCAACGCTGCAGACTGCGCCCTCCCATTGGCCCCGAGCCCGCGTCCCGCTATCGCTGAAGCTTTGGCTGGCCCCCCAAAAGCGCCCCAACGTCCAAGCTGCGCTCGACCCTCGCTCGACCACGCCCATCACTCTCCACACGCCCTCCGTCCACACCACCCGTCGCTCTGACCACGCCCACCACTCAGCTGCTGCATGCGCATCTCTCTGACGACGCCGGGTGACTGCTAGCGCCCGAATCCCCATCCGGCCGCCCATTCCCCGTGCCGGCCCTGCGAACTGCCCGTGTCTCGGTCGGGTCGCATCGCATCGCGAACCTCACCTCTCCAGCCTGCCTGCCGATCGCCATCACCCGTTGCATTCTCCCTTGGCGAGATCGCCAGCCGACGACGACAAATCGCTCCATCCGACCACCCGTCCCTTCTTTGTCCCACAGCCTCAATTACGCGCGGCTTCCGTCTTTGTCGCTCGCTGCTAACGCCGCACAAAGAACGACATGGCCGCGGGGCCAAGTTCGAGCAGCACGAGTCCGTCCAATCTCTCGTCCAACAGCCCGTTCCTGCACGGCTCCTTTAGTTCCACCTCGTCCTCCCCGCCAAAGCTGCCATTTTCCGCGGGAGCAATGACGGCAGACGTCTTTTCCACCACCGCCGCCCCCCTGTCCCACAGCTACACCTTGTCGCCCATCGGCGAGCGGAAGACGCTGGAGAGCGGCCCGTCTTCGCTGCTCTCGCTGAGCGAGCTGGAGCCCACCCTCAGCAGCGCCGACATGAAGTATGCCACCACCGTCCTGGTGCGCAAGCTGCCGCGAAACACCAGCGAAGAGGCCGTCCGCAGCATGCTTCTGTTCGCAAAGGACCTGATCAACACGGAGATCATCAAGGCGGATTTTACTGAAGACAAAGGTTTCGTCTCTGCAATCGCACGATTCAGGACCCTGGCGGGCGCGCAGGAGGCTAGAGATAGGCTCAACGGGAAGGCCAATGCCGCAAATGACGCGAAGATGATTGTCGAGCTTCTTCCCAGCAACACTGTTCCTGGCGCCATCGGAGCCAGGCGCAACACGGTTGATGGCACCGCAACCCGCCAGACCTCGGGTTCCACTTCCTCGGCAGCCTCGTCGCTCGGACGCCAGTCATCACGCTTCAACGGCACCTTTCAGTCCATGGAAAAAATGTCTCCGCCAAACGGCTCCTCGAGCCTCGGAGGGGCTGAGTTCTCGATCCCCGAGGGCGGGCTTTTCGGGCCCAAATCCCCCACCGGCACCAAGACGTTCGGAGAAGCCACGCAGAACCTCAGCAAGCAGCTGATCAACGATGACGCGGGCGATGATGAGACCAGTGAACTGATCAAAGACCCTGTGGCCTACGCGAGGAGCGGCCAGAATGGACCTAACATGGCCCGTCGTACCACGCAGCCGTCGCTACCTGTATCTCGTTTTGCCAGTCTCTCGTTGAATACCACTAGCGGAACGTCCGGGCTCACTTCCCCTCCTTTGTCAACTTTCGCGTCACCGCGTTCTGTTGGGCCCGTGCAGTCTCCTGGGCCGCCAATCACAACCATGTCTCCACAGAACATGTCATCAACCATGGGGCCGATGGGACCAAACTCCAACTATCAGCTGACCCCGCACCATTATCAGAGGCACAACTATCCTCCAGTCAATCCGGCGGATCAGAACCCGCCCTGCAACACGCTCTACGTTGGCAATCTCCCAATTGACACGTCAGAAGATGAGCTGAAGGCCATGTTTTCCAAGCAACGCGGTTACAAGAGACTGTGCTTTCGGACCAAGGCAAACGGCCCGATGTGTTTTGTTGAATTCGAAGACGTTTCGTTTGCTACCAAGGCTTTGAACGAACTTTACGGGCATCCTCTCCACAATAGTGTCAAGGGTGGGATCAGACTGAGTTTCTCCAAGAATCCTTTGGGCGTACGGAACGGACAGAACAACAGCAATAATATTCCTCCGACGCCGATGACGCCTCACAATGCACTGCCGGGTATCGGTAGTGGATTTGGCATGAACCAGACCTTTACTACGGCAACCGGGCCGCCGCCTGGCCTCACCCCTCCTGGTATGAGCTCGCCGATCGGCCTGAACGCATCTTCCAACTTTGGCATGTTCTCCAACGGGGGATTCGGCGTACCGCCCAACGCCATGCGAACCCAACCTCTCACCGGCGGCATGGCTTCAACGACGGCCAACGGCGGGTTCAGCAGCATGGCCGGCGGCTACTCTGATTACATGATGGGTCGCTAATTGCATAGATGGATTGATTTCTTTGTTCTTTCATGCTGTTGTGCATGATACTGGAGGAGTTCTAGCGAACGGGTGGATCGGAGTATGGGCGTTGTTTTCCCTCTCATCGTTTCGTTTATTCCCCCCTTTTTTTTTCCTCTCGAGATCCCAACGTCTTCTGTCATTCCCGAGACATTTGCATGGTGTTTTGATCAAGTGTATTCGTTTCTGTTTCTGATCCCGTCTGGGACATGGGTTTCATGGTCACGGCGCGACGTACTCCACAATGGCCGCCCTGGCCTGCAGGTCACTTTGGAGGTGGTTTCATTTACAGCATACAGCAATGATTCCCCCTCATGCGTTTTTCTGCATTTTTGTCCTGGCCTGCTGTCGGTAGCGTTGTTGCATTATCACGGGTGTTCTGTTCCTTGGGACTCCCCTTTTTCCTTTATTCACGTGCTTAGATCTCTACTGATCGGGCAAGACGTCCTTCATCGGCCTGGTCTGCTGGGCAGGAAAAGCACGGTCGCTGGAGTAGGAGCATATCTGGGAGGGTGTTATGGGGCTTCATACGGTTCGATTCTCTGGATTCCATCCTGCTACGCATATGCTTTGGTGATTGGTGGTTCCGGCGCTGGATCGCACATTAGCAGGGCGCAGCATGCCGGTTGGTTTTCTTCACGGCTGGCAGGACGATTTCCTATGTAGTCATTGCATCATGGTCTTTCGCTCCCCTGCGCCGTCATCTCTTTGTCATCATTCTAGCTAGATTCCGTCAGAAAGTTTTGTTTCATTGAAATAAGACCTGTCTTTACCCTCGCAAGCTGAATGGAGTGTCGTGCAGGATCGCCAGGCTGACCTGCATGGTGCCGGAAGTTAATGTGCCATTGGTAGTAGGGCCCTGACGATCTATGTACTTCCTGGCTCTCGGCACGATGATCGTCAGCCCCGGCCTAAGGTGCCGTCAGGGTGGAGTCATTACAAGCAAGATCCGTGATGATAATCACGTGATGCAACATTCCCTCGCTTGTCGGCAGCTCGCGCTCAAGAAAACTTCGCGGCCCGCTGAACCACCGCACCTTCACCATCAACCCCTCCACGCCGCACCACCGCTCTCTCCGCCTTCATTGCCAATTCTCTTCCTTTGTAATTAATTCCACCTTATTTCCACCTCTTGAACAAAGCTTTGACCCTCCGCGCCACAATGCCCTCGCGGCTTCCTTCCACTTTCGCGTCTTCGCTCTCGCAGTGCCTTCCGGCCACCCGGTCACAATGCACATCACACGCATCACACCAATTGCACGCCCGCAACTTCTCCCGATCATGTCGTAACGAACAGACGGCGCTGCGGCGAGCCATGTACGACTGGCTGAATGGGCCGGGCGCCAAGCTCCGGCATCCGCTGCCCGGCTCGACCAACTACCTCGGCGCGTACGACAAGCAGGGCAACCTACTACGAGCGACGGCCAAGCCGACGAGGATTCGGGAGGATGGTGAGGAGGGCGGCAAGGAGGAGGAGTCGAGCGACGGAGGACTGGAGAGCCGTATCGATTCGGCGGACAAGGATGCAGACGCTGAAAACAACGAGCTGCCGCGGGAGAACAGGACAGACTTGACGCCGTTCCCGCTCAACAAGCAGTTCTACAGCCAGCCGGTGCTGAGCGAGGAGCTGCGCGAGCGCATCTACAAGGCGGTGGTTGAGGACAATTTACCACTGTCCATCGCCAGCACGAGCTACAAGGTCTCGATGGAGAGAGTGGCGGCGGTCGTGCGGTTAAAGACGATGGAGAAGCAGTGGGAGGAACAGGTAAGCCATTCCCTCTGTCACGTTTCATTCCCATCAACGCCCCTCTGTTCGAAAGATGAGTACAAAAAAAAATTCGATTAGTCTTGAAGACTCCCACATGGTTAAAACTTACCTTAATCTCTGATCCACACGAACACTTTATCTACATCTCAATCCCTCAATATGCAAAACGCCCACTAACTCAACCTCCAACTCCCCCAGGGCAAACCAATGGCCAAACCCTACTCCAAAGCCGTCCTCGGCATGCTCCCAACAACATGGCTCGCCCGCAACCTAGCCTCGCAGCCCGAGCATGAATCCATCGCCGACCTGCCCGTGCACCCGGCCACGCGCCAGCAGCTCTTCTGGCCGACATCCGAGTCTCGCCGCTTCACGCGCTCCGACGCGGCGGCGGCGTTCGCTCCGGGCCTTCTGCCCGCAGACAAGCGCATCCCGCACCCGGACCTGGTCGAGGCCGAGCGCGACGAGTTCGCCGGCCTCGCCTGGGACGAGCGCATCCAGCGCCAGCACGTGCGCAACGCCCGCCACGCGCAGGAGAAGCTCAAGCGCGAGGCCAAGGCTCGCGAGGTCGCGGCGCGCACCACGCGCGTGCCGGGGCGTCGCTGGGACTTTAAAATTCAGGACTTTAGCGTTGAGCAGGTGGGCAGGGATGGGAAGAATCCTGGTGGTGTGGGGTGGAGGTACGGCGCGCCGCACGAGGATAGGAAGAGGGGGCAGATTAAGATACCCAAGAAGGTGGATGTGTGAGTGTTTGGGATGGAGTGGGGCGTTGCAAGGACGCGTGCGTGCTGTATCATTATCAATGTAGGATCTGGGTTCGGGTGGGATGATACGTTTCTCGTTGATTGGGGGAAATGGGAATGGGAACCCCCCACCGTCATCATGGGATGGAAGATATGAATATGAGATTTAACGCATCTTCAGCCATTTTCGTGTGCCACTAGCCTCCATACAGAGCGACCCTCACTAGGGGGAAGGGGGGCTCTCTTCGTGCGGTATGAATGGGATTGCGGCAGAAGGTCAGTATGAAGTTATCTTTTACTCATCATTGGGGAACGGAGCTATTGTCCAGACGTGAATTCATACATTTACGTGCGAACGATGGCTTCAATTGTCTCATAAAAGTCGGGTTCTCGAATTATGTGGGTAATGTAAAGTACGAACCAGAAATCCTAGCCCATCCCCAGAAGCGTGCTATAACGGCGTAGAGTTGCGAAGAAGGTTTTGGCGGGAGAAAGACGGGCCTACGACTACGTTTCCTCAAACTTGATTCTTGCTTTTATTTATTTGCTTTTTATTTGAACTAGTTGAAAGTTAAGGATACAAAATCCCTGACTTTCACCTTTGAACTAAGACTTCTGGACTACTTCTCTTCTTGAGCTTCTTTGATTTCTATCAACTACTTCTATACTGGAAGCTTAACGTGTATTTATTAGGCATGGTGCTTTGAAAGACTTTGCAACTCGATGTAGAATTGAGAAGTACCACTAGCTTAGGTCGAAAAGGATTGAGTGAGCGAATACATAAAACGCACGTATCTCTGCTTGCTGTAGCAGCAGCCCTACCCGTCGAAGGGCAGGGGGGCGACAATCAGCAAAGACCAGACGGCAGCCAGGCGGGGAGGAAGAGCAGCAACTGTGATGCTTAGAAGAAATGATTTTCCTCCCATTTCCAAGGAATTACTAGATCAATTCAGTGATTTCGATCGCGCATCTTAAACTAGCGCCGAAGGGGAAAAAAGACCCCTACGGAAGGGGACCTATATCTAGAGCCCGAGCCCGAGCCCCGATACCATTGAATCTGTATGTTTTTTTCTTATGTCGAGCCTTAACCCCTACAGAATTACAAATCACTAGAGTCATTTGGGTCATTTGGCACATGATTGAGTCCGGCTCTCGGATCCCCCCAGTCTTTTTCACTGACCATCGCTCTACTGAACTTTTTGTCGTCACCGCCGTCAAAATGTCCGATGACTTCAAGGACCATTTGCGTGCGGCTTACCAGAACTATCCAGTAAGGAAGCGCGCCTCCATGGAATGAAGGAATAGGATGCTCTCGAGCTCCAGCGTAGCGAGGAGGAGGAGGAGCAAACACGGCTGGAAGCGGCTCAAGCCGCGGAACGTGGGCCGGGAAGTGCCACGCCCACCACCAGCCTGGTCCCGAGGTAGAGCACATCCCCCGTCACAATTACTAGCGCCGAGCCTGAGCTGGAAAGAAGCTGAGCGTCCCATAGCACAGGCGACGGGGGACGGAACACGTGGCTACGGGCGAGTTGGAGCTATCGTCCGGACCTGAATGGTTAACTGTTACCAACATTTGCATCCAGACAACTGCCTCAACTACCCATAGCACGAATAGAAAAGCTAATCTACGTTAAGTAGCCTTGCGCTGCAATATACGTCGTCTCGTATTCAGCATGGGTGATATTCCTTCAGTCTGGGATGTCCTTGGGGCAGTTGCCTCTTCGCTTTCTTTCCTGTTGAGTGCTGCACTTGTGTTTGTTCCTGATTCGCTGTGGGTGTATGAAGCTGATGGAGAAAGAAAAGTACGGAGCGTGCTAAGGGAGGAAAAGAATAAGAGAAGGGAAAGGAGAGGAAAGAGGAACTCCGCAGCTACTTGCCGTAGTATGCCGTTGCTTTTAGGCTCTCTTCAGAACCCGCTGGGATTCTGCCTACCATGCATGCCCAAGTGTGAAGATTTCTCCCTGAACCTTCATAAGCATGCAGATACGGTGACCGTCTGCCTTCCGGATCCACGTAGTATCCTACCATCCTTCGGGAGAAAAAGGCCGAAGGCTCCAGATGGGCCTCAGGAGGCTCGTCTTCGGGACTGGGACGCCCGATGTTTTTTTTTTCTACGTGTAGGGCTCTCATCGTTTGAAGTAGGCGTGCTTCATGCTTCTTCTCTCTATCCCGCGCGGTGGCGCTTGCTGGCTCCGCTGCTCGCCCCGCTTGGCTTGAGCTGTGCGATCCCGTCTGCTCGTGTTCGAAGGCAAGGGTACTGGTGGTACTGGTGATACTGCTGAAAGCATAAGAGTAAAAACGGCAACGGGAGTTTGTATGTGATTGGCTAGGAGTGTTCGTAAGGAGGCGAATGAGTGGCAGTTGCGACTTCTGTTGTCGCCCGGGATCGCTTTGAGTCGCACTGGCTCAGCTGAGTTCTACATGTCTCGGAGAACGTTGGCATCTGGGCCATGTGCCTCGCGAAGAAAAATGTCCCTATATCGTGGGCAGTTGATCCAATGTCTGGACGCAAGTGTGACTTTTGCAATTGCACATTTACAACTAGACATTGGATACAACTGCCCAAGTAAGCACGATCCTACGAGTCCCCCATTTGAGGCCACGTCGGCAACATTACGCACCAGGGTAGGAATAGACTTGACTTCGGAACCAAAGAGACGCAACAGCATCATCGCGGTAGACGACAGGCATCATCCTGGAGCGAAAGAGGGTGGTGACCGGATTCGGGGCAACCAGAGAGAGACAATGGCAGGGTGAATGAATCCCATTCTTTCTCTGCCCCTTGCCACGCATTGGAACGAGACAAAGAAAAACAGAGAAGCGGCCAACACCGACGTAGCCTCACCGCAAGCAGAAAGGCGGGGGAGGGGCAAAGACCCCGCGTGATCACCCTCTCAGCTAGCCAGCTTAGCCAGGGGCGCAAGACATCACGCAGCTGACTGGTGAGGGTGAGACGATGACAAAAACGCCATTGACCACTAAAAGCGCCAGCGGACCTGCGTACAAACAAGAAAGAAGAAGCTTGGCAGATCCGGAGGCGGAGACGGAAGCGGGGACGAAAAGAAAACGTGGATGTGGGATGCGGAGAACGCCGATGAGGGAAAGGGGAGAGAAGGCAGAAAAAAACAAAAGGTGGTCTGTTCGACCACGCGCTCAGTGGATGTCCGGGTGACCGACAATTAAGCCACATCCGACCGGATCGGAGCAAAGTCTTGGCTGAAGAATGAGGGCGGAAAGGGCGAAAGAAAGTCCCTGCATGTCATGCGGCTCTTCGTTGGTTCAGCCACCAAAACGTGGCGTGCGTTTGCGGCTCTGTGCTTGTGTTGCGGGCGAGGCGCGGTGCTTGGCCCTCGTACCTACCGGTCGTCTCCTTGGCGTCGGCTGTGCGAGTAAGAAAAAATTGTTGTTCTTGCTTACTTGATGGTTGGGTGATCAGCTCTCCCGACGATGAGAGATGGGGTCTAGACGCGAGCGGCCGAGGCTAAGGGCTGCGCACGTCTTCATTCGCTAGCAGGAATGCTGCTAATTATGTAAATCGACACCAGTCCAGACACACAACACGGATGCTAGAAGGCTTTTTTTCTTCGCTGTCGAAGATTTAGGATCTGGAGCAGGCGAGAACAGCGGTGGAGAAAGGTACGGTTATGGGATGGTTCCTGCGGCGGTAAGCGGTAGTTAGCGGTCGTAGGATCGGCCGCCGCGCCTCTAGATCTAGTGCCGACGGCAGTTATTACTGTCGAGCTGAATGGATAGGCCTGCGCGATGGAGAATGCCGCGTGCCCCGTGGATTTGCCGACGGAGGCGAGAAAAAATGCTGGAGGTGTGGAGACGGTTAACTCTTTACGGTGGAGAATGGAGGATGGGGAGAGAGGGAGCGGCAGATGGAGAAAGTGGGCCGGTCTGTCGACTCGGTAGTTGCAATCTGGCTCGGCGTCCGAAAACCGGGGAATGAACGGCGGCTAGCGACCACAGTTGGGGGCCGGAGATGGGGAGAGATGTTGAGCAAGATTCGAAACATTCGGTACAGTATGCTGTCACGCTGGCGTAACGCGTACGTCCCAAGAAGATGCTGACTATGTGGTCAGCTGGCCCTGGGATTACACGCTGGTTCCTGTTCCTTTGTGTTCACCAACTCGTAAAGTTGCCAAAGAGGGTAGCAGAAGAGGCTCTCATACGACCGTAAGCCCGACAGTTCATGGAATAAATCCGGGCTTCGGTAGCACCCGAGCAGCGAGGTCCGAAGGAACCGACTTCAGGCGAATGGGCGGGCGGGAAAGGTGACGGATTCGCAAGCATCCCGGCGCGCATCAGGTGCGACACGAGATGCCGCTTTGTTGTGGCGCCGAAAAACACCAAAGACGGGGATCGTGACCCGGCTGGGAGCGCGGTGAGTGGCCGGATCCGAGGGGCGACCTCGGCATGGCGCCAGCGCAGAGGACCGTGCGGCGGCAGAGAGCTTGAGCAGCTTGGCGCGCGTTGTGTGGCGCTGGCGACGGTTGGCATCAAGACGACGCTGTTTGCAGAGGCAGCGGTTGACGTTGGAAGACGCGTGCGATTGAACCCCACTGTCAGGCGACTGGATCTCGCGGGCAAGATTTGGATCTGGTTGCTGCGGCCGGGGCCCCGTGCCCAGGTCGGCGGTTCTAGTCTGCGCTTTCGGCTCGGGACTGTGGGGAGAGAAAACGCTTCCCCATGGAGAGCGCCGCAACTGCCGAACTCACGCCGCAAGCCCTCCCGACCGACGAAGGAACAAGCCGCGCGCGAACACACCATGGCAACGTTACTCTCTGCTGGACGCGCGTGTGAGCGCAGCGTCAACATCGCACGTTGCGGCACACGAGATCGCCGCAGGGGACCGCCAACGCCCTGCAGCGAGGCCATTGGACATTTCGCACTTGAAGGATTCACAACTGCAGCACAGCTGGCGTGCTTCTTCATCAGATGCGCATGGCCTGACGCGGAAGGTCGTACGGGCCAAGCCTGCCCGAGCTCGGCTTGTCCGAGCCTTGGGCTGGAATCGTGGCGGCGAGTGAAAGAGGCAATCAGCACCGCCGCCTCGACAGCTTTCCCGAACGGGCTCATGCACCGGCCCGCTCCAGCCGTTTCCGTGCTTACCATTGGCTGATTTCGGGTTCTAGACGACCCGGCAAAACGCCCCCCGAAGCCCCCAGCTTTCTCCACTGGGGCCCCGGCGCCCTGAAGCACAAGCTCTGGAGTGATGCGCCGCAAACGCCGCAACGTATGCCCACGCGTATGCTGCTGAAAGGGAAGACCACCCAGGCGCACCGGCCAATTTGCATTGCTGGCCCACCCAGTATATGAACTGCCGGCCCGCTCTCAGATTTTTCTTTTGTTCACCACCAGCTTTCATCCACCGCAACCTTCGCCATCGAAAGGGGTAACACACACTTTTGCACCACTTTCACAACCGCCCACCATGAGTCGCGGCCAAGGAGAGATCTCCGCCCGTGTGGAGGCTCCTGTCACCGTCAAGGCCTACTTGCTTTGCGCCTTTGCTGCCTTCGGAGGTGAGTCCAATTGTTCTTCACCCTATACGCCCAGCAATCACTGACAATTGCATACAGGTATCCTCTTCGGATATGACTCTGGATACATCAGCGGTGTTCTTGGAATGAACTAGTACGTGGAACCGACCAACCATGCTGACCATCTCGCCATCGTCTAACCCAACTTCAGCTTCAAGAAAGAATTCGGCCACCCCAACTCCACCGACACCGAGAATGCCTTCGAGGGCCACATGTACCACACCTGGGAGAAGTCCCTGATCACCTCCATCCTGTCCTGCGGTACCTTCTTCGGTGCTCTCTTCGCTGGTTCTCTTGCCGATTGGATCGGTCGTCGTAACACTGTTGTCTCTGGCTGTGGTGTCTTCATGCTCGGTGTCATTCTCCAGGTCGCCTCCACCTCCGTCGGTCTCCTCGTCGGCGGCCGTCTCGTCGCTGGTGTCGGTGTCGGTTTCGTCTCTGCCGTCATCATTCTGTACATGTCTGAGATCGCCCCTAAGGCTGTCCGCGGTGCCATCGTCTCGGGTTACCAGTTCGCCATCACCATCGGTCTCCTGCTCGCGTCCTGCGTCGACCAGGCCACCAAGGACCGCATGGACTCGGGCTCCTACCGCATTCCGATCTCCATCCAGTTCGCCTGGGCCCTCATCCTCGGTGGTGGTCTCCTGATGCTTCCTGAGTCCCCCCGCTACTACGTCAAGGACGACAAGCTCGAGCAGGCCGCCCACGCCCTCTCCCGCATCCGTGGCCAGCCCGTCGACTCTGAGTACATCCAGTCCGAGCTCGCTGAGCTCGTCGCCAACTTCCGCCACGAGCGCGAGAACATGCAGACCGGCTGGCTCGACTGCTTCAAGGGTGGCTGGGCTCCTTCGGGCAACTTCCGCCGTGTCATGCTCGGTGTCTTCCTCCAGATGTTCCAGCAGCTCACGGGTGTCAACTTCATCTTCTACTACGGCACCACCTTCTTCCAGCAGGTCGGCCTGAGCAACTCGTTCCTCATCTCCATCATCACCAACGTCGTCAACGTCTGCTCCACCCCGATCTCCTTCTGGGCCATCGAGCGCCTCGGTCGCCGTCCCCTCCTCATCGGCGGCGCCTGCGGCATGCTGGTCTGCCAGTTCATCGTCGCCATCGTCGGTGTTGCGGCCCCCGACAGCAACGCCCAGGGCATCTGCCTGATCGTCTTCGTCTGCATCTACATCTTCTTCTTCGCCACCACCTGGGGTCCCGCCGCCTGGGTCGTCATCGGCGAGGTCTACCCGCTGCCCATCCGTGCCAAGGGCGTCGCTCTGTCGACCGCTTCCAACTGGTAAGTGACAATTCCGCCCACACCAACTTACCTTCCAAACACTAACACACTTCTTCTCCTCAGGCTCTGGAACTTCGTCCTCGGCTACGTCACCCCCTACATGGTCGACTCCAACGAGGGCAACCTGGGCGTCAAGGTCTTCTTCGTCTGGGGCAGCACCTGCACCCTGTGCGGCCTGTTCGCCTACTTCATGGTGCCCGAGACCAAGGGCCTGTCGCTCGAGCAGGTCGACCGCATGCTCGAGGAGACTACCCCGCACACCTCGAGCAAGTGGGTGCCCCACGACACCTTCGCCGACGACTCGGCCCGCAAGGAGATTGCCAAGGTCACTGGCGCCTCCGCCGACGTCTACGAGAATGTTGAGCCGAAGTCTGTTTAAAAGGGAGGTTAATGGGTTGGAAGAAGAAGTTTCCTTGTGTAATGTGACGAGGGTGAGGGGAATGATATCCAATGTTGCGAAGTTAGCGGTTGTTTTGAGGGATGGAATGAATTGTGGGTTGTGTATATAGGTTATGACCCTTTAATGGTAGACGATATGATGTCTTTACAAGTTTCAAGCGTTGTGCATAAGTGGTATTTCAAATTGTGACATCACGCGAATAGCTGAAGCTATGGCCTGGATGAAAATGTAATTGTTAATTCGACAGTTACATCCGGGCCATAGCTTCAGCTGCTCCCAAAAGTCAAACAATATCTTCAACACATTTCGAAAATCATATTTCCCACACGCAATAGTTACCTCCTAGCATTCCTCGCGTCACCCACGACCGCCTACGCCTACGCCGTGCCGCCACGCCACACCCATCCTCTCCGTCCTCAATACGCGTACGACATGTCACCACCACTACTACTCGCCCCGAAGGAAGGCGCACGGGAACGCTAAGGCCCAACGGTGGCGCACCAACCACCTTACCCCAGATTCCTCCGCACCAGCCGTTCGCTGATGGTGAGCCGAAGGATGGGATCAGCAGCCACGAAAAATAGTGTATTTTTGGAGGGGGAGCAAACACCTCCTCTGCATACTACTGCATACCTAGCCCACCTAGCTCCCATCCTTCCCGCGTTCGCTGCTTGCCGACATCCGACCAACCACAGCGAAGTGACGTCGCTCGCCTGCCGCCGCAACAACGCCGCCATCGCTACCGCCGCATCGCTTGCGTTGTTTGTGGATGTAGAGCTATTCGTTTGCGCTTTGGTGGCATTTGTCAAGGTTTGCTTTTTTCAAGGCGGAGGGAACGACGTGGCGTTGCGGTCGTCCAATTATCTGGCCTTCTGGTGCTTGAGGCATTTCTTCAGTATTTGAAAATGATTCAGGATGAATTGCACCTGCATGAACGCGAAGGATTTCCAGAAGCCCTGGATCTTTAATTGCTTACATACCGAATGAGATGCGGACTTTGACAGCCGTACGGTTATTTGCGTCATCAAATACCACAACTGTTCCGGTACGAAAGAGGAATGATACAGCAGGCGACAAAAATCCCTGTTATTATCCTCTCTGAAATATCATTATTTGAAAAGAACAAGCAAGCAAACAAACGAACAACTAAGCGCCGCCATGTACGCTCGCTTCGAACTTTTCATGAAACGCGTGAATTTCAACTTGGCTTTTAGGTATTAAAAAAAAAAAAAAAGAAAAGCGTTGCTGCCTCAAATGTCCAGTCTTCCTCTCATGTCACGACTGCCGTTTTGGTCGCAACCCTATGGCATCCCGGAGGAGACCGAATTCTGAGGCAGAGGGGGGTTAACTGTACCAGTGAGAGTTTGATGATTTGACTGGAGAACGGAAAAATTCCCATTTTGGGCCTTTTCATCCTTTCCAGAAGACAAGGACCTCCAAAAGATACGAAGGCTATTATTGTCTTCTGTATGAGGTACGGCTTTTCCGATTATCAAGGCGCCCTCATCGTCAAAGCGAAGCACCTTCTTGGAAGGGTGTTTGGAGAGTTCGAGAAGGGGGTTGCAACACGGCCAGTTCCTCGTACCGCAGACACCCGGACCAGGATCTTTCTTGGGAGGGATGCAGTAGATGTCGTTGTACAGTCGAAGACTTTCTTCTCCTCCGCATCTTTTGGCGAGTTGCCTCAAGCAGGAGACCGATGCCGTGAGATAGTACTGATCCGTCGGGACTGTCTGCCAAAATGGACAGACGCGTTGGGTGGATGCTGGTTGTATGGGGGCCTCCAAGTTGCTGCAGAGGATGACGGCCATTTCTGGCTTGGAAGAAACCAAACGAAGCCAGCCTCCGCTTTTGTCCACATCGACCTTTGAACGCCGGAGGTGTAGGTGCTCTTCGAAACTGGCTATTTCTTTGAACTCGTAGCCCACCAGATCTTTACTTTCCTTGATTCCACACGCGTATCTCTGGAGTTGCTGATCCTTGATCTGGCCGATACGTAGGAAAAACGGTACGAATGCCTGGCGAATAGATACTTGTCTGTCATTGTTGTCTCCTAGTTTGATGTGCTCGGGTAGAAGTAAATCTGCGGATCGCAGTATAGCATCATAAGCCGCCATCCCTCCGTCAGGCCGAGCTTCAGCAAACGGCATACTGCTCAGAACATCAGCTGACTGATGTTGGTAAGAAGCCCATGCCAAAGCCATGTGAAGAATTGCGCTCAATTCCGAAACAAGCCAGCCTTGTTTAGTCTTGAAATCGAAGAGGAGTATGGGGAAGTCCTTGGAGTTTCTGATTTTATCCATTATGTTGTCGTGGACCCCAAGGAGTCGCTGATGAGCGGTTTGATGTACCATCAGCTTTGCGGAAACCTGCGCCGTGAAGAAGTTCATCACCGAAGTCCCTACTTGGCCAACGAGCTCGTTTCCAAGAACAAATGCGGTCTTGTCGTCGTATTCCGCCCCGGAGAAGTCCACTTTATCGAAGCCAGAGTCTCTTGTTCCAAGATGGACCTTGACCGAAGGGAAATACCCAACGAATGTTCTCTTGCTTTGTAGTAGCTTGAAGTCTTTCGAGGGGTATATGTTTCCGCAGTGCTGCTTTATGCGGTCCCACGTAAGAGGGCCGCCGGCGCCGTCACCTTCCAGATAGTGCCATTGCACACAGTTCTCGTCGTCCGCGTAGACTGAAGGTATCAATGCCGTGTTCTCTCCCTTCAAAATGATTCCCTGGCCGAAGTTAATCGGGTATAGAGCAAGACCAAGGAGGGTCATCACGTCGAAAGGTAGCTCTGCCCCGCGTTGAGATCCGCGCTCGGGTATCGGGAAGCCTTCTGCAAGCACGTAGCCTTTGAACATGTTATTCCAACAGCGACCGCTCCCACCTGTGCCCAACGGCGGTTCCAATGGCTCAGTGTGAAACTCGGTACGACGAATTGTTGGACTTGTCACATCCAGAACCCGCGAACAGAGTAGTTTATCCGGGACTGGCTTCCGACACACTGCACTAAGCCACTTGAAGATCTGGGCAATCTCGGAAACATCTTTTGGTTTACCCTGGACTTCAAGCTCGATCCTGAGCTGGTCTGTTGGAGCAGAATCCTTGAACAACGATGCGGACATGGAGAGGTCCCTTCCGAGGTCGTAGTTCTGCAACGTCTCTAAGCATCGCTGGCTGTGGGTATGCTGGAAGTCTTTCAGCGGTCTCAGAGCTAATACAAGAGACAGAAGGAGCGGTCGTCCAAATTCAGGCCAGGTTTTCTCTGCGTATTCTGCGCATGGAGCTACAAACGCTAGGTCTTCCGTACCAGTGACAACTATCACTTCCAGTACGTCTTTCACTTTCTGCAACTCCTCAGACACAAAATCTATGAATTTTGGTCCAAGAGAAAAGGTTTGCGTATGAGGAGAAGTTGCCTTTTCAGGTTCAACTAGCCTCTCAAAGGGGATGTCCATTTTAACATCCTCACCGCTCTTCCAATTGTAACCGCGTGATTGTGGATTGTCCGTTTTCTCGGGGTTGTTTGCCATTGCATTTGTCATGATCGGGTTGAGATTATGCATGAATGTGTCCTTTCTCAGCAGCTGGGAGCCTCGAGCAGTGTGCCTTTCCTTGTGCCGGGCGCATAAATCTTGTCTTATGAAGGACCGCTGGCAGTCGGGGAAGTCGCAGTAGTATAGCTGTTTTGGATTGTCTCCATCTTATTAGTTATTCCATTGCCGACGAAGGAGAGGCAAAGCTTACGATTCAACTGGTGGCGGTATAGGTGCTCGGCGCGAGAATAGCTCTTGCCGCAGCCTTCGTGCGGACATTCAAATTTCTTCTCCAAGCCTTTGCGAATACGTCTTTTTTTCAAAGAACCAGGCGACGCGTCACCGTCCTCAGCCTGGCTGTCTTGGTCGTCTACATGCTCGTCGTCGCGGGGGCGTCGCTTGCCACGGTTCTCGTCCGAGGTGGGACTCATTTGGGTGGAGGTTGAAAACGGGCCATAGTGATCGTTATCATCGCCGGAGGCTATCCTGGTGCCAAAGGAGCCATGACCAGTATAGCGCGCCTCCGATTGGAAAGAGTCGCGGGTAGACGGCATGTCCCTTGACCTCGCAAATCCCAAACTCAGATCAATATGGGTGTCAATCAGAACATGAGCATGGATAGATAAAGCAGGAACGAAGTCTAATGAAACGCTTTCAACGACTACGGGATAAGACTCCGACCGCAGTATTTTGTAGGCTGCGAGGCTGAGTATAGTTTCTGCCTTGCACAGCCGAACAGAAGTAAGCCCCGCAGGATAGGCGGGGCTCGGCTTGATCAGCGCCTATCACATCCGCCTACCCTTGTCCAGCTACATAAAGCCTTCCCGCATGTAGCTTTCGCTCTAACTCAAAACGACAAAATATAGATTAACTTGGCTCAGCCACAGTGAGGTGTAAAGAACCAGCCTTTCTGAGTTTGTCTCACTAGATAAGAGGACAACATTTTGGGAAGCGGGATTTACGTAGTAAGAGGCCTTGTACATAATTTTACTAAAGTCTTGTCAGTATATTGTGAGATACAAGACCCCGATTATGAGGTAATTATACCTTTTTCCAGTACATCCGAGTACTCAATGCCTTTTGAAGAACCTGTCATTCGTCTTCCACTCGTCCCAGTAGTCACATAGATGATTAACCCATCCGAAGCTTGTCATCCTGTAGCCACATTCGCACGAATGATCGCCATACCCCTTGAAAGAGAAGCTCGCGAATACTACCTTCGAGCAGCGAGGGCAACGAGCCCAGCCTTCATCGAAGCGCCCCGCCTCCGGGCCCTCCATCCGCTCAATCCATCTGTCCGCATTATGCTTGCTGACATCATCTACAATGAAATCCCAAGCGGCTCTGGTCAGGTAGTCAACAAACTCCGGTACAAGCTCGAATAACTCTTCCTTCACGTCCCCGTCGAAGCCTATCCAGAAGTAGCAATGGGCCAGGAAGTCTTTGTCTTGAAGGATTAGACACTCGTCCTCTGGAACCCAATCGTAGATGTGTCTGAGAGCGCGCGGAAAGGTCGACAGTTCGGGCAGGTAACACATGTTCATGAGCTTCTGGAAATACCTCAGCATCCGGCGCTGTAGCTGAGGGACGTCGTAGATGACTGCGACGACATAGACTTCCACGATGTGAAGGAGCGGGCCACAAGCGCTCTGTGGCAGTGCGTTGTCGTCCGCTTTTGGAAGGGTCAAGTTGTATTCGGCCGTGTAGAGGAATTCTACCAATGCCTTGATCGCGGCAGGTGGGTCTTAGAGCATCTCGACGGTACCGGTGGTACCTTCCTGCGAGATTTAGTATTAGCAGAGGCATAGTGAAAGGGTGTAGATTATATTCCTTGAGCGCGACCGAGAAGTCAGGAAGAGAAAATGAAAGTGAGAGGCGATGGTGACATGTTGTGTGATCATCTCAACTCACCTTGAACCTTCCCGGCTTGAGGGCAGTAGCGAAGAATTGGCACCGATTGCATAATAAAGTGCGATGGCAAGCCAGAGTCTCCTCATTGTTCAGGCGGATTGTCATATCGGAATTCTTTCCCGATTTGAGTAATCTTTTAATGGTGTCAGTGGCGTGCCCGCACGACAAAAGAGAAACACCGAGCGCAGAAAGCCATACGTTTTCAACTCGTGTCTCAATGACTTGAAGTTCTCTTGATCCTCATCAGACATAGCGGTCTCGATTTCTGGAAGGTCCGGCATGACAAAGGTCTTTGTAGTGTAGCAAGTTGACGAGGTGCTTGTATGGACAGGTACCCAAGTGGCTGAATCACGGGTGAGTGTGCGGGTGACGAGGGTAAGTGTTGAGTCTACGGCGAAGGTGAGCCGGGAAGGCTTAAGGTTTGCCCGGCTGGGAGTGAATGCTATGTCTTGGCACTGACAGTAGGTGACGTATTCGGCCGTAGAATGTTCCATCAGCTTGCTCACTTTCATCCTGTCAGTCCGGAATCATGGCAAAGGCGCCGAACAAGCGAACCTTCCGCGCTGCAACAAGTTGTCACCTGGGCTTTTACAAGGGAAAATAGAATCAGAATGGTCCTTCACTAAGAAATAATCTGGCGCGTAGAGCAAAGGCACTGTTTTCATGTCCAAAATGAACGTTTTGTCTGAGATGTTGCTTGTGATAGAACATATTCTTCCGAAACGCTTTCCACCTCCTCGGCTAAATTTTGCCACGGTCCAAATTCATCATTTTAAATTTTTCTTGTAGTGTAGTATCTTGTGCGAAGGGCATGAGAAAATTTTTCTACTATCCGCGGTGCTTCTTCAAAGCCCAAATCCGGACCACTACAATCCCACCCCTTGGAGGTCCCCAATCAACTAACCGCCACACATAGATGCTTATAGATGCATGATATAATGATCCAGTCCATCAAAGACCCTCACCAGCAGGTAGAACCATCATATGCTCCATCTTCGGTTTGATCAGGAAGAAGTTCTCGACCTCCATCGTCTGGCCCGGAACCAATCTCGCACCCCGAAACCTGTAAAAGAACATAGAAATGGCTATGCGCAGCTCCATCATGGCGAGGTGGATTCCCAGACAGGCGCGTGACCCCGCTCCGAAAGGCGAAAAGGCCATCTTGGCGGCTTCGGGTGAGGGGTCGTTGAGCCAACGATCTGGGTTGAATCTGTTACGCGGAAGTGAGTAACATGCATATAATGGCGGAAGACAGGTCCTTACTTTTCCGGTTCCGGCCAGAACTTCTCGTCTCTGTGAAGCGTCCAACTCTGCGTGCTCACCGTGTAGCCCTCAGGGATGTAATGCCCAGCAAGCTCAGCTCCACCTTTCGGCACGGCCCGAGGCAAGCTACCGGAAGAGGCACCCCAGATCCGCAGTGTCTCGTTGATCACAGCGCTCAGCATCGGCAGCGTCTCCAGGTTCGCATCGGTGAAGTCGCCGTTCAGCGTCGCCACTTCTGCCTCCAGCTTCGTCTGAACGTCGGGGTGGTTCAGAACAGACCATGTGATATACGAGAGGGAGAATGCCGTAGTGTCGGATCCCGCAAGTATCAGGTTTCCCGCTTCGGTGGAGATGTCGAGCTCTGTGAGCGGGAAGTCCGTTGCAGAGGTATCGGTTGCCTGGAGCCGCGCAAAGATGTTGCCGGCTTCGCTGTCCTCGGACTTGCACATGGCCACGGCACGCTTGCCGTAGTCGATCAGATAGTTGTGGCCGTGGAAAAGCGCGCGGAAGGTGGGGTGCGGGATGTGGCGGCCGATGAAGTCGAGGAGAGGAAGCTCCACCGCCATGCCCCGGCCCTTGGCTGTTGACTCGAGGACGCGGATGTAGTCGTTTTTCTTCGAAATGATGGTCAGCATATGCAAAGTAGTGTTGGTGAGATATAACCAACCTCGCCGAGATCGAGCATGCGGAAGGATTCGCCAAACATCAAGTGTCCGACGACGTCCGTAGCCAAAAACGCCCACCATTTCAACACGTCAACCTGGCCTGCGCTTCCCATCTCGCCTGCAATTCTCTCCATCGCTAGCTTGGTCTTGGATTGAATCATGCCTTCCCACCTGGCTCGGAGCTCGGTTTTGGTAAAGGCACGGGCCAGCAGCCTTCTCCTGGCAGCATGCTGCTTGGCGTCGGACATCTCGAAAATCCCAGGGACCTCGTGGTCGACAAAGCGCGAGTACCATTCGCTTTTGAGGAACCCGGAGCCGGCACGATGGATGGTGCGGCAGGCGGTGGGATCAGAGATGCTCACTTCTTCGGGCGAGATGCGGACGACTGGTCCATACTTCTGGTGCAGATCATGGATGAACAGGGTGCGCTTTCCGGATAGCAGAGCGAGTTTGAGAGGCAAGTTGGTGTATCGGGACCAGATTGGACCGGGTATATTGGAAAGAGGTGAGAGAAGGCCGCGGGATAATATCTGAATGTTGTCACTTGTTAGCCTTAGGTTAAAGAGGGAAGGGTATAACGATGCTGACCTGCAAAACCCACGTCACCGGTACGAGAAAGAGTAAAACTCCAATAATCTCAACAGACGAAGCCATGGCTCTAGACAATGAGCAGAGAGTTGGAAGTGTAATGCGGTTTAACTTCTCTGCAAGATCCTTACCTCTTTTATAGCCACATAGCCGCGCAATCAGGCCGCACTTGTATAAGGCCGAACTGCGCAATGTCCATTGGCACAGGTATGTTATTGGTCGTACTCGGGTTCGAGTTCTTAGTCATGCGATGATCGTCGCTCGACAGGGGCGGGGGAGACCAACACGATAAGCAGCACGCGCCGCACCTATTTTCCGCGACGTTTCCTCCGTTTCCTTTCTCTCTGAAACCTACCGACGATATATCAACGGCCATGGAATTGGAGACTGGTATCTGGCTCGTTCACAGACTCGACGCTCAGGAGTGCGGTTACTTGGATCTTTTTTCTCAGCAATTTTTCCACTGAGCATTATTTATCGATATAAAGTTTGGTGTTGCATCCGAGCCGAACACAACTGCATCCACACTACAAACACCAAAGTCTTTATCAACCACCACAAATAACTATAAGATATTTCTTCATGTACAGCCCGCTCAGAGGGACCTTGTGCAATTTGCACGCCACTTCGAAGCGTTACAGGCAACAGCAACATATATAAACCTTAAATTCTCGACACGTGCGAATGAAACATGGCAGCCTGCGAGAACGGAACCCAGTTGCAAGTCGCCCGGGACACACAAAGTCATGGATTTGCATGCCATTACCAGTCCAAGGCGCCGACGCAGCTGAAGGTTGAATCATGGAGAGTCCCTGAAGCCGCAGGCCAGTATGTACAGCTGACTTCGGGAAACACTCTGCACTGTGTAGGCAACCGCATAATGGAGATTGCTGCAAACTAAGACAAGGAACCCTGGCATCCTCACATTAATGGTTGCCTATGCCAAGATGCACCACGTACTTATCCCCGAGATACTTTCTCGGCCCTCGGCTTTAGTGCCAACTGACACCGCAGGGAGCACCCATCTCATTCGCGGAATGTGACCAGAAAGCCTGCACCTACCTATCGGCAGAGACGGGATGCAGATGATTGTCGAGCCGTCGTTTTTCCAGTCCGTGCCGCGATGACGGGGACCCCGTGTGCGTTAGCGCGAGGTTCTGCGTGCCGCCGCTCACGCCGCCTGAGAGGCTGGAATGATGACGACGCGGTGGCTGAAGTCGAGCCAAGGGGTGCGGGGCACGGCACGGCCCGGCGGTCAAAGAGTGGGGCTTTGCTTTGGAAGAGAGGAGGATAGTTTGGTTTGCCTCCTCGGGCATGCAACACGTGGTGAATTTGCTGGGGATGAAGTGCGTGGTGAACCATTTGGAAAAGCTCACTCCTTGTGCTTGTTTCGCTTGGTTGAGATTGGATTGCTCTTGTTGGAGGATCTAAGTACTGATCGATGAAGTGATTATCTAGAGGCTGCTGCGACTACTTATTCGCAGCCGATTGAAGAAGGACACCATAACCATCTGAAGTCTCGACATCCTCCGTGTTTCGGCTCCGACTATCTGATGTGAAAATGCTCGGATATTTCCAGTTGAAGCAAATCATGACCAACAGCATCAACGCTGCGTCGAAAACGTACAGGTAAATCTCCTTCGACAGCAGCTCTCCGTCTTGACCTTGGAGATATTCGATGAGACGAAAGACGGATCGGATGAGAATAAGCCCGCTTGAGACATATAGCATGATAATGTGAGGTCTCCATGGGATTATTAGCGAACTCTCTGTTGGGTCTGCGCGTAGTCGGTAGTCGTATAGAATGGAAGTGATGATAAAAAGGCCGAAGAAGACAAGTTGAATCACCAATCCGATCGTGATGAAGAGTTCTCCGCGGTCGACAGAAGACTTTGACTCGGCATTCGCAAGTACGACGCCACCTGTGGGAGAGGTTTGTTAGAGAAGCCCTTCATGAGCGCACTTTCTAAGCTTACCAATCACCTGGACGAGAAAAGACAGGATGTCTCCGAGAACGAATATCTTGGTCAACCAAGTTACTCTGATGAGTGACAGTTCCTCTCCCCCGGTCTTTCGAATGATCCGACCGAGGACCATATAGATCGATGCGGCAAATAAGGCTGGAGCCACTAGAGGAAGAAGAATGTTCAAAATGTACGGGACCAAGGTGCAGTCCGGGTATTCATGGGCCCCAATGGAACGTCCAACATATCCAATGACCTCGACTGGAATTTTCATCAGCTATGTAATAGGCGATGCCTTGACGAGTCGGACTTACAGATTCCGCCAACCATGAATGGAACAAAGTACCATGTACGGTGCCGTATAAGTTGGAAAAGGTGAAACGCAGTCGTACAGGTGAATAGTACAGTCAAAGTGATTGCAGCCGCCAAGCTTGGCCGATAATTTGAGTAGTACTGTGCCTCGGGAAGAGCCATTTTGAAAAGGAGAATGAGGCAAGGTGAAAGTGGTTGACGTTTTTGCCGCTGCTGAGGCTCTACAAAGATGGCGAAGGCATTAAATATACACCCGGCCACGGTGACGCGCATTTAGAAACCCGGTCGTACAGCTACACACGTCTTGCTGCGCCCCAAAATCCTGAACGCCACTTTCATTTGTTGTTATCGCTAGCAAAATAGTTCTTCAGACCATTCGCTTGTCTTTGCAGAAGGGCATGGGGGTGCACGCGCCTCTTATCGCCCCGTTACCGTGTTCGGGTCCGCGTTCGTAGAAAGAGGATCTTCCTATTGGCCCTCTTCCGAGTTCACGACGGCCCGCCCGGATCATATTTTTACAACAGATGTTAATGTGAGTAGCGCTTGTGTAGCATGGGTGGCAGTGCATGGGACTAACCGTACAAAAATACGTCGGACTGGTTCTCTGCTCCGGATCCGTATTGTGAGACAATATGCTCCGGGTACATGATCTAAGTCCACACACACACACACACTACATATATATATGTTATTTCCGTACCATCGAAACTGAGGCTAATGTGAACCACGGGCCGCCTTGTGGGGAAAGAAAGGGGTTGGAGCGGCGGGTTCCATCGGTTCGTCCCTTCGGCTCCATAGTTGGTCCCAGCAAAAAATTAAACAGTCAGAGGAAAAAATAAACAGTCAGAGGAAGCAATAACACAAAAAGAAAGCTGAGCCGATCAGGAATCGAACCTGAATCTAATGCTAACGAGTGTCTACTAGCTTACAATGAATGTTTGGCTAAGTGATCGTAGAAGCATTAATGCTAGCCATTACACCATCGGCTCTTATTGATGAATTGTGAAGTGACAGTTTACTATTATATTACCCAAAGTCAGACACACAAGGGTGAGGAGCAATAGCGCTCGCAGTGGCGCGCCCAGCTCTTGCGTCGCATGGTGCGGTGGGGGTGGCGAGCAGCGGCCTCGTCACACATATTTAACCGCATCCATGCTTTCAAGGGGTTTCATTCTTCCTCGTTTCGCAGGCCTCGACTCGATCATTTCTGTAGGATTCCATTTATTCTGTGGCCTCAGATCAAATTCGAAAGCATCGGATAACTTGATTGCCCCACATGTTCCCCCTCTCTTTCGCATTTGGACTTGTGCCAGTCTCGAATGGCTCCAAATCAGAACAAAATGTGAGCAAACTGGAAGTGCAATTCCTTTACGTTTCCGACTCCCACGAAGCAGTTTCTATGATGCTGACGTCCAACTGTAGCGTGTCGAAGAAAACCGGTCTTGCCACGAGTGTCGACAACATGCAGTTAGAGACAGCCAGAGCTCAGACGCGGCCGCAGTTCGTCAATCCGCGAACATACACGTGCAAAGGGGAAATTTTTCGGATTATTCCGAGTCCAAGATCGGTGATGATCTTCCAGATCCAACGCTTCTCCGGAGCCAATCGGAATCGGCTCAGAAGTAGAAGGTCCACGTTTGCCATGATCAAAAGAGAATACGGACCCGAATCCGATTTGGTCACTGCAATTGGTCTATGAGAAGGGGCTTTTGTGATATCATTAAGGCACACCACGCGCGTATAAGTACGACAGTCCCTTCCGCTCAGTACGAATCAATCTTTTATATCTCACTCAACTACTTAATACAATGATGATGCTTCATCTCGTGGGGGCTTTGGCCCTGGCGTGTTTTGCTACCGGCTTTGTTTTTCAACCCGACCACCACTCAACATATCTCAATGTATGAGTCAAGCAGCCCACCTGTGGAGTCCAACGCTAAATTTTTCCACAGTCTCGAGTACCTGCACGGTTTGACCTTTCAAAAGATCAAGCAGATGGCTCCTACTGGTCAAGCACCTTTCTTACGACGACTACGGGAAAGCAGTATCTCGCTGTCTCGCACGTCCTTGGCTCGCTCGGCAAATCCTCAATCTTGGAGCTGGATACCCTGCGATACTGGAACGACCTTGCCTACTCTGAGTCTTCGGACTCGAATACGACGCCCAATTCATCTGCCTTTAGCATCCGTGCTGGAGACTACGGGTTTGGTTCGGAATCAGCGGACGGAATATCCACGATGTACACATTCGGCTCCTCCGCGAACTATTCGTACAACTTCGGCCTCGAAGCCAGCTCAAAGGTGCTTCTGAACGGTGGCGGCGGCGCCATCACGTTCGGATCCGGCTACGCCAACTCCACGGAATGGGCCATCCCGGCGTGCAAAACCGGCGGCACGCTCACGTTGGAAGACGAAATCCTCCAAATCGACCCCGCAAAGTCCCTCACATGGTACGACCATCAGAAAGGCTTCGGTGCTCCGCGGAACTGGACTTGGTTCGAGCTCCACTTTCCTGATTCCTCGATCAAAGCCAGCATCTGGGCATACGACCTCCTTGCCTCTCCTTCCGCCGAGGCTCGGTTCGCAACGGTCCGAGTCGGACAAGATTCTCACTCCCTTCTTGCGTACGAGCTGACGCCGGATATGGGTGACGTCTGGAAGTCTCCCAATTCAAACATCACGTACCCTCTCAAGTGGAAGCTGGATTTTGAGAACGGCGATTATCTGTGGGTCAAGTCTATCCGCCCTGATCAAGAGATATACGGTTCGCGGCAGATTGGTGACACAGTGTATGCCGGGTTTGCCACCGTGTCAGGACGTTTTTTGGGGCAGAAGAGGGGCTTTGGCGTGGTGGAGATGATAACATTGTATTGATTGCGTTCAGTGATGGAAGGAGCCGAATATCGCGTTGGACTCCACATTATTAATTGTATGCTTTACAGTGCGCGAAAAAAGGCACACCCATCCATGTAGACTTAAATAACCAACTTCATTCACTCGTTTTAATCTAGTGTGCTTCAACAGGTCTTATATTTCACGCCTTTTTCAGGGATAGTTCACCTCCACGTGTTAATGGTTATTTCTACCTGCCGTTGCTACTTACCAATCTATTTGCTTGTTCAGCTGCCAAATTGACCATCTACGTATCACCTTGTTAAAGCACAACTCGTAAGGGAGAAGTATAACTTCATTATTTTTCAACAATACAGCAGTGACTTAGACTACCCATTGTTCAGGACGGCAACCGAGTAAATGCAATGTCAAGCAGCCCAAATGTACATTACTTAATGCGAAAGGTGATTACTCCTTCTATTTCTTATCTATAACCATTAGAGATAGAATTTAGTGTAGTACAATATATAGAACATCCATGATTTTGGAATTGGAAAACATCTCGTTTCTCGCAGGTTATTAAAGATTAGTACATGTCCAATCCGCCAAAAGAGAAAGCTACTTTTCCGTACATATATGCCTTCAAGCAACTCTCCATTCCACTCAAGGCCTAGTACAACGTTTCGTACACATACCCCAAGGTAGGGCGACGGATATCCATCAGGTCCCTGATAGACCGTGTTATGTTCCAAGTCGTGCCCACGTGTACCGTATCGTCGAGCGTCACATTGCGCCCCTTCTCATTCGCCCAGTCATTCGCAATCAGCGGCCCAGAAATATCCTTCAGCCTCGCAGGCAGATCCCTCGTCTGCCACGACCACCAAAGCCGATCCATATTGGCGTGATGGAGAAAAAACAGCGGATCGCCAGCTAAATAACTCAAATCAGCACCGATCACCCCCCATCGCACGAAAATAAAGTGAGAGACATCAAAACTTACGACTCGCCCACGCATCCGTCAGCACCCCATACAACCCGCCCACCCCCAGATGCCCCGCATTATGCACCGTCACCTCCGTCCCCTGACTAAACGCCCCAAAATCCTTATACCCCCCATCCACCGCCTCCCGCACCGCCTCCGAATTCGCAGCTTGCACGAACTGCGACGGCACGAAATCCCTCCTCACACACCACGCGTTGTACGCCGTACTCGGCCCGGGCCCCATATGGATCGTCAGATTCGCAAAGGGGCCATCAGGAATACACCCGCCGCCGCTGCGGTCGGGCAGCTCGAACGTGATGCCGCCGCCCGTAACCGGGATGCCTGGCTCCGGCGCGCCGGTGTTGCCCGGGATGTACGCGCCGTTGCCGCCGAAGCCGGTGTGCGGGTCGAAGAGCGGGGAGGCGGCGAGGGAGGAGGCAGGGGAGGAGGTGTTGGCGTCGAGGGACCAGTCCCAGTACGGCTGGCCGCCGCCGGTGAAGCCGCAGGCGAGGATGGCGCGTTCGTAGGTCCAGACGAGGAGGCGGTGGTAGGGGTAGAAGGAGCCCTGTGGTGTGGGTTAACGGCTGTGGTAGCGGGGTGGAGGGGAGGGGGAAAGGGCAGGGGGGGGGGAGGTCGGGGCTTACGACGAAGTGGGTGAAGTTTGTTTGTTGGATGTGGTCGCCTAGGAAGTCTTCGAAGTGGTTTTGGACGCCGGGGAGGCTCGTATTGGAGGTAAGGGGAGGCTTGCGCATCATGCAGTGGACTGCGCTGATGTAGGATGCTTTTTCGTCTCGGGTTAGGGATCGCCTGGTGTTTTTGTGAGCGTGGGATGACTGCGGTGCGAATGCCGTTTACCATTCTTTTCGGACAAGTGGTTTAGGGAGCACGGCGGCGTTCACTAGCCATGGTAAGACTAGGAGTGAGAAGTATAGTGCGATTTGATAAGGGAGCCTCATTGTGTCAGTTGGAGAAAGGAAAAGCTGATGTGCGACTCGATGCTGTCATGTATGATTCAAGATGAATCTGGGAGAGACGTTACCTTGGTATAAATTCTGCTTCGAAATGAGTTCTCCTTTGACATCCTCTGTATACCGAACATCCTCAAGTCCTAAGTGTGGGTATGTGCTTGTGGGGATGGTACAAAGTGGCGTCGCAATAGCGCGCTCGCACTACACGCTAGTCCGCATCGCGTATACACACAGCCTCATATCCGGCGGTTTACGGTAACAAGCGACGATGCACGAGCCACAGAGGCTGTTTGAGGATTCCGACGCGGATTCGTATAGATGCGCGCTGCTGATTCGCTCATTCCCGAAGCTCAGGCCTCGTGTCCGGATCACTTATAAGTTGCCTGCCGGAAACCTTCTTCGTACTCCTTACTATGTTAGGTGCTATTTCGAATCTTTGACGATGCAAATACGTGCTATCCGAGGAACTCGAACCGGACACAAAAAGTCCCGGAACGGGTGTGTTCGGTGCAAGCAACGGCACGTGAAGGTATCTGCATCATCCTGATCAACACTTCTCTTCTCTTTGCTGACGTTTGATTGTGCTCAGTGCGACGAGAGACGTCCCTGTGGAGACTGCCTGCGTCATGGTGAAGAATGCAGCCTGGGAACAGGCCCGGTGTCGACTACGCCGCACATTCTTCCGGCCAACTCTTCAGCCGCCCCCTCGGCTGCTACCACTTCACCGCATCCACTCACACCACTCTCTAACAACACGTCATCCCCCTCCTCCAGAGCCGCTGTCTTTCCGTCTCCGGAAAGCTCTGACGAACCCTTTTCGGACCATGTTCGGGGCAGGGATAGTGAGCAGCAACAAATCAGGTCGCGAGGCCACTGGAGTACGGACTTCCGCCTCATTCACCACTATGATACACACGTGTGGAGCACTTTTGTTCTAGACGACACACACGAAGACTGTTGGAGATATGTCATACCCGAGCTAGCCTTTTCTCACGTCGGTGCCCCACGAAAAGCCAGCTGCTTCAACCTTGCTAACCAAAAACCAGGACTTCCTCATGCACGGACTCCTCGCCATATCAGCCCTCCACTACGGCCACGTCCACCCAGAGAAGCACGACGAATACGAGCTAATCTCGAACCGCCACCAAGAAGCCGCCTCTTCACTATTCTCCTCCCAACTCCACAACCTAAACGAACACAACTGCAACGCCTTCGTCGTCCTCGCCACCCTGCTCTTCCGCATCCAAACCTTCGTCATCGCCGACTCCCACGCGCGTGGCCGCCACATCACCACGCAGCAAATCGCCCAATCCTTCATGCTCTCCCAAGGCACGAAATCCATCTTCTCCATCCCCCCCGTCTGGACCTGGGTCCGCCGCGGGCCCCTCGCCGCCGTCCTCGACCTGCCCCACACCGAACCCGCCAACACCTCTCCCCCCGGCGCCTTCGCCACGCAACTCGACCGCCTGCTCGACCTGGCGCGCAGCATCCTCGGGTCGCCCGACGCGCTCGAGCTGCGGTCCGCCTGCATCCTGGCCGTCGAATCGCTCCGCCTCACCTACGCCTTCCTGTGTGGGTCGCCGACGCCGCGGTCGGACTGCGTGTGGCTGTGGCCGGTGACGGCGCCGCCGCGGTTCCTGCAGGCCGTCGGCGAGGGGCAGCCGGTTGCGTTGGTGGTGCTGGCGCATTATGCGGTTTTGACGAGGCATTGTGAGGATTCTTGGGTGTTGGAGGGGTGGAGCGAGGCGGTTGTGGGGGCGGTGGAGGGGGCGTTGGAAGGGAAAGGGTGGGAGGGGTGGGTGGGGTGGGCGGGGAGGTGTGTGAGGGAGGGGGTTGATGTGCTTGGGGCGTGAAGGGGGAAGGTTGGGAGGTGGTGGGGCACTGCGAAGGGCTGGCGGGGACTTGGATGACTGTTGGAATCTGTTCATTTGAATTGATTGAGCTAATGAGAAGTGGAGGGCTTTTTAAAGACTCGAGAAGCTCATCTTAGAGCTTGTTTATTCACCCAATTTACCCAATTCCCGTATCTGTGTTGTAGGCTAGAGTTTCTGCAGGAAACACAAACCACCTCGTACCGTTTTCCCGACAGGGTTGTAACTCCATTCTTTCGCGGGTTAATATCAGCATTGAGTCTTCCAATGCTTAGCCATCCACAGTGTCTTCACCTCCATCACCGTCACTCTTGGTATCTCCCTCAGAGCCGCTGTTACTCTCGGTATCTTCCTCGCAGTCGATGATGACTTCGCCCTCCGCAAACCATTCCGCTCTTTTGAACCAATGAGAACAGTTGTCGCATTGTTGCGGAGCATTTTTTTTCTTTGGGAGATAGAAGTATTCCTCGATATTTTCGCACCTTCGTGGACACTCCGTGCTGCGCACCTGAATGTATCCTCCAAGATCTCCGTAGAGTTTCAGGTACCGCGCTGAACTGTTGTTATTGCGGGTCTTCCAAAGTTTCCACGCCTTTTTCTCAACATCATATGCGAAGTCCGGACATTCCACGAGCATGTCCTCCATATTGAAAAAGTACTCCAAGTCATAGTGCTCCTTAACGACGGTCTCAACGAGCTCGTCATAGAACTTGTGTGTCTCGTAGAGTTTGCCGAATTTGAGCTTGCATTCCCCGAGAGCGTTCGCAAGATCCAGAAGTGCTCCCGGCCCTTGCGAATACCAGTCCCACACGTGATCTTTAGCGACATTCGCCAGCCCCTCGACCAGGTAAGTGGCAGCGATGGTGTACACGCCCATGTGGAAGAGAACCAGATCTTGGTCTATGAGGCCATTGTCAGGATAGTCCGCCGTGTATAGGTAGCTGACCAGGGCCCTGACAGCCTCCGGGGGATCGTCGAACATCTCTATAACGCCACTGTGGGTTTCCTATGCGCATGTCAGAGAAGAACTTTGACGTTGCTCGCTCGCGAAGCGGGTCGCGCGAGAATAGAAAAGCTTGATTCGTTTGTGGCCCACTGTGCGGTGCTCATTGAACGAAACATACCTTGAATCCAGACTGTAGAGCGTTCTTGAAGAAGTCGCATCGTTCGCACACAATTGCTCGATGGCAGGCGATCTCAGTCTCGTCAGAAAGGCGGATCTTCATATCGCTGTAAGCACCTGAGTGCAAGATCCTGTTTCACATGTCAGCGAAGTGTCATGGAGGATTCAAACAAGCAGTCGGACGCATATGATGAGTGGAGGTGACAATGGTGACGCCCTCACGACGCCTTCGGCTCCTTATGACTGGCGTTGAAGTTGTTGAAAAGCCAATAAAACCGACCCCCAAAGCTGTGGCACTTACTTTCCGTGCGCATCTTTTAATGCGGTGTCCTCCCGCTCACGAAGCTTCGAGGGCTCCATGATGCCAATGACTGGGCTGAAGATGAGGTGAGGTGAAGAGTCAGGTCAAGGGTGACGCGAGCTGCGAACAAAATAAGTAGTCGGGTTGACATATCGCCGAGATAGCAGCTGCGCCCGCAGGTGCACGCGGGCACGTGAATGTCGGAGACGTTGTTACCCACATTTGTGGAAGCACGGGCTTTGTGTACCCTCCGTTTAGGGCGCCGTTCCTTCTAGAAACTGTGTCTACGCTCGCCCAGCTTCTCCCCGAGATCATAACACGCCATATACACCCTCGACTTCACCGAGGCTGCAGCCAAAAATCTGGATAGCTAGTATTGCGGCGAGCGACCGCAAAAGGCTCTATGCAGCACACTCAGGACAGTCTTCGCTGCCCCGCTTTCAAGACAAGGTTGCAGCGGCGTTCAGGCGGAGCGCCGGATGCCTAACTCTTCTGATTCTAATATTGTAAAGCTACATGCCTGCCTTAATACCGCAGAACTGCCGATGAATATTACCCTCTCTCCCTTTTCATCTGTGAAACCAACAAATTCTAGCATATCCGTTACTGCTAAGGTGTCCCGTGATCCAGGTCAGAGTGTGTTCAGACTAATTCGTTGAAGCAAAAGGCTTCCGTGTGAGCAAACTTCTCGCCTCAGTCTCCCACTCGACAACCCATAGTCCGTATCACCGCGTCCGCCGATTCTTGAGTTTCTTTCGTGTATTGAACGGCCACCAGTGACCCATCTTCCGAAATCTACTGATTGGCTTCGTCTGCAGGCTCCTGGACGAACTCCATCCACTTCTCATACTCATACCGGCGGTCGCATCCGTTGCAGCTCAGTGCCATGGGGTTTGACGTGAAGTGGGCTGTGCCGATGAATCTGTGCTGAATGAGTCTGCATTCACCGTTTGGACATTTGAAAGTGTACTTGAGTGCTCCTGAAGAGCCGGGTCCATTGAAGCGCTCAATCCACTCCGCAGACTCCTCGTTGCCGAACTCAAACCACCATTCAGCGTACTCTTCCATGAGATATTCCATGAGGTCTGGGGCCTTTTCTTCCAGTGCGTCTCCCGTATCTTTCTCCATGAGCAAGCGTCTGTGGCTTTCCGCCCAGTCCATGAACGACTCATATAGCTTATATGATTGGACCTCTGGTGACTTCCATTCTCTCACCCATCCACAATCCCAGCTGATATTGTGTTGCTCGAAAGCGCCCGCAATATCTGGGAAAGCCTCAGCGGCCGCTTCCGGGGTTTTCACGAAGTGAGCTGTTATGTATTGCGCAGCCAGCTCTTCCAGCCCAGGGATCGCGTAGGTCTTAGCCATTTTGAGTATGTCCAGATGGAAAAGAATCAGTGCAGGAACGTCTTGACCCCAATCAATGCGGTACTCAGCAGCATAGATGAAGTCGATCAGAGCCTGAACAGCTTCTGGAGGATCGTGCAACATCTTGACAAGTCCTTTCTTGTGTGCCTGGGAAAGTAGAATACGATGTTAGAAACATACTTACAACCCTAGGGTGACGGGCTGAGCGTGAATGTATTTCTTTCAGTAAAACATACCTCAGAACCGGGCTTCAGCTGATCCCGGAAGAAGTCGCATCGCATGCACATAATGATGCGATGGCATGACACTTCAGTTCCATCTCTGAGGAGTACTTGCATGTCGGAGTGCTCCCTTGTATCTCGAATGCTGTTCCTCACGTCAGCCAACCCTCGTGGATCATTACATGGTGGATGCCAAAGGATTTGAGTGTGGCAATCATGATCCGCTTGGACAAGCATCTAGGCTATTGTCATAGATACCTACATTTTGAGAGCTGCCTCCAGTGCATCTGTAGCCTTGTCGAAGGCTTCCTGATCAGGCATGATGTTGTGTCTCCAGGACTTGCTGGCAGTCCATATACTCAAGGTGAGGTCGGGACTGTTCGTGGCTCGCAAGGCGCTAGTGATGAGATGGGTGAGCGGTCGGACGCGGCAGCGGATGGGCAGCAGCGCGGACGCGAGCGTGCAGGTCTTCGGAGCAAGCCGCAGCTTGGTCAGGAAGCGCCTGACGCAAGCTAAGTCGTGTCCGAGCTTGATGGATGAAAGACTTGGTGACGGCACGCAGGAAGGCCGCACAGAGCGGAGTTGGGTTTGAGGTCGAAGGTGAGATGGCGGAGTTTTAGACGAGACATTGTTGCTGGCAGCCGAGAGCGAACCAAGCTAAGCCCGAATTGGACAGGCCATGACGGTGGTGAGTGAACAGCGGGAAGGTCCCGTCGGTTTCATGAGCTCCCGGTTGCTATGCAACACGTGACCTGGTAACACACCATCATGCACGCTCGTCATATATAGCAAGACGGAAGACACGGCGAATGATAGGAAGAATACCAAGCAAATATGCTTGACGTAGAGCTCTCCATGTCTACGAGCAGAGCCGTTATGGCAATACGCTCAACAGTTAGCATGGATCCCCAGTTAACACAGAGGCCTTCCGAGCTGAGCTCTTGTTCAAAAACACCACCATGGCGCGGGCTTGAGCACCCTCGAGTGTTAGTCTCCTCTGTTAGCAAACAATTACGTTCTTACATTCACGTCCTTTCTCTACATACTTAATCCATGCTTTGGAAATGCCTCCCCTCTCCTCTCCTCACCCGCAACACCACTTTAGTTCCGCTCTTTTGCACCCATCTCAGAAATGTCGGCGCTAACGCCCATGCTCCCCTTCTGGGGCAGCCTTCCCGAGACCGGCTGCGGCGGTGGCCCCTTCGAGCATCCGCTGCTCTATGGAGAAGAGTAAGTAACAGGCCAACCCCCCCAATCTTTTCCAGAAACCCCTTTGCTAACTTCCCTCCAGTCTATGGGAGACCGAGGCTTACAGCGACTTCAAAGTCCGCCTCAGCACCGGCCAAGAGATCGGCTGCCACCGCAGCGTCGTCTGCGCCCAGTGCCCTTTCTTCCGCCAGGCGCTGATCCCCGGCCGCTTCAAGGTACGTCGTAACCCCCCTCCCCCCTCCACCCAACCAGCTAACGCCATCTCCCAGGAGGGCTACACCCAAATCGTCTCCATGCCGCACGACCCGCCCCACGCCGTCAAAGCCCTCCTCGAATACATGTACCGAGGCGGCTACTCCGTCAACGAGACCACCCTCGACGCTCCCCACATCCTCCTCCAACACCTCGACGTCCTCACCATCGCATCCATCTACGACGTCCCCAAACTCGGCGAGCTCGCGCAGCTCTGGCTCGCGCGCACCATCAAGCACCACTTCCTCACCAGCGCCCTGCCCGTCCTCCCGGAGCTGCTGCTGTCGACGACGACCGTCCTGCCGCCGATGAAGAAGGACGCGGCGGCGCGCCGCTTCGCGTACACGCTGCGCTGGCACCTGGGCGCGCACATGCGCGTGCTGGTGGCCGACGACGACGTGTGGACGGGGATGTGGCGGCACGCGCGCGACTTCATGCGGGGACGCACGTGCTTCATGGTGTGCTGCTGGCGCGAGCGGCGCGGCGACCTGGAGTTGGCCGAGGCGTGGTTGACGCGGTTTCTGGGCGCGGAGACGGCGGCCAAGGCGTTGCGCGTTGTGAAGTGCCCGAAGGAGAGGTGTGGGGTGGAGAATGGGCTGGTGTTTACGGAGAGGTTGCCCGGGAAGAATCGCTGCTACCGGTGTGGGTGGACGAGCGAGTTGGTTGGTGGCTGGATTCTGGAGGAGGATAGGGGCGTGTTGAGCCCCGAGATGGCGGCCTGGCTCCAGGGCCCGGAGTTTTGAAAAAACGAAAAACGGATGTTCGGGGGGGGGAGCGGGTACTACTACTACTTACTTACGGTTGAAGGCTTTGTTGGATGGCCTGTTACTTAGCGAGCTCTGATGTAGCATCTCGGATTCATACGATAGGGTTGGTTGTGCTTACTTTGAACCTCCCGGGATCGAGTGCATTATCGAAGAAGGCGGCTTCGCTGCACACCATATTGCGATGGCACTTCAGCTGCGTGCCGTCGCTGAGTCGAATCGTCATGTCGCTGAACCGCCCTGTTGTGCATAGGCTTTTCATGTAATGTCAGCGTGAACCCACCGACCTGTGTGTTACATGGTTACATACTCTCGCATGAGTCTTTCGTGTTCGACCTACTTTGGTTGGTAAAACTTTCGCTCGTGCTCGTTCATGACTTCGGTGATGCCGTGCGGGCTCTGATCATGATAACCTGGCTAAGAATGCGATGGTAGCACGGTGTTTCAGCGAAGCGGCTGGGGCGAGGCGCTCGAGGCCATGGCGAGGTCGAAGGAAAATGAAGGCAGGGGGTTGGAAGGACCGGCTTGGGTGGTCGGCCTTTCCATAAGGAAAGACCGTCTGACCGCACCACTCTCAGCGTCATTTGCGCTGATTCCCTGAACTTTCCCAGCCAGGCAAATGCGCAGCATAGCTGCAGCTACCTTATTTGTCCTGCGACACCTGGTATGCAACACTGCGCCCCGGCGCTGGAGTTCCTCACGGTGGCCTCACCGCAGCTTCGCTGGTGGTAATTCATCGAATTGGATCGCAATGCACCACTCATCAGATCAAAAAGGCAAACCGGCCCAGGCGAAATCTCATATCTAAATTTCAGACACGAAAATGTTGGGGAGTCTAGAGACCTTTGTCATTTGCTATTCTATCTCTAAGTAGCCCTTTCGCACCCCACACTCTGATGACATGACCTCAAGTTTCCCAGCAATTAGCCGCGGCTATTTTTCTTCTTCGTCGCCTTCCTCTTTACCTTATTCTCCTTCTGCTGCTTCTTTGCCTTTCTTTTCTTCTTGTTCTTCCTCTGATTGTCCTTGGTGACATCAAAGTATTCATCGCTGGGCGCCCGGCCACCGCCGCACGCACCGTACCAGTAGTAGCCCCGGCATTTGATCATCGCCGGCTTCACCAGCCCCAGTGCTGCCTCCTGAACGAGTCCGCATGACGGACACTTCATGTGGTGAATCACCATTCCGACAGAATGCTCGCCTCCAAGGCGATCGAGGAACATTCCAGACCCACGGCAGCTCAGCAGAGGCCAGCGGTACTCGGATTGCGACTGGAGAGCTGCAATGAAGTCGGGGGCCTGTTCGTGGAGCTTGGTCCACACATCATCTTCGATGAACGCCTCCATGTAGTTCACGGAAGACCAAACAAGTTCCCCGGCGCTCTTCATCCGGTTGTCCAGCACATCCAGCAACTCGAAAACGAGGAACATGTTATCCTTCATGTAATTCCAACGGTTTCTGATCAGATAGGTGAGCCTGTTATCCACATTCTCGTGGAGCTCATCAAGCATGTAGATTCGCGCGATGTCGAGCATGTCCAGGTGGTGGAATACCTCATCCACGAAGTCGAGCATGTCCAGATGATGGAATATCTCATCCGCGAAGTCGAGATCCGTGAAGCAGCGATCCGAGGGTACAGTGTATCTGAACATGTAGAAGAACTCGATCATGGCTCTGACGGCTTGCGGTGGGTCGTTCGGTAAGCTGATTACTCCTGTAAAGCTCTCCTACGGGGACTTGTTAGTTGCAGCTCGACACTAAGGGTATGATGTGGTCGGCTGGGAAGTAAGATGTACTTACCTTGAAGGTTCCGGGCTTGAGAGCATTTCTGAAGAAAGCGCTTTGGCCCTCCAGAACTTCTCGATGGGCGCGCAGTTCGGTGCCATCACTTAATCGAATTGTCACATCGGTGGTGTCCAATCCATCCCGTCCTTCCTCATATAGTCTGTTGACGCAGTTGTTAGCGCGGGCCTTTTCACTCAGACTGCAGTAAACTCACTCCTCGTTGCGGATCCTGAGATCCCAGCGTTTACGCCTCTCCTCACGCTCCTCTTGATCCCGCGCTTCACGATCCGGGTCCATAGCTTCGGTGGTGCCTAGTGGGCGCTAATGTCGAGCCGACCAAGGCAAGGTGGAACGAAGATGCAGAGAGGAGGGTGGAAGAGGGACAGGCTCCGGTGGGTGACTTTTATAGGAAGAATCTCAGACTACATCTGTCGCCATCAGTTGCGCCGGACGACCGTACCCGGCCCGTTCATCCCGCGACAGCTTCCATGAGGTGTTATGTCCATGGGGTATCTGTATTGTGTTATACCGCCGCCCGCCACCCGGACTCCTACGGCTCTCAGAAGCGCGGCCTGCCGCGATGACGCCGGCAACCAGTGCCGCACTGCGCTATCCCCTGGTTTTCCCATCCCGGCTGCGGGTTGTGGTTCCATCTGGCATGGTCTCTCTCACTGTGTTTACCGTCCTCAGTGTTACCTGGAAGACTGGAACCGCAACCACCCTCTGAAATGTATCGTCTAGATGTTTTTATATAACTATGAACTCTACACTCACAATGAAATGACGTCTGGGAACTTGCTTTAAGTACTCATAGCATGTGCTGAACAGTACGGCCAACAAATAACCATGCTTGCAGCAATTTGTTTCAAGGCTAAGGCTGACAGACAAATAAACAAGCCGGTTTCTCTGAAGTAATCAGAGATAGGACATCTATTTACTTTATTGACCACTCCACCCATGAGACTGTATTACGATAGCTCCACCCAAAGCGACTGCAAAATAATCCCTGAACATCACTGGCCCTCAAGCAGAATACCGGACCGCCAAACACGCAAAATTGTTCAACACCACCAACCTTAATTGAACTTGAACAATGCACCAGCAAAACGAACACAAACACAATAATCATGCATTCTATAATCCCTACCTATCGTAACCGCCATAGTTCTCTGCTAGAATTGTCGTGTGTCTGTGTGTACTGTGATAATATCGGCCCACACCTCCCCACTAGCAAACGCCAAAGCAGAGAGAAACAAGCATAAGCAAATCATTCGAGAGAGAGAGGGAGGGAGAGAGCAGCGAAGTCCCTATCACTAATCCCGCCTCTCAAGCACCCTTTGTGCCTTTATCATTATCATCATCACGCCACACCACCACCAACCTCCTCCGGCGCCGTCACAATCCCCGACCCGGCCCTCCTCTCCCCCAAATTATGCAACCGCTCCCCAATCAAATACACCTCATCCTTAATCCTCTGCCTCCACCTCTCCGTCGCACGGACAGTGCCCCACGCCATCCACGCGCTGAGCCCAACCGCAAGGGTCAGCGGATAAACAAGCGTGTAAACCATGGCCTTCGACTCCTCGGACGCGGCGACGAAATACGTCGCATTAGCGACTCTCGCCACCGCGAGCGGCACGAGCAGGGTGGCGGCGAAGAAGACGGCGACAGGCAGGACGAAAGCGCGGGAAGCGAGGCGAGCGTTGGGGCGGAGGTAGCCGTCGCGGACGACGGCCTGGAGGGCGCGCGAGATGAGCGAGCGCGGGTTCCACAGCAGGATGCGGGCGGCGATGCGCGCGTAGAGGAAGCCGAGCGTCCAGTCCTGGATGATGTGGATGACGTGCGTCTCGCCGGGGCCGAGGTAGGCGTGCAGCGGGATGAGGATGTAGAACTCGAGGAAGATGGCGAAGAGGACGGGCAGCACGAGGATGAGGGCGCCGTACACGTAGACGACCGACGCGGCTTGCGCCGCGTACTGGCCCAGGATCGAGACGGTCGAGTACGTCGTGTTGAAGGGGTGGCGCACCGAGTCGGCGGCGAGGCTGAAGATGTTGCGCAGGTGGAAGATGCCGTAGGCGGCGGCGCCGAGGATGTAGACGCCGACTGAGAAAGCGTAGATGTCGTTGATGTGGGAGCCTTCGGGCATGAAGTTGGAAAAGAGACGGCGGCCGAAGAGAAGGGGTATCACAGTAACGCCAACGCCGGTGGCTGCAGCGAAGAGCCAGATAGCAACGACGAACAGACAAATGCGGAAGCGGAATAGTGGCGGGATGTACACCGTTTGGGTTAGACCAGAGTCCTTGCCGTGTATCGGGTCATCCTCAGCTCTTCCGTCCAGACGATTGTCGAAGACGTCGACATCGACGAATACAGACTGGCCTCTGCGGATGCGGACCTGATCGGAAGCTGGTGCACGAACATACTTTCCATCGAAAAGGAAGTACACCTCAGTGTTCCGGTCCTCTGCGAGCAATTGACGATCGGAGCCGATGACGGGCTCCTCAACGTTGCCCTTCTTCCGCTGAAGCCAGGCTGCCCAAGTACGTCTTACGTGTCGACCGCGCTCATCTGGGTTCTTCTCGCCGAAGAGGAAGTCGGAAAGTCTGAGAACGCGTGCACACTTGCGGAACCACCACCGGTACATCTCGTGAAGACCATCACTGGGCTTGAAGAGTTTGATGACCAGAGGGGTTAGGAAATTGAAGAAGAGCAAGTCCAGCGGGAATTCCATCGACGGATCATTTGTCGCCCAGTGGATCGGAAGTACGCCATCAAATCCGTAGTACAAACTCCAAACCACTCCACCCAAGCAGCAGATGACCAGCGCACCATAGACGAATGCACTAAAGGCAATCTTGCGCAACTGGCCAGTGACGCTCCGCTCAAGAACATCACGGACAGGGTGGAAGGTTGGGTCATCAGGGTCTCGAATGAAGTAAAGGACACCGGTTCGCATGATCTTCCTGCACATGGAGACAAAAAGTGCGAAATGGAACATGTAGCAGGTGCCAACGAACCAGTGAACAAATCCTGCGGTCCAGGGAGAGGTCCGGGCGAACTCAATCCGAGAGAAAACTGTTGCTTGCTCAAACAGAGGCAGCAAGGCGCCGTCGAGGAGAATGCCACAGTACAGAGGGAATGCAATCATCTCGATGCTGATGATCAAGATTACCTTGAGGACCCCACCAGCTTGCTGCAGGACTTCTGAGATAATGCCCTCCACTCTTCGGCCATTCTGTGACGAGGTGAATGGAGTGCCCCTCTTCAAATAGAGAGCGCCAGCTATCGCGAAGAAAATGTAACCTGCCAGGATCGCAATAATACGATCACTGGGTGTCCAGTACTCGAAATTGGGATCCATGGCTGCTATGGTGCTGTTTCCGGTGTCGAGTCTCAAAGAGAGGCCATTTGTCGTTGAGATGGTAGGTAAGGATGCGCGGATACTGTTGATCACAGCAGCGCCCAATGAAATACTCGAATCAATGAACCGACCGATAGCGGAGAATACGGAAAAGGATTCCATGTTGGTAATCTTGCTGTGAACCTCGGTGAATCCTATCCAGACTGAGTATGACCATTCGCTGAAGCCCCGCTGTAGCGACCTAAGCGCAGCGTGAGAGCTAATGGATAGGTGGAGGTAGTCTGAGTTCATGCTCGTGCCGGCAATTGAGAACAATTTCGATACGCGCTCGATAGCGGACTCAGCAACCGTACGTGTAGATGAAGCTGCCGAGTCGAAGGACTTGTGGGTACCAATGAAAGGCACCAGCAGCCGAAGGACGAAAATCGACCAGTAAACGGCCGCTGCCCCAAGGAAGAGCACTGAGTCCACAATGAGATCCGCCGTGGCCGAGAGCACGCGAAGAGGTAGCTTGAGGAATAGCCAAACCGGTCTGCCGAGTGAGAGGAGAACGACCTTGCCCCAAAGATAAGGAATCCAGACGGCCACGGCAACAGTTGCGGATATCAAAACAGCACTGAAGAGCGCGTTCTGGAATAATCCGACGAGGGGTCCTTGCATGCCGATGAGTTCCATGATCCCCTCAAGATCCTCCGCATCCTCCACTGCGTCTTGGTCCATGACGTCGATACCTGCTTGTGCTGCAGCAGCAGCAACTTCGGGGTCTCGGGCCGCATCGACGTCGTCAAAACCGTCGCCAAGGATTGCATCTCGTTGGACAAAAGGGGCTTCGTCCGCCAAGTTCTGAACCACATGTTCCTCGTTTGCACCGGGGGCTCCATCTTCGTCTGTCAGAGCAATATCGCCCCACAACCAGTGGTATGTGCGTTCCCAGAGGCCTGCATCTGCAGGGGGTTGGTTGGCACGAGGTTGCGTCTCCGCAACGTGGACATTTTCTTGACTCGGGGTACGATCGGGTACGATAGTTTGCTCGGTCGGTGCCGGGGCTAGAGACGCTAGTGACTGTGCCGTATGATCCGATGCGCGAGCTCCTGCAGTACTGGATCCTTCGCTACTGTCGCTTTGAGAGTCAAATTGGTTGGGAGCAGCTGGCTCTGTGGTTTCCAGGGCGGAGTGATCTTTGCTCTCAACATCCGACTCATTGATTTGTTGCCAGCTTCCCTCGCTCTTGTTGCTCCGGCGTTCTCCTTCAGCATCTCCGACCTGCTCTTCGGGCTCACCCGGTAGTGAGGGGAGGTTCCGCGTCGCTTCTTCCAGATCACGCTGTATCTCGGCGGCCAGGAATGACTGTCCTCGTTCAGGCATGGTTGGCCTCTGCTGACTGGAGCCTTCCATGGGACCCATCATTTCGTCGTCATTCTCGGGTGAGTGAAGGATGATATCGCAATCGGTAGAGCGCTTGCTTGCACTGAAGGCCATGTTGAAACCGTCCGGCTCGAAGAGTGTTGGTCTGACAATACCAATTTGAGATGGGGGAACGATTATTTCCTCAAGTTCCTTTGCCCAATCGCGCAGCTGGATCCAGTTCTCGAAAGCCGTTTCCTGTGGACCTTCTTTGACCCTGTCACTAAGCAGTTCGACCCAAAGAAACAATTCTTTTCTAAGTATCTTTCTCCCCAGTTCGTCTTCCCGGGCAAGAAGATCCGCAACTTTCTCGAATTGAGAGCGCACTAATGCTTCGGCAATTCCCGTTTCAGGGAAGCGGTCGGCGAGCTTTCGTACAATTTCTGGCGACTCGGTGCTGGATCCGGCAGTGCTATCTTCGGCGGTGATGTCGAGCTCGGCAAGTTGCTCCAGCGAATCATCCGAAATGTCGCTAAAGCGATCATCCTCACCAGTGCTATCATCTGCATCCTCCTCGTGCGGCAACTCTTCTTCTTCAACGGGATCATGTTCTGCATCTTGGTGTGCTTGCTGCGGGCGCGGTGCGGGGTTATTGAGGGCCTGCATAGCAGCCACATTTATGACGGGCTGCTGCTGTACCACCCACTCGCGGATGAGGAAGATCAGAATGAAAGCAATGACGACCAGGACAGTGATTATCTGACCCTCGATAATGTCGAGAATCAACCGGTTGATCGACGGGTGAGAAGTAATGGATCTGAGGAAAGAGACATCCGATAGGAGTGTCGCTTGCCTGATTGAGATAGTGTGTGAAATAGTGGCATTATCCGTTGAGTTCGTAAAGGAAGCATTGAAGAAATCAGGAAAGGGTCCAAGGCCTAAAAGAAATTTTTTGATGAGGACGTAAGCAGTCGGCTCGCCAGCGCTCATGTTCAGGGTCTGCGAGAAAGGCGCCAGAGCGAGCGAAAGGCCGGTGAGGTTTGCAGAGGACGTCGCGTTTGCGCCTGCCGCAATTGTGGGGGCGGAGCCGGTAGATGCGGCGAAACGACGGTGGTAGTTGGATACACGGTGCAAATCGCCAGCAAAGCCTCCGTCGCCACACCAGAACAGTGCACGCCATATTACTCGCATGCACCAGGGCAGGCACAGTAGCCAGACAGAGCCCACCAGCAGGCCGCGGCACCACGTCATCAGATGTTTTAGTACGTGGATGACAGCCCTACGGACAAAGACTGTGGTCGGCAGGCTGCTGGGCATTTGCGGGTGGTAGAGCTTGGTGAAGCGGAAGGGCGTCTTGCAGAGCTCACAGTGCTTCTTCTGCGAGTGCGATAGCCACTCCATCAAACAGTCCTGATGGACGAATTTGATGCTTCCGCTACACTTGCATGGGTAGAAGAGAGGCTCTTCTTTGGTTCCTTCGCCGCGACATATCCTGCAAGTATCCGGGTCATCTGCCGTCTTCTCGGAGGCGGCGGAATCAGGATCGAACTGAGGATCGTTCATGACATCGGGAGCGGTGGACGGTAGTGGGGGCGGCGCGGTTGCGGACGCGCCGTCTTCGGAGGCCATGATGCGGGACGCGGTCGAGAACGAAGTCGAAGGGTCGCAAGCAATGAACGTCGGCTAGGCGGCGGTTGAGAGGGCCGGAGAAAGAAATCGGTTGGGCGTGGCGCCGCGGAAGGATGATGTTTCTAGGGAATCATCTCAGTGTCGCAAGAGGATGCGGGCAAATCTGTGGGAAACGGGCGGTCTCTTTTGGAAGGGGCGTGTGAGAGCGTGTGGAAGAGAACCGCGACAGGCAGAAAGTCCGCGGCGGAGGTGCGTTGTTTGCGGGGAGTAGCGTCCAACAAGGAGCTTGGATGGACAACGGAATGGAGGGACCAACCCATGCGCTTCGCCATCGGCGCCCCGGGGTTACTCGGCTTACATAAGCCCGGTGAGCCACATAGCCCCCTGGCTTTGACTATCCGTCCAACATCTCACACAAGTGCATACGGACGGACAAAGCCCTTTATGGGATGTGGCTGCTGCAGTTATCCGGCAGGAAACGGGTGGCACTCTGCGGGCGGTCCAACCATCGAGGGCGCTCTCTGCAGCTGTCCTCGTTCTGTGATGAACTGCTGGACCCCGCAAAGGCAGCCCCGGTGCTTCTTTTTTAGTCTGGAGAACCACATGCGTCGCAGTTCGCGTTTGATCTCCGAGGCATGGGCATGAGCCGGCGCGCATTCTTGCAGGCTGAGGTCACTAGGCCGCGATAAGAGCCCCTTGAAGCGCAGTGCACCCTGCAGGTCGCGATCTGGCTTGATCGTGAGCTGATCTGCGAGCTGCACTTGCAAGCCTATGACGTTGCCGTCGTCGCCTGGCTTGGCCAACAATCGCAATCGCAGCACAGCTTGATTCCCTGCCAAAGCGCGCGACGGGCTGCATCCAGCAGCCACGCTCTGAGACACCGCGCCTTTGCTTTCCCTCTCATCCCCACGTCGAGTCTGTGGCCGCATTGAGCGTTCCCACCCTGCAGCATTGCCTGCCGTCGCGTGCAGCATTTCTGAAGCATCCGCTCCCCCAGCACGACCAGCACGGAAGCACGGACACCGGCGTCGATCAACGCGCCTCCACCCGCGTCGACATGGCCGCCTCCACCAACGGCCACGTCAAAAGGCCGTCCAAGAGCCCCAGCGACTCGACCGACCCAAAGGACATGAACGGAACTGTCGCTCGCCAGCAAAAGCCAAAGCAGCCGCCGGCCAGGCGCCGCGGCTTCGCGCCATGGCTCCTCAGCAACGCCGTCCGGTGAGTGAACCACCGCGTCTCGCGAGATTTTCGACTGACCCCGCTGCTTAGCGTGTCGGTGTGGTATGTTATTGTTACCATGCTCTTCCGCTGCCCAAAGTCCCTCGACGACCTCTCCGACGACTCCCCCAAGCTGTGCAAGCCGTACTTGACCGTGCAATCACATGCCGCCCCATACGTCGAGCCGTACTACAACACCTACCTTGCCCCCCACGTCGAGAAGGCCCAGCCGTACATCGACCGCTTCAATGAGCAGATTTACACGCCCTCGGCCGAGTTTGTCAAGAACACATACCAGACCTATGGTGCTCCTCGCGTCACGCAGACTCAAGAATTCGCTCTGGCAGAGTGGGAGAAGACGCTGAAGCCGCGCCTCCAATTGGCTCAGGACCAGGCAAAGGCCCAGTACGATGCTGCTCTTGCTCCGCACGTTGACAAGCTCTCTGCCGCCGCCTCTCCGTACTACGACCAAGCATCCTCAATCGTTGGTGATACGTACAACAGCAAGGTTGTCCCAGCCTACGAAGTCGTGCTCCCTCACGCGCAGAACGCCTACGAACAAGGCCGCCACTATGCGGTGGACGTTGGTTACCCGTACGCTCGCTGGGGTGCGTCTTCGCTCGGAAACTTTCTGTTTCGCCAAGTCTGGCCACAACTGAGGATCCTCTACGGTGACAATGTCGAGCCGCAGCTCATGAGGATCAAGGAAAGGCTGGGCCGCTACAGGGATGGCAAGAAGCTGGAAGCTGCCGTCGAATCCGTGGACAGCGCTGCTTCATCGTCTGCAGCAGCATCTAGCTCCTCTGTATCTTCCTCGGTTGCGGCCTCCGCTGAAGCCTACAAGTCCGCCAGTACCACTGCGAGCAGCTTGAGCGAAGCTGAGTCCAAGGCTGCCAATCGCGAAGATGTGCAGGAGAAGGTCGCCCAGGATCTCAGGACCTGGCAAGAAAAGTTCGCCAAGGCTGCGGATAAGGGTGCTGAGGATCTTGAGGAGCGCGTTAAGGAAATCACAGATCATCAGATTGAGAGCCAGGCTCACGGCGTTGGCCAGGCTTTCCTGATTCGGCTCGAAGAGACCGCCGAATCTAAGCTCAAGGACCTCAAGTCGCATATCAAGAGCGCTGTCGAAGCACTTGCTGAAGACGCGAATGAAGATGACATCGAGGCTGCTTATGGCGGCCTCATGGGCGAAGTCCGTGCCGCTGGTCAGGCTATCAAGGAGAAGGCTCAGGCCATTCGCTCGTGGAAGCAGAGTTACGATCGGGAAACCATGCACCTAGTCACTTCGGCCACCGAGTCCACGCTTGAAGTTATCGACCATATCAGAGACCTCGGCCTCCAAGAAATTGGCATGCGCTGGGCCTGGATGGAGGGTGTCACCTACAAGGATTGGTCCAAGTATCACTCGTTGAAGAAGACATTCGACGAATGGCGCAAGGAGGTTCAAGGTGTTGCTTACGAGCACGCTGGTTTCAAGTCTGCGAGAGAAGAAGGCGCCAAGATTGAGGAGACTGGTATGGCCGTTGCTGAGGAGGCCGCGAAAGAGTTGGTCCGCTTGAAAGATGTCGCTCGCTTCAAGCTCTACACTCACGACAGCTCTGACGACTTTGACTCGACCGTTATTCCTCCCGAAGCGATTGCAGCAGCCCGCAAGGTCAAGGAGGCCATCAAGGATGCCATCAGTGATGCCAGCGAGGCCGTTGCAGGAACTTCCCAAGGTACTGTGGAGTCTGTGGCATCTGTTGCCAGCGAGCAAGTAGAGGATGCTAGCTCGAAGATCAGCGAAAAAATCATTGGCACTGAGCCCGGAGTTGCGGAACAGGCTGCGACCAAGGCCTCCGAAGCCATTCTGGGAACCCAAGATGCCACAGACAGCATTTCCTCCGTTGCTAGCTCCAAGGTGTCCGAGGCTAGTTCAAGCATTGGAGAAGCAGCACAGAGCGTCGTCTCGGCCGCCAAGTTCAAGAAGGACCAGGCCAGTCAAGCTGTTCTTGGATCACCGGCTCCTCCCCATGAGTCTATCGCATCCAAAGCGAGCGAGGCTATCATCGGATCCGAGACTCCTGTTTACGAATCGATTGCCTCTCAGGCCAGTGAGGCGGTCGTTGGTTCCGAAACCCCTGCCTACGAATCGTTGGCTTCCAAGGCTAGCGAAGCTGTTGTCGGCAGCTCCACTCCTGCCGCTGAATCCGTGGTCTCCGAAGCATCCTCAAGCGTCGAGTCTCTGGCTTCTGAAGCATCTTCAAGTGTCGAATCAGCTTCTTCCGCTGTGTCTGAGGCTGGCGCAGATGCTACAGAGTCTGTCAAGAAGGTCTGGGGCGGCGCCATGGCCCAGGTGATTGTGGAGGCAAAGCAGATTATTTTTGAGGATGAGATCGATGATTCCGACGATGACACCTACTCGGAGAAGATCAAGAGTATGGTCAGCGAGGCTGGCGACCGCGCTGCTGAGCTCACCCAGGCAATCAGCGAGGCGATTCTTAAGCCTACATCAACCCAGGGCTCCGTTGAGTCTGCCACCTCCCTGGCCAGCGAGCAGTATGCGAAGGCCATGGCCGCTGCCTCCAGCGTCCTTTACGGTCCTGAGCAAGGTTCTGCTGAGAGTATTGCCAGCGTTGCCTCGGACAAGTACGCTCAGGCAGTAACTGCAGCATCCTACGCCATCTATGGCACCCCGGCCCCGGTCATCGAATCTCTTCGTGCCCAAGCAAGCGCTCAGTATGATTCTGCGTTCAAGCTTGCCAAGGAGCAGTACGAAGAAGCCAAGGCTGCTGTTTCGGCAAAGATCTCGGGAACTCCAAAGCCCGCTCACGAGGAAGCTCTCTCCTCGATTAATGACGCGTACTCTTCTTCTATTGCCGCTGCTAGTGCTAAGCTGCAGGATGCTCTCAAGTACACTGATTCAGTCAAAAGCTACGCTGCGGGTCCAACCCAGGGTGCGTGGGAATCCGTCTCATCCATTGCCTCCTCTAGGCTTCAAGAGGGCTTGAACTCAGCCTCTGCACAGTAAGTCACGCGCTTCAATATAACTCTAAAATAAGTTTTCTGACTTGAATCTAGATTCTCGAGTGCTAAGATTGCTGTTGGAGTTCAGCCAACTCCCGTTCACCAGCAGTACATTGCAGAGGCTCAAAGACGCTACTACGAAGGCATTGGTCTTGCCCATGCCCGCTACTCCGAGTTCCTTGACGCAGCGTCAGCGGCAGTCTACGGAACCCCTACGCCTGCATATCAGAGCTACCTGAATGCTGCGCAGAGCCAGTACACAGCAGCTGTTGCCGCCGCTTCAAGCCACCTCCAAGATGTCCTCTCTTCCGCCAGTTCCGTAGCTGGTCAGACCACCAAGCCGCCGGCACAGAGCATTCTGGATTCCGCATCCTCCCAATACGATGCCGCTGTATCTGCTGCTGCTGCCTCTTTGTCTGCTGCTTCAGCTCAGGCGAGCAGTGCTATTTACGGAACCTCGACGGGAGCGTTCGAATCTGCCGCTTCAGCTGTCTCGGAAAAGGCTGAGTCCGCGGCATCTGCAGCAAGCTCTGGCATTGTGGGCTCGGAGACTCCCTGGACTGAGTCTGTTGCTTCGCAAGCCGCAGAGAACTGGGAATCTTTAGTGTCTAAGGCTAGCGAACAGGTGTACGGTGCGCCTACACCTTGGACCGAGTCTGTATACTCACAAGCTGGTGCTTATGGAGCGCAAGCTACTGAGGCTGCTGCTGTCCAGTATGCGGCCATTCAATCTCTTGTATCTGAGCTCGTCGTTGGCAAGGAGCCCGACTTCACCGAGAGCGTGATGAGCCGCTTCAGCTCTGCGTACTACACCGGCTACCCAGCCGTAGCATCATCCGCCTCGTCCTACGCGAACGAGGCATACCAGTCTGCATCCTCTGTGGTCTCATCCGTCTTCACCCCTCCTGCTGCCTTGGAAGATATCCTCGGATCCGCGAGCGACCAGATCAACGCCGCCGTCGATGCAGTCAGCATCCAGCTCTACGGCACCGAGAAGAATGGCTACGAGAAGGCCGCCGACGCTGCCAGCAGCGCGTACAGCTCCGCCTCGTCCAAGGCCAGCGAAGCCATCTACGGCACGCAGCCGAGCTACGCCGAGGCCGCGCAGAGCTCCCTCGCTGACGTCGCGTCGTCGGCGCAGAACGCCATCTCGGTCGCCATCTACGGCACGCCGACGGGCGCCGTCGAAGGCGCCACGGCCGCTGCCGCGAGCGTCTACTCGTCCGTCTCGGCCGCCGTGTCCAGCGCCGCTGAAGAGAACCTCGCGGCCGTCAGCGAGGCCGTCGGCGACGGCTACGCTGCTGCGGCGAGCAGGGTCAGCGAGGCTGTGTACGGCCCGCAGCAGGGCGCGCTCGAGAGCGCCACCAGCCGTCTGCAGGAGGTCGTCGAGAGCGCGCGCGCACGGCTGAGGGATTATGCGGTCGCTGCGGGCGATGGGGCGAACGAGAGGCTCGAGCAGGCGAAGAGCGCTGTCGATGAGATGGCGAGCAGCCTGTCGGAGAAGACGGCGCAGGCGACGGCGAAGGCGAAGGATGAGTTGTAGGTGGTGGTGGTGGTGGTGGTGGTGGTGGTGGCTTCATGGCTGCTGCTACGCGTCTCAGCACACAGATCGGGGTTTTGGTGAGAAATCCCGCACGCTTCTACGACACAGATGTCCTCTCTTGGGAGCTGGGAGAGCTTCCGGGGCGTCGAGAGTATTGGCGATGAGACGGAGTGAAGCTGGTGGGTGAAGAACAAAAATTGGGTCGGGGTGGAAGGGTGGTGTGGCGGCGGCGACATTGATTCGGGCAGAGGTTCGTCCTTCGTACTGTTTTCTTTTCGGGAGCGATTGGGTGGAAGGAGGGAGATGATGTTATGAGGCACGCAAGATACTTTTTCTTTTCACATTACGCGCTTAAACTACACACGCAAGACACATACCAGCACCTACGCAGCTACTCCAGTTTCTTTATTCATTTTCCTTATAGTACCACTGATCCCCCTTTTCTCAACACCCTTTCAATCAGCGCTTGTGCCCTGTCTCTGTTCTTGTCTATGCCCAGGATGCTTTGTTACATTCTACGCGGCTTGCACCTTTCCTTCCTATCATTTTCTTTGCTTGGTTTGTCTCGTCAAAAAGGGCTCGACGGCTGCGAGGAGATAATGTCTTTCACAATACGGACCGCGTATGTGTCTATTTTGAGGAACAGGAAATGGCTTACCCAAGCATAATCGGGTTTAACTGAGAAGCTCATATGACAGGGTTGTGCGAAGGCTTCTCATGTAGCTGAGAATTAATATTCCTTTCAAAGCAGGTGCATTCGTGAAATATTTCCCATGGCGTCGTGAGCTCCGAGATCTCACAGCTGCCGGTGGCCTTGAAGCCGATGACGCGGAAATAGGCGTCTGAAGGATGGGAACTGGATGCACACTTGGTGTGGCCCCCTGCGTGCGTGCGCGCGCCGTGCAAGATTCCTTTGGTAGCGGGCGCCTAAAGGACCCTTCTTTTTTTCCCACTCACTCACGAACTCCGCTGCCCGTTCGGAGACGCAGGGCGCGTCCGGCGGCGAGTGGGGCGGGATCATTGCCGCCGGCGGTAGGAACAGCTTCTTTCTATTCTAAACGGCAAGTTTATAGACAAATACGAGGCCGGGTGGCGGACGAAATAGAGTAATAGTCTACGGCAGCTATAACTCGGCTAACGCGGCTAGCGTACAGGAAGGGAAGACTTGCAGAATGCACTTGCAAAACATGAAACACGCCTTCTTCTGGTGCGGAACCGACACCCGCCGCCGCAAGCAAGACAAACCCGCTAGCTAGCGGAGACGACCATCGCTTCAACTCCATCCTTCTCCCGCGCTGGTGGGAACGACGACTAATCAGAGCAGATCACCAGGGGCGTGGAAACGAAAAAGGCCATAGCGCTCGTCACCGCACATCACCGCACCACCACACACCCCTACCGGAGATGCCGCCGGCCCATCGAGCCAAATCTCCGACGTTTGGCGTGAAATAATTGGGAAAGATACTACGCCTCAGAAACAACGCCAGTCACGGCTTTTCCTGTGTCCTGTGTTCTCTCCTCTCTCTTGTTTCTTTGCCTTGCCCTATGCACTAACTAAGGTGCTGTTTGCATTTGCTTTTTTCGGAGTAGGCTACTTCGGCTGCGGTTCCGAGCCGGCGCCCTGGCTTGATGCTGCTGTGCGTTCTGCTTTCACAATTCATCCTTCCGCCGGCTCCCGGGCGTCTAAAAAAGCGGAGGTTTCGTTGGGCACCGAAAAAAAAGTAGACTCGCTTCTTGTCTTACTAGTACCAGTTCGACAAGGGTGGGTTTGTAGGAAAAAAAAAAAGAAAAGTCCCAAATGACGCTATAAGCGTAGCGAGAAGAGGGACAGAGCTTCTAGAGCTCTCAATCGTGGTTCCCACATGGCTATTTAGCCGCCCCGCCGGGACCTATTCCGACTAGCGGCTGACTCGTGCCCCAATCTTTCGATTGTTCAGCACGGCGGCGGCGGAGGGAAAAATGGAAAAGAAGGGCGTACGTGCTTGGATAAGCTACGTTTGAGAGAGCTGCTAGTGCATGTGCTACTGGCGGCGAGGTCCGTCCGGTTTCTGCTCCGACAGGCAATGATGGGATTCTAGACGTACTGATCTTCTCTTTACCATGGGCCAGACCACAAAGCCCCATAAGGCAAGCAGCCTTTTGTTGTTGTTTGGGCCGGGCTGAGCACTTTGCTCCCATCCGTTCCTCCATCCCATCCATCCGGGAGCGTTCGTCTCATAGATACTGCTGCCCCCATCAAGGTGCCCAACGCTACTGCGGCACGATCGATCCTGCAGCCCATGCTGCTGTTTGTCTTGCTTTGCTGTGCGCAGGCGCAGCGGGCGGCATTCGGGGGGTCCGGGGGGGGAAGCCTAAGCGGGAATACGCGAACATGTGGTCTCTCTCATCTCGTTCGGCAGATCCGAACGGCGAACTTGGGCCAAGGCATTTCCGTACGCTTAACCGCATGGTCTGGACGCGTTAGGGCTGCCCGTTTTTTTACTTTTTTGTTTTTTTTGACTTGCAAGATTTCACTTTTCCCTACAGGAGATGCCCAGGACTCGGTGATATGAAATATGGGGCTAAGCTTCGTGATTGGTCAACTCTTTTTTGGCACCATCCCCCCGTTGGCGTGTGGGGTGGAATTTAGGAAAATAGGACAGGGTGCTGGATGGAGCTGGGGCTGGACTGGGCTGGGGGAAGGAGGAGCAACGGTCGGGATGCGGGCCGCGGCCCTGTTCAGCAGTTGGCCATAGTTGAGTTCGAAGGAGATGATGGTCAATTCGAAATCCCCGCCGCCACGTTCGCCTTGTCTTTGTCTTGTCCGCCGGGGGGTCTGAGTAGCGAGCTAGAGAGCAAACGGTTTGCGGGTCAGCGGGCCCATGCGAGCCAAGCTTTACTGTAGGTTACGGAGGGGGTGGGAAATGGGCTGAGGGACGATCACAGACGCTACGTTCCAAGATGAGAGAGAGATAGAGAGACGGAGGATTATTCCTATCCCGCGGCCTTTTGCTATGCGCTACCGAGCACTGTCATGCGAGACACGCAGGCTGTGATCAACTCTATGCTTTGTCGTCCCACTGGCACCGCCGTTGCCAGCCACATGAAGAAGGTGGTTTGGCGCCGGGCGGTTCTTCTTGGGCAGTAAGTAAAAAGCATTAGTCAGTTGTCCTCAGGCACGGCACAAGGCCACGAAAGTTTGACAAACACAGCATCGCAGGGCGTCCACCAACCTCGAAAACTCGCACGGCCCTGAGACGGAGCCTGGTGCTAGAGCAGTGCATTATGCAGGAGAGAGATGCCCAACGGGCAAAGAGACTTTGTGTTGGATCTCGATAATGACTTACATCTCTCACAGCGGCCGTCGCCGCCGCCGCCACCACCGCCCGCCACTGCTGCTGCTGCTGTCACTCTTCCTTCCCCTTCACCTGTTCCCTTCCCCCCACAGAAAACCCCCCGGTTTAGATGACGTGATTAGCCCGCGGAAACCCCATGATCTGATCCTGCCTGCCGCTCTCCTTTTAGGAAAGGCCAAGCGCTTCCGCGCCTCTCTATCGCATGAGGGGAGCACAGCAGCCCGTGGGGGAGAGGATCGGTCTCACAAAGGAACCCTTCTCCTCACCCTTGCCGTGTCCGGTTTTTCCTCCCAGCCAAGGCCAGCTGATGCGTATGACGATTGCGGCGGCGGATGGATGACGGCACGGTACAGGAGAGTCACACTTTAGCCTGGCAGGCAGCGCCACCCCTTGACTTGCTGGGCCATCACCTGCAGCGCCGGTTAGGTGGGCCCCGCCCGGCATCATCCCAGTTGCACCCGCATTTCAGGCGGACCGCAAAAAAAGTTCCAGGCCCGTGAGAGAATTGCTGCGCGAGAAAGGAGGTTGGTGGGGCAGGGGAGGAGCGTGAAGGCACGCGTCCGAAGACGACGACTAACGACCACAACAACGAGGACCGGTGGACGAGTGACAAGGCTGGAAGGGGTGACAGCCTAGCCAATTCGCGCAGAACGTACCTCTCTCTGCTCTGCTGTCCTCCTCTCTTCTCCACATTCCCGTCTCCACATACGACCCTGAGTTGTTTCAGCTTTCTTATCTTATGCCTCTTTTGTTGGATGCTTTGTGTCCAGCTCATTGCGTGGTGCCTGTCCCCTGTGGCAATCAGTGACAGAATTCAGCCATCACTGCTCCAAGGCTTACTGCATGCGCGACCGTTTTCCATCCTCAGCTGCTTTCACTGCCCGTTGCAGAACCGGTAGCTTCCCGCGACCGATTTCGTTCTCCCCCCCGCCAGATAAGAATTCGATCCGAACAGCATTGGGACGTGGGCTGTGATCCTTCCTGCAGTGATGACTCGACGCCTCCCATGTGCGGCGTCTCCTGACGAGGGTGACCGGACAGCAGAGAAGAAAAGGAAATAAAAAATTCTCAAATGTCTCTCATGCAAGCTGCAAATCTGGAACCTGCATGGGGATGTATTGCTGACCGGACGGAGACGTACAGTAGCAACGGGTATGTGCACAGCCAAAGCGGCTGACTGCGGAAAGGGGAGGAGGAAAGCCAGTTAGGTTTGTTGTTTTCAACATGTGCTATTTCCGGGAGTGCTGAAGAGAGAGGGGGAGATTTTGGATAGATCCGTCCCGCCCTATTGATCGATTTCAAAGCGCCTCTCTATTCTTATGCAGCATGGGTATGTAGGTCTAAATTTTCCTATTAGGCTGCGCTGCGCCTCGCCGTTCCATACAGTCAACCTCCTAGAACTGTCGCGTGACCAGTCGGCCACGCAGAGAGGAGCTTCGTCAGATGCTATTCTTTTCCCTTTGAAGCCACGATAGAGTATGGCACAGATTCGTGCAGCTGGTAGCTCGCTGCGGGCAATGAGAGGCGTGGAAGAGATCAAGAGAGAGCACACGTATGGTTCACATGCATGTGTGCACCTACGAACATCCTGGACGAGGTCGGTTAGCTGAAGAGACCTCGAGAGCAGCTGGCAGGTCAGCTGAAGTTCTTCGCCTTGAAGCTTTT